AATCGCGGGCTGAAGCTATAGTAATAATTTATTTGGAGTGTTTACTTAGAATTTTGTTTGTAGGTACACTTAGGTACGGCTAAATATAACCAAAGGCAAGTAAGGTGAGACGTATAAGAAGAAACGTTGTGTTGTGTTGTGACGTCACTATCATTTAAGATTAGAAGCCGGATACCTTGAATTGACTTATCTTGGAGGAAATGTTCAAAATCATCGTGAAGTAGACGTAGGTATTTGTTTTTTAGGTACTTACCAATATACAAAACTTCTTTACCTGATGGCTGTAACTATTACTGGCATATTGGTGATGATGTGGTCAAATATGTTGTAAGTATATTAATTTGTATTTTAAGTTGTATATAATATTTATTCATACAAACTTAAGTTATACATATAGAGATTTTTTTAAGGGGGGGAAAATCATCGAATGAGTTCTCTCGCCTGGATGAGTCAGGAGGGAGTGTCAGGCTCTTACTGACTAAAACAACCCTGTTCCTATTCCTGCTCTTCGAGCCGGAGCCTCGATAACCCGTTAAGTTCTCCGCGGCTCCGTATTGGGCCGCATCTGTGGTGGTCTGATGGTTTGAATTATAGAGGTACATTTAAAGATAAACATTAAATTTTACTCAAGAAACACTTTATTACTATTCACCTAAAGCTCAGTGGCAAATACTTACAGCAGAAACTTTACTTTTACTTTTACTATGTTAGTAGGCACACATAATCTGGAATTCAATATCGAGTTTTTAAGTGTGGGGGAGCCGTGCTTCAGCACGAATGGGTCAACTCGACCGGAGTGATACCACGGCCTCACAGAAAACCGACGTGAAGCAACGCTTGCGTTGTGTTTCGTCGTGTAAGTGAGGTTACCGGAGGTCCAATTCCCCCCCTCCCTAGTCTCCCGAATCCCCCAATCCTCCACAATCCTCAAATTCCCAATTCCCAAAAGGCCGGTAACGCACTTGTAACGCCTTGGTGTTTCGGGTGTCCACGAGTGGCGCCGATTGCTTACCATCAGGTGATCTGTCTGCTCGTATATCGGCTTATGCTATAAAAAAAAAATCGACGTAACCTAAACATTTACCATCTTTATGGTGAATCGGCCACTATTGTCTAAGACATAAAATGAGTCTTATTTTAAAACCAATAACAACTTCAAAATTATAAAAACTTTAATCCTAACTGGTTGGAGCGGTTTTTCAATTGAAACTTGACCCTCTTTGGCGTAGGGTCGCGAGTTCATGTTACGTATCATCTCCAGGGAATTTCTTGAAGTAGGGGAGAGATATGGGGTCCACTAGCAAAAATGCGGACCAGCATATCATATAATTCTTTAATTATTTTTTGTCTTTAATAGAAAGTGTTATGGTTGCAAATCTAATAAAGAAGTTGTCACTAGTACTAATAATATAAATTGTAAAATTTTAAAATTTGTATGGTCTGTGGATGAAATTTTATTATATAACTTAATGCCCGAATATTGAAATCTTAACTGCTTTAAAACTGCTGAATGTAATCAGCAGCTGGAGCCAAATGCCATTTAACGCTTGTCTACCTGTAGAGTAGAAAACTCAATTATATGGAATTGACGTAAATTTTGACAGTTGTCAGTATCATCTCCATACATATTTTTGATTTCTACTCGCTCTGTAGACAAGCGCTAAAGTGGTGTTTGGCTAAAGGCACAGGTTAAATTTTAGTATACAAGTTGACGTTCAAAAGTGCCATTCTAGCCTAATTGAAATAAATGATTTTGACTTTGACTTTTGACTTTTGACTTTGACTTTGACTTTGACAAATATAGTCCGCGATAACACAGGCTAGTTTTCAACCTGAGAACATGTGATACTCCCGTGGGATATGTCAACAAGCACTATAATTCTTGTGTAACCAATAAACATCAATAAATATAAAAGCAACAGAACGCGCAAATAAATAAAAAAAGAAGTGCTGTGTTCAAGTGTGTGTGTGTGTGTGTATGTTTGTGTTACACACAACATATAAAAGGCTGAACCGATTTTGATTTATGATGAGTTCTTGCTATTGACGTCACAAATCGCTTTGGTTAATAGAATCGCAGTATTTAATGAACTTGGCAAAAGCGTGCAACAAAACTGGAACTTTAAATATTGCCCTGTTCTTGCAGTTGAGTTAAAAAAGAACTAAAATGGATGAATAATACTAATTTTATTCCTAAAAGTTGACACGAGTAGCCATTCTCATTAAATTCAACTAAAATTTTGTCGCTACAAAGAATCATTGACACGTATGACGTCATTGAATACAATTCTCAGTTATTTGGTTTCTCATTTAAATTGAAAATGTATTAGATCAACTTAAAAGTTGACTTAGTAATCCTATGACGTCATCGCATGTGTCGGTCTGTTTATGTGCAGTTTTCCTTATAATAAACATGTTGTGTGGGTTATCGAGTCACCTCGACTATCTCTGTAGACTCATGATTATCGCAATCCAAGATGGCGCTTAAACAAATGTCAGTTTTGACATAATTTTCGCGCGCTGTGTCTTTGTTGTTGAATTTTCTTCCTATTTTTTCATTCAATATTGATTTGTGATTGTAACGGCTAATATTAAAATTTAATATTGCAATTTGAATGCAATAAATGTTGTTAGTATTCTTCCTATTTTAGCAAAGGGGACATTCGACTGCTTTTCTAAATGATATGGGTGGGTCCACTAAGCATATTATGTATACCTACAGAAAATTAATAATATTTCGTTTCACACCTAAAAAATATACTATGCGTAATCCTTAATGACTTCATATGGATATTGCGGTCTTTTCAATATTTTATAATAATTGACCAATTAAGAAAGCCATGTAAGATAGTAGCGACCTCTACGTAGTAAGTATAATATAATAGTATCCGTCTTCTAAACAAAAACAACTGTTTTTGTTAGCATAAAACATTTATAAACTTGACATTCTCGGTACAAGCTGATAGTCTACGTTATGTATATGTTTTATCAGCTTTATCAACCACATATCTACGGCTAACAGATAAATTATTGTTATCAATATAAATTTTGCTGATTGCAATCGTCTTCCAAGTGATTACGAGTTTATAATCTAATTACCTACTAGCTGGGTTGTTACGTCATTAGTCTAAAAAAAATCATAACGCTACTAATAGACAGTAGTGGCCCATTGACAAAATAACCAATTCCTCATTTCTATGCTCTAATTTACTTACATTCTCAAAATACAATGGCTAGTTAATTAAAATTTAAATTATTCGTTTTTTATAACACTTACAAATTCAATGTCTAACTAATTGTATAATTATTTTGGTCAATAGAATTTTTTATTTTTAAATGTTCATGATAACCGTCTTGTCAATGGTCAAATTTCATTGTCTAACAGTACCTATTATTACAGTAATACTCCAGTAAGTCCTAACCACACTCCTCGGAATGTCAATATTTTAAATGTAGCCTACTGTCATCTGCACTTTTTAACCAACTTTGAATGTTATTAAATAGGCTAGTTTCCTAAATTTTATTTTAATGTCCGTCTGGTAGATTATTTTAAAACATTAGACACGTATTTTTTCTTTTCTAACAAAATTTAATGCTTTCGACGATAATATATTGATTTGAAATGTCATGTGACGTCACAGCGTGCTACAAAATGTAGCTCGTTGTGACGTAACGACCTCCCACTCCTAAACTTAACTCCATTTTATCTAAGTACATATTGTAAATTTATACGAGAAAATAAAAAAATACATGTCTAATATTTTTTCATTATGTAACTGACGGATTAATTAGATTTTTAGTTTTCTTACCCTGGAAACTACCCAATTCATGCTTACATCCGTCATCGTCAAATATATAAAAATAAGGATGTCGACTAAGTCAAAATAAACGGTTTGCACTTCCAAAGAAAGGTATTCGGTTTCTTAAAGCAATAATATTCCAGTTTAACTGATTTACTTTAAAGCTTAGTTGTAATATTATTTTAGCTCATTTCAGAAAAAAGGTATGATTTGTATGTACCATCGTTTATGATATTTCCTCTTTTCTCTTTAAAAAAAACATTGCCTCACACTAGGATTATCTTCTGTGTCGTGGCCTCGTGGGTGCGTTTACAAACATACAAGTTCACATACATATGACACCCAGACCCGAAACAACAATTTGTGGATCACACAAACTGTCGTTCCGTGCGGGAATCGAACCCGCGACACGTTGCACGGCAGCCGGTAGCCCAGCCACCGAGTAAACAAGTATTGAATTTGATTCGTTTTCATCATACCTTGTGCAAGTTGTGACGTCAATAGATACTTTTTTGCGTCATTTATATGAAGAAGTCTGAACAAGCAAAGTATTACAGGGTTTTAAAAAAAAATCAGTAATAGCACGGAGCATGGAATTGTGCCCGATATATGGCAATATGGCAATGGAGGTATTGTTATTGCATGGGACTCATAACATAAATAGTGGTGTAACATTGTACAGTGGCAATAAGTGCCGTAATGTGCATCTCTGCCTACCCCTTTAAGGAATAAAAGGCGTGACATTATCTTCAAGACATTGTATAAAATTTCGTTTGTATTATTAGAATCCCATAATATTTTAAAGTATTACTTTAAATTTCAGTACCTATCAGTGTAAAATCTATTTGTGAAATTCTGTGGTCTTAGAACATGGTTCGTGATCGTATCTTCAATCTAAATGTCTAAAAATATCTATAATTATCCTGCTAAGTATTCATTAACATTGTTCTTTTTAAAAATAAATCTTTAATTCTCACGTTCTTAGGTTTTTCAAGAACTTTGTCTTAATGGGCTGCTGTATTTTTTTATCTTGAAACAGTAAGTGTAGTATTTTGTAAATTATCTGTGATATTAATTTTCAATTACCTTTTGGTAGAAGGTAAGTATTTTGTTCTTGTAATCACATAAAGTTTAACCATAGTTTTGAGTGTTACCCCATCGATTTTGGCACCATAAGGATCAGAAATGAAATGTCCAAAGTAATTTGTAACTTAAACGATGACTTTTAATACACTTTTCTCCTATATTACATTCGTTTTGTACAAAAACAACGTATCGATGAAGTATACAACGTACATATTTATATTTTTTAATTCGACCTCATACGGACGCGTCACTTAAACAATTAAACACTAATAATAATATCAAAAATTACGTATAAACGAGATCTTTATACATTGGGAGACTAAATTGAAGCGATTCCAAGAATTGCGTCGAAGGAATCCTCTCAATGAGGCACACTGAAAAAATATTATACAAAATGGAGGCTGTATTGATCGGAAGCCATCGTTGATATTTATCCTAAAATTGGGACATATTTCAATAGAAAATATTCGTTCTCATGGAAGCCTAAACGTGTAAGTCATTGTTCGGACGATCTGTGGCCGAGACAAGATGTAAGACTACGTTGAACTGTGACATATTTAATATACACACGGCTACACATCGAGCTTTACATAACCAGTATAAACTGAACGTTAAATGTGCGGAAAGATGATGCGACGCGACACCAGGATAAACTGGTTTTGTATAGATTGATGTGTGGCCGTGTGTACAGTCACCAAATTATTTGGTATGCAGTTAAAATATACATTAAGTACAGAGACAGCAACTATTGGTTGACTACTAAACCAGCCAATAGTTAGACGAGATATTGCTTCGTTAAAAAACATAATATTTAATACGACAAAAGCTACTGTCTCTGCACAAATCAATCATTTCTTACCTACATACGAACTAACTTGGCTCATTGTACCAAACATATATAAATTGATCGCATTTACGAATAAGTTCCGTAATTCATTGGAATGATAAGATAAAAACATCTTATTTTTAGTTATTATTGTATCAATTTCAACATTAAGTATCTAAAACGAACTCTTGGAACATTCAGCGCCTGTTTCACCATCTCTATATAAGTACCTGATAAACTTATGTGGCAGATAGTTCATACAAATTACGTTCTTAAACTGGCAAACACCGCGAGGCCACCGGTGACCGCAACCTGTTCTTTAGTTGTGTGTATAATGACGGTACTCAAAGGGTTCAAAACGTGGTAGCACAGCGACTATCCGGACATAGTGAAACAGGCCCTTGGAAATATAATGCAATCTGAACTTGAGAGCAAACAAACGGAGCCAGTAGCGTAGTTTTTCTTTTTATCGAACGCTTCATAAAATTAGAAAAAAATATATAAAATGCTCCCATTTTAAAGGTAACTAAATGGCCTTCTATAGGACATACGTTACCAATTAATAAAATACTTGGGAAAACATCTACATATCTACCAAGAAATGAAAAAGAAAACATTCTAGTGGTTCCGATTCTTTGCTCCCAAGTTTATATTCTAGATTGTCTTCCGCTATAGTTTAGAGAAAGGAAGTAATATAATATATTGTCAGCTGATTTCATTATCCGTTCAAAGTTTTTCTATAATACTTAGCTCGGCCACATGATAAATGGTTCGTATACATCACTGTCATCTATGTGTTACGTCACACACAAATGTATTAACATTACTTCGGTTCAATCTCTGAACACTTCACACAAACAATTACTTCATTCATTTCTTACAGATTTTTGTTTATAACTATTCATTCCTTGTTCTTTTACTTGAGAAACAAGGATCTCATTGATTTCCGTCTTAGTTTAAACTGTCAAACACCAAGCGGTCACCGGTGACCGCAACCTATTGTTCTATAATTGTGTCTACAAAACCGGTACTCGAGTTAAACATGATTGGTTATTTATTACGTTACTTCTACGCCTAGTCCAACATTTTGGCAACTAATTTTCAATCAAATCTGCGGATGACTTCATGTTGAGCATCAAAATATATCAAAAATGAACTTTAGGCCGCTAATCGAAGCAAACATTGCGAATTTACAAACAAAACTCACACCTAAATGCACTTTGGAAGATTTCTTTTCATTACAACACAATTTACATCTCCCAAACCATGCTTCCATCACAAAATTAAATATAAAAACCTAACATGTAACAATTTGGATAGCTCCTAAGTTCACGCACAAGATCGAATTAAAAACATTAATAAATTTGAAGAATGGCTAAATACCTACCTAACTAATGGAGCAAATTATTTTAATAAACCAGACCTTTTTAAATATTGTAAAACTTTAGATATTAACAAAGTTGAAGATGTAACAGAACCAAGTAATAACAAAGTATAGTGAAGGCAGAACAAAAGTAAAACAGAGAACATTCAAAAAGGCCTGGCTCAACATTGCGACTAGGTATTGGGGCAACTTTCTTCGAGAAACTTAAACGAAAACTTGTCTTTCAATGAACACAGATGAAGTTGACACAACAAACAACAAACTGATCAGAAAACAGAAACATGTAAACAGAAAGCCGCCCCCATATCCTAAATAATAATTCGATAGTTAATATCTTAAAATTGGTTAATTCTTTTATTCACTGTCCAGAGTATACCTACAACCTTGGCGCTCCTTCACTTCAACATGGCCGTCGCACTCACACACGCGCGCACGGACACTACCTAGTGTGTGTGTGGTCACCGCACATGCCACAGTCCGAGGTTAAGTATACTAAGCCGAGGCAACTTCACGATGTGGTCCAAGCCTTGCGGAGTGATACACGTACACCCGTACAAGTCTATCGCTCTCAGATTGAGGAGGCCGTCGCCGAGCGCGCGAAGCCCTCTATCAGTGACCTTCGTGCACTGGCCTAAATTTAGCGTTTCTAGCTGTGATAGCCTGGCGACCCGCTCCAGGCCCTCGTCTGTCAGGCGGCAAGCACTCAGGGACAGCGACCGAAGCCCCGACAGCCCCAGCGTCGCGTGCGATAGCGCCTCATCCCCGACCTTATCACAGAACGATACGTCCAGCGACCGCAGCCTACCGCTCTCCGCCAGGTGCGCCAGCCCCGCGTCCGATATCCCGTCGCAGGCTCGTAGGTTTACATCCTCGAGATAGGGTAGTCGAGCTAGATGCCTCAAGCCCGCATCTGTCACGGCGACACAGAAGGAAAGGTTTATGGATTTGAGTTTAGGAAGACCTGTAGCTGCGTGCTTTAACGCTTCATCTGTCAACCTTTGGCAGTCTTGTAATCCCAAGTACTCGAGCTCTGGAGTTCCTCGCGCCTCTCCGCCTCCGCACAGATGTGCTATCCCCGCATCGTTTACGTGCCAACATGATCGCAAGTTCAAGTGCCGCAGTTTCCTGAGGCCCCAAGCAATAAGCAGGAGTCCCGTATCTGTAATGTTGCAGCAGCCGCCCAGTTCTAACTCTTCCAAGTTTTTCAGCGACTGTGCTATTCTTCCGAGTGATGAGTCGGTCACTTGCTTGCACAGAGACAGGTCTAGTCTCCGTAGTGCTGGTAGTTCCGCTGCGAACGCGCTTGCTAGGGCTGCATCGGTTACGCTGTAGCACCCACTGAGTGATAGCGACTCGAGGCCTGGCAGCGCCGCCACTGCATCCCGTAAGCCGCGGCGCAGCGACAGCACCTGCAGCTTGCGCACGCCTCGCCTGGCCAGCGACGCGAACAGCACGGGCGCCGGCCTGCGGAGATGCAGCGCGGCCTCAACTCCGCGCCACACGGACCGTCGATCAGCTGCGTCCCTCCAAGCGCGGCAAACTTGTGCCGCGCGGCCTCTGTCTCGCACGGGCAACCTTTCGAATATCAGAGCTAACAGTTCCGGGTACAACCTTGAGATGTGTGTTCCCTGAGGCTCCGGCGGTGGCTCGGGCACGTGAGGCACGGGCAAGTGTGGCCGATGTAGTCTGTAAGGCGCACTGCGTAGTTTTCTTCTATTAGTAGTAGGCTCCCTCAGTTCGGTAAGTCCAAGCCTATCGTCCCGCCAGGACATCACGTCCTCCGTCCACGTACTCATAGCGGCGTCACTGCACACTATAACATGTCACGATGCATCGGACCGGTTTTCGGTGAAACTCGTATAGTGGGGAGCGCGCGCGGCGTGCGTCCGTCTCGCGCGGTGCTCCTCGTGTACTGGCGGTCGGCGGAGAGTGCCGCCCCCCGCAGCGTCCCCCCGCGGCACCCCGCGGCCGCCCGAGCGCGGCTATTGGTCGCGGTCGCCGGCACGTGACGCGCGTCGTATCGATTCGGAGGCTCTGCGGCGGCATTTTTAAGTTGCCGGCCCGAGAGCCCGCCTTCGCCCCGCGCGGCCCCCGACGCCCGCGCTATAGAACATGCAGCCGCGCAGACACTTCATGCGACTGTTTTATACCTACTTTTCATTGACTTTTTGGTTGGGCTCTACATTACATTATTGTTGTAATTTCTATACCTACTCACGAATCTCGTCATGTAATTTAAACATCGATTAAATGTCTAACTTAATTTTAATAACATAGTAAACTAATTCAGTTGCTATTTATTTATTTGGTTCTATTTGTTCATATTAACAGTATTTAACTAGATTCACTATATTCCAGTGTACCATCCATACATTTATTATTCGACATAATGACTGAGAACTAATCTGTATTTTATTCTGTGAGGCTTGTCAATTATAGGCAGAATTAATTTGTTACTCAACGGGCACAATCTATGGAAGCAGTGATAAGGCGGCAAAACAACTCGGCGCGACGTATATTTTCGTTCGCGGTGCACTTGCCGACGACTTGCGACCACTTTAAGCAGATCCCTGTCAACTGTCGCGACGTTCCTTATCCCTTACTATTAAGAAGTCCCCCATGTTGTGACACAGGCCAGGTAAAAATGGTTTTTTGATAACACCAGCCAACTATTACAAGGGCGACCGGTTGCGAGCGTTCCAAATATGAATTTCGAATTGAAACGTGTTCCAGAATGGAACGCGAGCGAGTTGGCGAGCGGGCCGAGCCGTTTAGAAAATTAACGGGCCTTCGAGCTCCTAGCTTCAATTAGGACTTACTAACTTTGTATTTTCTGTCCTTTAGCATGACAATTACCTATTTAGAATTTATAAACTCTGTGTTACCCATCTCTGTCTACAAATAAAAATATTCTATTGCACTTTCAACTGTAATGCACCAGCAACAACTTGTTAATTGCACAAAATGTAGTTTAATATTTTACCCGTTATATTGCAATCAAATCAATTTCGAAGTGGATCGTGAGAAAAGGTTCTCAGTTCAAGAGATTGGTTTACTTTTAACCGGAAATTTTGTGGCCACTGTCCCTTCGATAAGTTAGATATAACTGTAATAATAATTCATGTTGTAATGATCCAAGATTATTAATTACATTGAAACGAAAATGATTTGAAAATAAAGTTATTTTTAAGGTTCCCACAATAGGGTAGATGTCTAATTTTTATTTTAATGTCCGTCTGGTAGATCATTTTAAATCATTACACACGTATTTTTTATTTTCTTACAGAAACGAATACTTTCGACGATACATTGATTTAAAATGTCGCGTGACGTCACTTCTATGTAGGTACATTTTATACGTAGAAATGATGTTTTAGCTTTGCTTCGTTTTATCTAAGTATCGTTTTACTATACGACAAAATAAAAAATACGTGTCTAATACTTTTTAGTTACCTAAATGACGGACTATATTTAGATTTTTAATTTCCATACCCTGTCATCATCCCTATTCATTGACGTTGCCATAACATTGGTCTGCAAAGTCAGAGTTCATTAAATTTGTCCCCAAATATTCTTCTCAGGCGATTGTCGCGAAGTAGTCATTTTCACCGCCTAATTAAATTACATTTTTGAGTAATTGGACTTTGAGTATCTATGTTTTTTATGCAAATACATCTATCTATCTATCCAGAAATTTTAAATTATTATTTTATGCTGTATGGGACTGCAACGATATATCTTTCACTGAGATGAGACAGATATGTTATCTTCCAACTGATCCTCTTTAGGTGACGAGAAATGTTAATTTACTCATTGGACCAATTTTAAACTTTCATAATTAAACCGCTAACTTTTTAAATAGTAACCTAGACTGCATTTATTCCCATAGGATCCGGACTATCCGGACTTAGGCCTACTATACTGTCCACGGTGCGTCATTTCACGACTGCATGCATTCGCAATATGGATAGTTTTTTAAGGGGGGATAATCATCGAATGACCTCTCCCGCCTGGGTGAGGCGGGAGAGAGTGTCAGACTCTTACTGCCTAAAAACCAATCCGTTCCTTCTCCTGCGCTTCGAGCCGGAGCCCCGGTAACCCGTTAGGTTCTCCGTGACAACAATAGATAGTAGATTAGTAGTAGAAAAAATTATAAAATCGAGTGGTTAGCTTAGACATGCGCCAATCCTAAATGAGATTACTTTTTGAAAAAAATTTGGTCTTACAAAAGCAAAAGGTCAACGTCACTAAATACATAGGTGTCTAGAACTTGAAGGACCTCCCTACCCATACTCACAGCCTTGGAAAATTAAGCAAACTGCTACCTACAAAAAATCACGTCAAAATCTTTCGCCGTTGCATAGCAAATTTTAAAGTTTCTTTCTTTACAAACAGGATGTTTGATACAATTTTTTGCGATCACTTTTTACCACCTACCTGAGTACCTGTGAACTTTTCCATAAAGATCCAAATTTTTATTAAAATAAAACGCTCGCAAAGTTATTATCGGATGAAGTCTGAATATCGACAAATTATAGGTTTTACATTTTTAATCTTAGCGGGAAGTTAATACGGGTCAAATTTAGTACCTAGTGTGTTGTGATTAGGTACTCATGAAATTGTTAGCTCAATTTATTGGGTAATGTTAGGTATTACAGTGATTGTGGTAATGATTGGCTTATGAAGTGTTATATTATGATTGTATTTTGACCGGATTCTATAAGGTCCCGTGATAGACAAGACAGTAATTTTCAAAACTGTTGCGAACATTTTTATTTTGAAATGATTTCAAATATAAAAGATAATAAAAGGTCCACTATGCTTACCGCAGACCTATCTATCATATCGAATTAGTTTCTAACTATTCATTTAGGAACTTATTTATTATTACTTTAAATTGTGGGGAGTCAACGCCATCTACTGATGAGTAGCCATTATATAATTTACTGTGATTGTTGCGACATCTATTGTCGAATAGCAAGTCACTAAACTTAAGAAGGGATGTCATAGAGTTCCAAATCAATAAAATAGATGGCGCTAGTCGTACATCGTGTGGTATGTTTTATGACCAATAGATGGCGTTGAACTGAGATTTATTCTTGAAACTAAATAAGTTCAACGATGCCAGCTAGGGTGCTAAGAATCGTGCAATGATTTATTGTTTCTTAAATGAAGAACTTAGATTCGAAAATAAACAATTTTGCGAAAAACTCGTGAAAATCTTAACCAACTTAAGTTTTTGAAAAACAAATAAATGTGCAAAATGCATGTCACAAACGGTTTGCATACTACTTAATTTAGTTTACATAGGGTTAGAATTTATTCACATTCACAATAATATCTTGTTTTGTAAAGCAATAAAACTATTATATTTAAATCCAATTACCAAATAACTCTATTTAAACCCTAATTGGGTTCTATACAAAACATTACCTACTTGTTTATTTATTTAGTTAAAATGCACGTATGTTTGGTACTTACTTGATTATACTCAGACATATAAATACGGCTGCGTCTGCTAAGTATTATTATTTGATAACAGCCTCCGGAGAGGTTCAAGAGATGCCCATACCGGTGTGCGGCGCTGAGTGCTACAGAGATGCACTGACAATCTCACGAACTAAATGTTTACAACTTGTAATTACAAACATTATGTCAAAGTAAATTTACTCAAACAACCTTTACAATTTTATACAAATTAATCTATTTGTTTTAAAATATAATATTATACCATACACAAATTACAAACACATTTATAGCCAACCAGTTTACCTAACTTCGCTTCATTAACTGAGCTAACACTACTTACTACGCGATAAGTTATGAAAAGGGATGGATGAAGGGGCTGGAAACTTATATGCATATGTTCTACTCTTATGCAAAGCCTATAGAATTGATTTGATATTTTGGCACAGAAACAAATTACAGACTAGAATTAACATATATTTTTATTATGCCTAGAATTTCGATCCCTACTTGTGACGATTATAAAGTCCTTATGGCTAGAGCAAATGTGTCTTCGCTATTTGTTTTCCTCAGTACGTCTCTGTCCTCAACAAACTGTAAGTCGTAAGTACTCGATATATAAAGTAAATATGAAACAGAACAAAACGATTAGAGTTTACGGCAAATACTTGAGAGGCAACAAACTTCAATCCTAGTCTCTGGCGGGATGAACAGTTGTGTGACAATGCAGAGACGGGACGGGTTAGAAAGTGGTCAATAGACAACTTGAATCGATTTCACGCATACGGTACTAATCTAGTAGAGTGTGGGCACACACAATGAATAGGCACGGCCTAAGTATTGATAGATTATAAAGTAGAACTAACGACATTTTGATTGTTTTTTTTTTCGGTTGTTTCGGGGTGTATTGGGAGGTCGCAAACCCAACTGTGTCAGTTAGTGGACAATTTTTGTCAATATTCATTAATATAGCAGTAACAAAACGGTAACCCCTTGCTTGGTAGGTATAAGTATATACCAATACTGGTGGAAATTGGATGTTAGCTACATTGTATTTATGTGCACTTCAGAACATAACCAATATAATGATTCCAGGTTCAAGCTGTACAATATATCAATCTATGAATATCCTCTTTTGAATACTCGTATGTTTTGATATCTTTACTTATGCGACAAAACATCGCGACAATAATTTATGTTCCTATACTAACTTTTTTTCATCTTCTTAAAGCTTGGATTTATAAGTCTAGTTCTAACTAGTATTCATTTAGATACAGCAATAATTCCACGTCACAGATTGACAGCGACGCGGCGTACATACATTTGCATAGATATCGCGTGTATTTAGAACATTAACACAGCGTTCGTTAGAGCAACCAGCAAACTCCTTGAATGTATGCGCGCCTAGTACCTCTGATTAGAAATACGCTTGGAACGTTAGAAATATGTTTTTCATACATTTTCTAATATTCTAATAGAAACGTTATTTATGTGTGTGTATGGACGGATAAATATTATGACGGCGGAATTTATTGCGTGCATTAATAACATCAAGCTTTTATATTTCTTTAAAGGTGAGGTAGAGCCGTGAGTCAAGTTATGTAGTTGTTTTCTATTCAGTACACATTTGGAGTTGTGAAGTAACTAGTATTTTTTATGTATCATAAATAGGAGATTTTTTACATATCTGGGAAAAAGTTTTTAAAACGTGGTTGATTTTCCACTAATATAAGACATCTTGATCATGGTTTCCATTCAATTTCGTCAATCGATTCTCAACTTTTACAGTGTGCTCTTGGATTTTATACCCCTATCTCATCATATCCTGATTAAATTACATTTCCTAAATATATCTAATACATAACAATATACGTACTATACGTAGGTACAGAAGTCGCGCTGGGCGTAAAATAAGACTGCAAATATTTTCTCAAACTTTTTAAACTTGCATTAAACTCTCAAACACCAAGCGGTCACTGGTGACCGCAACCTATTGTTCTATAATTGTGTCTACAAAGACGGTACTAGACGAGTTAAAGGGATTGTATGTATTGGTTCAATTACGTAATTAACGCTTTAAAATTTCGCAGAATTTTATGGAAATTGGTTAGGTACCTATGTGACTTCATTGTGGTGTTTTATTTAACTCACCAAATACAGTGACTTCATGACCTAACTATACTTAATACTTACAAAACTTAATTGTTAACAAATTTCCTCATTTAATCATAATTATTATTATTTAACATTCTAGGTAAACGATCGGTAAACTGCTACTTATCTGATATTCGATTCCAGAATTCATTTCAGGAAACAAATAAAACAGTACCTACCTACTCTTTCTGTTTGATATCTGGTTATCAAGCACAATGTGTTATCTAATCATCATTGTCATCCAGAATACACCTAGGTAGGTACCTTTGAACAAACATCTCCATCTTTAAATCAGGTTGGCCATAATTCCCTCACGTAGCAAGCTGCTTGAAATCTGGAGACCAGTTTGAAGAATAAAGTTTAAACAAAGCTACAAACCATACCCGTCCCGCAATATCTAACTGTAGTTGTAGGACACACATGGGTACTTAGGTGTTCTTAATTGAAATGTTTATGTTTGTCAACGCATCTACGTCATAAGAGAAAATTTTAATTAGCATATTTTATTTTATGATCCGTTCAAAGCTAGTATCACAAGCAATTAGTACTTGTTAATTAGCAATACTTGTAATAGACGGTAATTAAAGGCTATAATAAGTTTTTATCGCTTATCACTTGTAAGACTACTTACTACTAAAAACACGTTTTTTATTCATCATAGGTAACCTTTAACCAATTGGTTTAAGTTGAGTCTCAACTGTACTAAATTATTTCTGAAACTCAGATATTGATGAAGTGGGGATCTGCATCACCATCACTGCCTTCTGCTGGACGTAACCTTCTCCAACAGCAAATTGCTACTCGACCTTCAGCTTTTCGCATCAAACAATCAAAATAACTCAGTCAGCAAGCACCAACGCTGCCCTCTGGCAAGCACTAATCATTGCTCATTACAAAGAAACTGACAAGCTTATACTAATCACCATCATTGTCATCATCAACAACAGCCGAAAGACGTCCACTGGCTACACAAAGGCCTCCCCCTTAGACCTCCATGTCAAACGACAACTCTCCACTTGCAACCACTGGCTCCCCGCAACTCAGGCGATGTTGTCGGACTACCTAGCAGGACGCCTGCCCACGCTTCGTCTTCCGGTCCGTGGTCTCCACTCAAGAACTTTCCTGGCCCATCTGCCGTCAGTCTGTCGAGCGACGTAGCCTGCCCATTGCCACTTCAGTCTGCAGATTTTGCGAGCTATGTCGGTAGCTCAGTTGTTTGGCGAATTTCCATATTTCGGATTTTGTCGCGCAAAGAAACCCCGAGCATAGCTCTCTACATCGCGCGCCGAGTGACTTTGAGCTTACTGATAGATTTAAATATTATTAAATTTTTTTGAGGGAGAAAATCATCCAATTTCTTCTCCAGCCTTGGCCCAGGCCAGACGTGTAAGACTCTTACTGACTAAAAACCACCCCGATACAACTCCTGTTGTTCGAGCCAATTGTACTAGGCTACCCGCTAGGCTACTCTAATCGAAGTGAACTCAATGGCGGTCCGCCATATCATTGGTTGTAAGAATAATCTCGACCAATGACGGACGAGAATACGAGTGAGCTTACTTCGAAAGTTCGAATTGACAGTTACAAAATAGTCTAATGATGTCTCATCATTATTCTTGAAGTGTAGTCACTACAAGGCTAGACAAATAAATAGCTTTAAGTAATTCAATATTAGTCTAATTTTAAACGTATCGTAACGGATTTAACCTTTTAATCCAGGAAGTCAAACATAACACATGATGGTTTGCGTTATGTATCCCATATTAAAGAAAGAAAGTGAACCTATTACTTTTATACCAAACTCTATTCCAAACTCCATACAATTGCTTAGAATATAAAAACTGAAAATTTATAGTAATTTGCCAAGGAAGCAAATCTGAAACCCCATACAAAACTGACAATTAGATAAACTTTTATAAGTACATTACGGTAAAACCGCTTAACAATCAACTTAGATAGAAGATATAGAATAGAAACGATCAGACGAGTCACTATTTAAAGACGACCACTATCTTCTGAGCAAAGACTTATATTATTAAAGCACCTTTCTTACATTAGATTAAAATCATTCCCCATTCAATATCAAAGGTTAAAAGATATATCTACAAGTGAACGCTTACCTTTATCGCTAAAGTTAAGTAACTTACTCTTCTCAACTTAAGGCTGTATGTAGCCGGCCAGTCAGCCTTCAACCTCCGCGCAGACCGCACGCCTGTGCTCACCTCAACTTAATCCCAACTTAGTCGTAACTTAATTCGAAAATATATACAAAAAATTAACTTTAAACAGTGTCTAACTTGACAGTGATGTATAAAAGTGTGCTTTGTGTAATCTAAGTGAGAGTTAAGTTAAAGTTTTGACTTAAGTTAGCGAGTGCAAAACTTTTTGTTTTGATTTTGTTTTTTTTTGTTTGATTATGGTAGTGGAATGTTTAATTTTAAGTGTAGTGCTTCATATTTGTATCAGTTATGTGCTATTTTCGTTTGAATTGTGTTTTTAAGTTACGTCATTTTAGAATTCAGTAGAAGTGCAGTTTTGGATACATAGATTTCTTTTATCTCAAAAGTTGATAGGTAAAGGGTATTGATCTCTCTATTGTAAGCAGAATAATAAGCATCAAGGCACATTTTTTATTGTTTTTTATAAATGGAGGATTAAAATACAAGTGTCCAGTAAATAAGTTCTTTAGTTTATCAAATAACGTCAAGAACTTACCTATCTAAGTATATTTTTGGATTTCAAGAACTTTTACATAGAAAATAGTTATTATGCTTTGAGTCATATTCTAAATATTCTACGCATCTTACACCTAATATTTTTCCGAACAAGAATGGTATTGCAAATTAAATTAATTCGACACAAAAAATAAAACATGTTGTTAACTTCATCTACGCATCATCATCACTGTCAACTGAAATACGTCCACCGCTGGACAGAAACCTCCATTTTAAGAGCTGTTTGCCCTAATCCCTAACTCCCCATGCTTAGCAGGTGGCTTGGGGATCACAGTTAGGTCATCAAACGTAGAGGAGGCTACAGCACATCCCTCAATGGCTGTCCTCACAGTTGTAGGACTACAGAAAAAGTATGAAAGAAATAACTTGACACAAAACTACTTTTATCAAAACTCTGATTAACTACTCAGCATTTTTATTTAATTAACTGTACGCAGCATTTTTATTTAATTAGAGTATGTAAAACTCTCGTTTAAATCTATAATTATATTACTATGATTAACATGTACGCATTACGTTTAAAAATAGTTTCACGCATAACTTAGTCCTGAGCCAAAGTAACGAGTTAGTGCTTAATCCAGTTCAGAATGATTGATCTTAAGTTAGTAATCTAAGTTATTAAGTACATCCCTAATTGCGGGCAGCTGTAGCAATTATCATTAGTTTGTAATCTTGATCTGGCTTGTAATAACTTTGTAAGACAGTTGGATTAATGCTAGAAGTATTATGGGTGTCTAGATACATCGAAGTGGGTTCTGTTTCTGGTAAAAATTAAAATTTTCATCATATAATTGTGCTAAGGAACTCTATCATAACATACATATATAACCTCACGCCTGTCTCGCCTCATGGGGGTAGGTGGAGACTATTGAAATAAATTGTAGGTATATAAGTCAATCTTGGGTCATTTGTCAAATAGTTTCAAGTCCGGTTGCCGGCAAAAGAGTGTCGAATTCTATTAACGGGGCGATCAAAATTATATTTTAAATTGATCATGAAAATTATTAAAAATATTTTAACTTTTCCATGAAGTTCTTGAGAAGACCACCAGATGTAGCTTCAGTTATAAGTGAAAATCAACACAATTGATAATAATTTTCACTCCTATTCCACCATAGACTATACAAAAAGCATAATCTTATATTCGTATAGATTTCTTGCAGTAAAAACACGTTTCAAATGATTTGGACGTGTATAATCTGTGGACCCAAACCCGGCTGTCATGCCGCCCCTAATAATTATAATTTCGAACACAATACCAAAAGTCAAAACCGTAACTAATATGTCTATGGGAGACCAATGATTTTCGAAACGTTTTTTTTAATAACAACGATACGAACACGACGACGCGACGACAAAATATAATTTGAAGTTGTTGTTGAGAAATTGGTAATTATGGTTTTTGTTAGCTAGATTACTTGTGGCTCCACAAAATTAATTAGCTAAACAAAATCAAGACCATAACCTAATGTAAAACCACTCGACAAAATAGACAAAGATAGAATTGTGTGGTAAAATTAAACGTAGTAGTTGTGCTCTGAGGAATTGTTTGACCTGATACCGACAGCATGCAACCCCATCATATTTATAAAAAAAAAAAATGTTTCCCCACTCTAGGATTATCTCCTGTGTCGTGGATGCGTTTACAAACATACAAGTTCACATACACATGACACCCAGACCCGAAACAACAATTTGTGGATCACACAAAGAGTTGCTCCGTGCGGGAATCGAACCCGCGACACGTTGCACGGCACGGTTGCCCAGCCATCGCACCAACCGTGCAGTCTATATAGATGGTTGGCAGGCCTGCTTCACACGTAGTTTTTGCCTTGCACATTTTATTCGTAGAAATGACGTTTCAGCCTCCACTCCTAAACTTTGATTCGTTTTATCTAATTATTTTTTTATTATACGAAAAAATAAAAAATACGTGTCTAATATTTTTTCATTACCTAAATTACGGACTAATTAGATTTTTAATTTTCATACGCAGTCATCATCCCTATTATTTATTTTGCTGCTCATGAATATGGGCTCATATTCTATCAGGGCTTGAAACTAGTTGAGTTCCTCGTCAAATATTAACGTGATGATATGACGTGAGTAAGCCGAAATAAATAACAATTAATCGATCACAATTCTAAATTTCGTAATATTATTGTTACAGAAACTATACAAAAATTCAAAAATTCAATAGCATATTTCACAGACCCGTGAAAACCAACCTCCTCATAAACTTGCAACTAAACCATTTCCCAAAACACTCATTCAATGTCACGATAAAAGTACTCTTAATTCTACACACAATTTACATCTCAAATACTCTATAAATAGGTCTTAAACTCTAATCACACTGTTATATCGCTATCTAATCAGCTTCCTGGCTTTCTTTCCACTATCAGCGTCTAATGCACATGTTATGTAGTCCTACTTAATCAGCTCTTAACTTATTCAGTTTACTTTGAACAAGGCCCCACTTCAACTGGCTACTGGTAACTTGGTATAGTACCTATAGATAGCGTTGATTCAAATCCTTTAAACCGCATGAATGCCCGTATATGAGACACAATAATTTAAGTGTGGGAGAGCCATGCTTCGGCACGAATGGGCCGGCTCGACCGGAGTGATACCTCGGCCACACAGAAAACAGACGTGAAGCAACGCTTGCGTTGTGTTTCGTCGTGTGAGTAAGGTTACCAGAGACCCAATTACCCTCCCCTTCCCCAATCTCCCCAATTCCTGAATCCCCAACGATCCTCAAACTCCTAATCCCCAAAAGGCCGGTAACGCACTTGCAACGCCTCTGGTGTTCCAGGTGTCCATGGGCGACGCCGATTGCTTACCATCAGGTGATCCGTCTGGTCGTTTACTGGCTTATGCCATAAAAAAGGATAGAAAATACACTGTGTCTCGCATGGATCCACGCATGGAGTTAATGTTGATTGTTTGACTGAATATTTGTTAGTAGGTAGTAGGTTCTGTCAAAGGCATCGCCCGTGTTCTCGTCCGATAGAAAGTAGCCTATGTGTTATTCGAGATTTCATTCCGATTCCTTCAGCCGTTTTTGCGTGAAAGAATAACAAACACACACGAACATGGATATCCTCACAAACTTTTACATTTATAAATATTATTAGTACTTAGGAAGTAGGATTAGTTTATTTTAATAAATATATTTGTAAATTTTCAAGTACCTACCTTCTTATGTGTTTCATCGTGTTTGAAGACGAGACAAGGGTTCATAAAGAAATATTATTTTATTTAAAACTAACCGATTAGTTCCGTAAATATACTGAGAAGAGAACTATAGTAGGGGAAGCTCTAAGCTGTAGTTTTAAGTCATAGAAGGACTCTTTCTCCTGTTATACTCTAAATTACCAAAGAACCGACTGTCAGTTTTCTTGATTAACAAATTCAATCAACATATCATTAAAAAAGATGAATAGCAACATTAAATTATAAGACATGTTTTAGTCATCAATAGATAACACAGACGCCTAATTGTTTACCAATAAATAATCCAATCATTTAGTTTTTTCCGTAAAAAACATAAAAATTAATGTATTTATGTAGACTTCGACGTGTAATGCGATTAAAAAATACTTAAAAATGAATCCAATTAGTTAGACATTAAGTTACATTTTAGGGCATTGATCTGACGATGACTAAACTAACGGTTAAATTATCGTCACACAGTTAGTATTTGCATGAATTGTAAAATAAAAGTAATGTAATTTACATAAAGTTATTATTATCGCATACTTGTTATACCTACGTATGCTGAGCGTACCCCATTGATACGTTTAGTAAAATTTCAATGACAGAGGTTTGGGATATTCTAAGGCACAAAAAAGTTTTTATTCCAAAATTCGTAGCACCTGGGTAGGTTGCATTAAATCGGCAATAGGCTCTTCTCATTTTAGGAGAAAAAGATATAATTGTAGTGTTACTTCTTCATCATATCAGCCACAAAACTCCCATTACTGAACATAAACCTTCCACTATAACTAACAGATTTGCTGCCCGTAAGCAACCTGCTTATAGCAGCAGGCTAACTATTAATAGTAACTTAGGCTCTCAAAACTTTTCCTTTTAATTATACTATCCTGAACTTAATAAACCTAAGTATGTATGTATCGTATCGAGACTATCTCGCCTCCTACAAATCTAACAGACGTACAGACAAGCTTAAATTCTATCTGTATCTAATCTGCTTGTGTCCACCCACTGGAACGCAGCTATCTTTTAATATGTTCAGTTACTTGTACAAAATGAGATTTATTTATTTATATCTAGTCTGATTTACATAACTTCGTAGGTGCTGAGAAATGAGGATTAAATAAAAACCATTCTAGCATTTGACCTTGGTTGCACAATTTCACAACTATGAGCTTGATAATTATCTAAACAATTAGAGGGTTTTTTTTTAAGGTGGGAAAATCATCAAATGACTGCTCCCGCCTGGGTGAGGCGGGAGGTAGTGTCAGACTCTTACTGACTAAAAACCACCCCGTTCGTTCTCCTGCACGTCGAGCCGGAGCCCCGGTTACCCGTTAGGTTCTCCGCGACAAACAATTAGAGGGTTAAATAGTTACAAGTGCAAGTTTAGGGGTGTTGCAAATTAATATAGGAGATTTTGTTAAAAATAATAAGATGCAATAAGATGCATACATAAGATGCATTCAGACAAAACGCACTCAACACACAAGCGTAGTACCTATCCACGTAAAAGTTAGACGCATATATGATTGACTCAAGCCTTAATTGTGGGACATGAATAGTGAGCTTCAGACTATAAATATTAAAAGTATCTGCTATGTATCTAAAATTTCACCTCTGCGTTCTTACTAATAACCTATTTTCACATCCACATATTTTTTATAGGAAACCAAACAATTACGTAAATCGTGTACATTTAACGTGAACTTTTGAAAATAACTGACATAACGATGTGTAAAAGTGACAGTGACAGTTCAATAATGTGACAGCTGTCATTTTAAAGCAATATGGCGTCGTTTGGTGTGTTTCGGTTCCTCGTGCTGCTGGCTGCGTTAGTGTGGATCCTGGCTGAGGAGAGGAATGAGACACGGAAACTTTATCCATGGACCAATGGCAGTTGGTTGTGAGTATCTATTTGAATAATTTTTTAGGACAGTCCTGCCAGTAGGTAACCTTTTCTTTGTGGCTAAAAGATATAGCTTGCAGAGACTGGATATTTTAAAGGTATCGACTTAACATAAGTGACCAAATCTTTTGCCTGAAGTTTTGTTATTGTTATTGGTGTATTGTTCTCCTGAGAATCGTAGAATTGAAGTCACAGAAGGGTCTATTAAAAGCAGATATAATATTTTGAATCTAACTGAAAATTCCTTAGCTCTAGGTGATCAAACGAGTTTACAACTCGGCTCTTCTTGCAGTATCATCGATGTAAGCTATTTCTGATCTTACATTAAAAACGTTTCATTATAAAACAGCCATATACACACAAAAACGCCAATGTCGTCGATTTTTATACAAATTCCACGGATTAACTCATGGTACTGCGTTTGAAAAATCTCTTCAGCTCTGTATTACCAATAAATAGCTAGTGTATGCTTTATATTACGTGTACATATTTTATAGCAAGTCTAGACATGTCTCAGGTGGCCTAAGCTACAATAAACTCAAGTTTATATGACGGTGTGGCGTGACGACGATTGAGTAGCTAGCTGTTTGAAATAAAACTATTTTCGCAAATAACACATGACGAGGTGCAAGATTTTCTTCTTTATATAGAGTGTTTTTGTTTGTTATTTAAAGCGGAGGAGAATATATTTGTCACCTCTGCTTTTCTTGTGGATGGCGTAAGAGCTGACTTAGTGACAATACAGTTGGGCTCGCTGCCATTGCAGCGGTAAGTCCCCTCTTTGAGGAATGGCTTGAGAGACGTTACGGCGGCGTCCTCACCCACCGCCTGCCGCAGGTCCTCACCGGACATGGGAGCTTCGGTAGGTACCTGTGTCTGGGGCGGGAGGAAACGCCCGGGTGTCACTGCGAGGACCGCCTTGAGGATACGGTGGTAGGGGCATGCCCTGCATGGGCTGAGCATCGCCGTGCCCTCAGGGATATGATCGGGATTGGCTACTACTGCTCTCTTATAAACTTGAACCTTTTGAACCTGCCATAGTGTTTGTATTACCTACTCACAACTGTTTGCAATTTATTTGCGGCATTTTATTACTAAGTTGTAAATCACACTCGTAGATATATTGAACTGAGTACTTTGTAGGTGCCAAACATATAAATGTTCTGTGGTAGGCACATCCAATCATGGTTATGGCATCCAGTTCAGACTATCCAGCAGTAGAAACTACGCGTCCTGCTACGACGTCATCAACTAGAACCAATTAATATTACTTACTTATGTTTGTTATATTTCGCAAGATGATCCCAACTCAAAGAAACGAATTGATAACATGTGTAAAACAAAACTTTTATTTGATACTCTTTAAACCTTCAGACTTCCAAACTGTCCCATTTTCTCGTGTCCTCGAAAAGAGGCGAGTACAGTCACTAACAAACGGAACAAGGAACTTGGGCCTACTCTCTATACCCAGTTCCCAAAGCCCATACGCCAAAGATGTTAGGATTGCGTAGTTAAAGAACCTATTTGGATTAATAAACAGCAACCATTTTATTAACACAGACGATAGTGTGAGTTTAGTGTTAGGCCGGGCGTATCCTTCCTAGCTCCGTACAGCCAGAACTCGTAACTTAGTGAGGTGAGCTTACTGCTAACAAACGACAATGTTATTGTGTCCTGAAAAATAATAAAGAAATAAGTTTATCGCCTGATAAAAAAAGAGTAGCAATTTTTTGCTGATGCGTATTTATCGTTGTGTAATGGTAAGGCACGCTATCCTAGTGTCCATAATTTGATACGGTAACTTGTATAATAGCTTAGTAAATAAACATTTGAGTTAATTTGATAATTAGGATAAAAATGTTACCAGAATTTCTAACAGATATAGGTTTAGTTAGCATTTAAAACTTTTACATGAAACTATTTATTGTAGCGCCTACGCAAATATTGTACGCAATACTATTACGCGATGCAGTGCGTTATAACAATTTTGTAGGCGTTACAATTAGCTACCGTGTTTAATTTAGGCAAGAACTAAAAAATATATAGAATGTTACAGTTACATTTTTATTCATACAACATGTAATTAATAAATAAATGTACACTGTACTAACCTGTAAAACACCGCCTTCCATGATGTACCCCTCACTCGAGGGTCCGTCTATATACAGGATTACTTTGAAACCAGTTACAATGTACTCTTCATCGTCTTCGTGTAAGATTGCCTGCAAATGTCAAACCCATAAATTATTACCAAGACTAAACAAAAACGTATTGCGTTTATGCCAAATATTTTAATTTGAGTTGAGCAGTTGGTAGTCGTGTACATTAGACGCAGAGTAAAAGTAATTATAATTGAGTAACTTTGGACTTGTACTCTTCCCGCATTATCATCAGAGCCAACATAGAGACTACACATACGACAGACACCGGGATAGCCGATCAGCGCTCATAAATAAACCTGAACCTTTTCAACTACGATCTCCCAATTGCAATCCAATGAAATCTAAATAATTATCTAATGTGAAAACTATCTAATCTAACTATTTAATGGTACAACCCCTATCGTAGCTGCTAAAGTAGCATTCAGAATACGGAATATAAAGCTAAACTCAATACTATTTAGTTCATGAAATATTCACGCAATACAGATGCAATGGGAATGGGCGCTAGTGTTGCAACTCAAGGGTACGAAATTTCACAATACCAATGTCGAGGGATCGGAATTGGATTCAACAGTAAACTGGCGTGGAAACTTAAGATCATGGCAAAACCCTCTTGTCACTTCAGGAGGACTGGCAGGAGAAATCACTTCACACACTAGGTACTATGGACCCCGTCACCCGGTAAAATGAAAAAAAACGACGTTTGGTACCTCTTTATCATCCGGTGGGTACCTGAGTGTAAGGTTCACATCCTGCACGGGAAACGTCCAGCCGCTCGAGCCATACACCATCAAATGACTGCCTGTGGAAGTTAATTAAACTGTCAAACACCGCGAGGACACCGGTGACCGCAACCTATTGTTCTTTAATTGTGTCTATAATGACGGTACTCAAAGGGATTTTTTAGTTATTTGTTTAACGTATTTTACTTAAGGACATTTGTAGGACTAAGTATTAGTTAACCTGGCTTGTTTCTGAAGTTCAATTGCGAAAACTTTACGCATTATCATCACAATGGTGTACTTTCCTCAAACAAAAATCGACTGTTCAATACAATAAAATATTAAAAAATAACCCCCCTTTCAATAATCGATTTTAAGAGCAACTTAATTTTATTAATTTTCCAACAATTTTTCAAGAAATAAGTATGCTGTTTGACGCTAAAAAACGTGACGTCACAATACACAATCTCGTACAAAATCACTGATATGATATGTTATATTTATAAATCTATGTACAAAATTCATAGAAAACTGTCCTTTTGACAGTTCAAAAAAAATAATTTGGTTATTTGGCAAGGATTCTTTATTCTAGCAATGTCGATCATTATTTTCTAACACCTTTAGAAAGCAATTAATGTAGGTATGAAAATGATGAATCTTCGAACTGGTATAACACCTTCATCTTGGATCCTATAACTTTTACGCCATATTAACGATTGATTGAAATGGCTAGTTCTAACTATACGTACTAATTTTACGTTGGCCGCGACTTTCAGAATAGGCCCAAAATGTATGGACACGAGACGACAATATCCTTTTTTCCAGTTAAAAATTTAATTAGATTTTTTTTATTTATTTAACCAAATTTTTTTAATTGATTATACAGTCTGGAATATTGTACCCGGCTTTTGGCAATAGACTCGCCCTACTTCTACTTATAACATTTTACTGAACTCCTAAACGTAACTGGTGAATAGAGGGCATCCCATTATACAAAGAGAGTTGCTCATCTCAATGTGTAAAAAAACTATTTATTTATTTATCAAGTTATTAAATCGAGCACAAGCGTTCCCTGATAAACCTGATATTTGTCTCCTGCATCAATTTACCGAGGGAAGTGGAACTATCGTTTTTTTCTTCTCCTCTTATAATATCTGATTAATTTCGTTGCGAGAACCAAGTTAGATACTTATGTCCCTGGAACGCACCGTACTTCAATGTTCCGGTGTTTTTCATAGGTACTTTAGATCCTGGCTTACAGGAGTTGCAGCGGTTTTGAGAGGTTGTAGCGGACTTGTCCCATAAAAAAGCGTACAAATTATTTTATACATATTACATAGAGAAGTAATAGTTTATACATATCTATTATATACCTTATTACATAGAGAAGACCTGTAATCCAGCAGTGGATGTGGATTCTTAAGTACTGTCGATGTAACAAAGTCCAAGCAAAGAATTGCTAAGTAATTTACAAGGATATAAAACATAGCATTACATTTATGACTTTTTATTTGATAACAAATAACGAAATGTCAAAATATATAGTTTTATCTTATTGATAAGTTTATTGCGATTGCGTAATAAGTAGGATGACTTTCATGACACGAATTTTCACTGTAGGTTAGCCAGTATATCAAGGTACTCCAGAAATTATTTCAGTCGATTGTAGACTTATATACAAAAGCGTAGAGTTGAAATTACATTTGATTGGACTACCGATTTAAATTTTCGTTATGTAAAAAATGCATCTGTGTTACTGGCACTGTTATCGTCTGTCAAAATGTTATCGATATCATTTCGGGTGCTCTGACGTCATGTCATGATGAGACCAGTCATTCTTGTATACCTGAAACCTACCTGAAAGTACCTACTTCAGGTCTTTCTTTACAAATGGAGTTTTAAATAATACTGTTTTATCTATACTAATATTATAAAGAGGAAAGATTTGTACCTATTTTTGTATGTTTGTATGTTTGTAATGAATAGGCTCAAAAAGTACTGGGCCGATTTAAAAAAATATTTCACCAATAGAATGCTATATTCTTCCAATTTGACATAGGCTACATTTCATTTTGAAAAAAATAGGGATAAAACAATATAATGTACAACAATATTGAAGAACATCATAATGTCTTCAAAAATTTTTCTGATATGATTTATCCCATTTGGAAATGAGTTATACTAATGCTATTTTTAACGTCGTAGTATATAGGTTATTTCTTGGAAATGAGCTAAAACTAAGTTTAAAATTAAATCACTTAATAATTAGACTTAATGTGTAGTGGAAATAATAAAATTATTTTTCCTTGAGGAAATGATCGAATTGGAGCACATAAATAAGTACCTATTAAACATTAACTATGTCATTTTTCCCTATATATATATATATGTATATATTATATAGGTACCGGTGAATAATCACAAGAACTTTGTTTACAGTATGTTTTTTTTGAGAAGGGAAAATCATTCAATCTTCCTTGGATTAGGCGAGAGCGAGTATCAGACTCTCACTGACTAAAAACCATCCCGTTCCTACTCCTACTCTTCGAGCCGGAGACTTCTGCGGCTCCGTATCGGGCATCAGCCCTGCTGGGCCCCATCTGTGGTGGTCTGATGGCGTGTTAACAGTATGTTAGAATTATACTACAGGTGGTTACTGAATTTCAGAAAACTTTAAATTGAAACATTGTCCATCGATAACTTGAGTGGCTAGCCCTATCCTAACATTGTTTCTGTCCTTTCTGTATGAATTAACTTCTAGAAGAGAAATCGGAAAATATATACGAACTTCTGTTAACTGTACTGCTATAACTGAGATTAGACAAGACCTCAGTTCCGGCAAACTTTGTATTTAAGTGCAGGGTAATAACTGGTGTGACATAGCATTATGTTTGCTGCATAATGCTGTATACATAAATACGTATTTATTAATATTGCTCTTACTATATTACAGCCTAGTTTAAAGCATAAAATTAAATGTAGACCATTCGATATTTTTTTTTTCTATTTTGTATCCCGCAACACAGCAATCTGTTTATAAAACATTTAGCCGCTTTCTTGGCTGACTCATTGTTTGAGTGTGGCATATTGCATTGAAGAGAAGTATCCAATGAATTTCTCTTCCTACTAGCTGTTGAATCGGTCTATGAGGTTAGGTAGACTGCTCCTCTTCAGTCTTGCAAATTGGATACTTCCAGATCCCGATAACTTAGAAGCAAGGGCATTAACATGCTTAGATAGCTTTTTCTGATAGTTTGAGCCTCTCTGAGAAATTTCTTCTCTAACTTATGATAATGACGCAATGTTTTTAATCAACTACTTACATTAAGCAATTGCAGTGCCTTCGAAACTAAAATGCCGCTTCTCATGCATGAGGGTGCGCGTTCGAAACCTACTAACGGCAAGTACCAATGTTACTAAACTTTATAATTTATAATTATAAGTTTGAAATCGCCAACCCGCATTGAGCATAGTGGTGATTAAATGCAATACCTTCTCCGTATGAGAAGAGGCCTTTGATCAGCAGTGAGGCCACTAATAGGGTGTTGTTTTGTGTCACCTCACAAGGTGACACAAAACAGTTGATCTCAAATCTTCCTTCACAACGTTTGACTCATCTTTGTCTGTGGCAGCTCATTTCGTAAATTCGAACAAACATTACGTAGAAGTACATAGAAGGTGAATCTATCGCCATTACATAGGTATCAATCAAATCCAACGCCCCAAGGCCCCAACGCATGAGCAAAACCAAAAAAGATTTCAAAATGCATATTAATAACCTGAAAGTACCTAGGTACCTACGGTTTCCTAAATAATGTAAATAAAGAGCAAATTTAAAAAACATAATACTTTAGTCAGTGTTTTTCGATATTATGATTATTCATAGTAAGATAAGAATGATAACTAATCAACGAAGCCAGGTAGCAGTGTAGCTCTGGGAGTGTTGGAGTAATATACTCCTATATAATGTTTTTTTAATGGTGGAAAAGTGCCCTCAGCCAAATTGTATGAGAAAATAATACCATGTAAAGGACCTATTTAGTTTGCTTTAAACACTTTCTAAAATATTCAAGTAAATCAAGAATTCATATAAAATATAATGTAGTGCCAATTTCCCAGTATCCAACTTTAGTTTTCATTTTGATGAAGAAAAAAATGTGAGTTTATGACGTTCTAATTTCAAATCGTTGTGTTTACGTAACTAATCTAGCGCACATTTTTCCTTTGATAATAAATGAAATTGTTATTGACTCACCTTCAATGATGGAGTCCAAGGAGCAGTAATATCTGTTGACAGTCTGATGAACAGTGGAAGCCACTCGTCGTGCCGCCTCATTGGACTGACCAACCATGTTAGGATGGTTGCCTAAGAATTTCCCCACATTATCTTTATCAAACGCTTCAATTTCTGGTTCCAGAAGCTTCCTCCGTTCACAGTGCACACAAACCACATAAAAAACAGAAACACATATTGCTAATATTATAATATTCCCATTCATTACGTTACTGATATGTGTAAACTAAAACGGCGAGCATATCGTCCGCGTATTAAAAGGAAGATTAATTAGTTCTGATTAAGAATGTAATTAAAATAATATTTAGTGATAAAATATTGATATTTCGGTGATAAAGTATCCGTGATCGGTGGTGCTGTTATCGTATTCTGTGGCAGAATGTACCTACTCAGCATATATGGCGATTAGTGCATAGCTATCGAAGTGATTAGATTGGGCAGCGCTGTGCCTCTCGCCTCGTGTAGAACACTGAACCATGTTCCAAGTTGTTTGGGTGTACCAAACACAGAGATAAATGAATATTAGCAATTGATAATGGATATTAATCAACGGGGTTAGATATATAGAGCAGACTTCCTCATTGGTTCATTGATCGGCCTGATACTATTGTAGATACTACATAGTAATATTGCTTGTATTCCGTATTCAAGTGGTTTGTGTACACAGCTGTAATTCACGTGCTTTCAGGATTTAGTTACATAGCTGATATTTACAAATGACATTGTTTTTAGCTTTTATTCCCACTACGGAGAACATAAAATGTTGATCTGTATAAGTCCGGTCAGGCTAGACGCAAACTCAAAGTACCTGTCAAATGCTTTAAAATCAAATCTAGACGTGCAGGAGAAGGAACGGGGTGGTTTTAAGTCAGTAAGAGTCTGACACTCCCTCCCACCTCACCCAGGCGGGAGCAGTCATTCGATGATTTTTCCCCCTTAAAAAAAACTATACATACAGTATAGTATACAGTTAAGTTCAGAAACAAATAAAACGAACAAAGCTGGCTACTTAATTACAATCATTCATAAAAATTCCAGTCTCACCATCCATTACCGACTTACCACACGAAATCTCCAATAAAAACTTCAGATAAATATTCAAAGTTTACGAGACAATAAACAGACGCATGCATAACGCAGCTTCATAAGTGAATAATTAATAGAGGATACGAACCGGTCCGGCCAACAAAAACCGTACCGATATCCCTTTTCATCTCATTAGGCCTACTTAAACATTATTACGGGCCATTATAATCACGCGCCTTCACAGACGTGGTAACTTATGGTCTATGGTCCATACTCTATGGATTTATAGAGGTGATAATGTATACTTTATGGTCGTTACGACGTTAGGTACCATAATGTTTTGTCTTTACTTATCTATGGTTTTATCGGCGCTGTAAAGTATGTGTGAAGAGGTTCAGTTGATTTCGTATTTAAGACAATGTTTTATTGATTGCTATAAATCTTTTTAGATTTGTATGTTTGGACCAATTTAGAATTGAAAAGGCTTTTTAAACCAGTATCTTTTATTGAGTACACCATCTCAGAATTTAGAACAAAGCAATGAGGCAGGTGGTAAGAACGCATTATTTTTTCAATTCAAGTAACCAAATGCAGTGACCATGAATAGACATTGAGATTAGATAGTATGATAGATGAATGAAACGATGGTTTAAACTGTTACGTAATAATGATTAATCACTTCAGAACTATATCTTTAGAAATACCTCTCATGATGATATTTTTAATCCTTGCGATTAAAACTGGTAAACTGAACTTATTTGCGGTTTCCTTGTGGAACATATATCCCTTGAGAGTGTACGTCATTTTTACAATTTATGTGGTCCTTAAAGACGCAAATAAACAACATTAACTAATCCAAAAGACAAACATTAATCGTTTACACCATTTCAAATGTCCTAAACAATTAGATGACGAAACCACAAGGCGCCATTAACAGATTATAAAAACGCGGCAACAATTTTATATTTCGAACACATCGAACAAAGATGGCTGTCAAAGCCCTCTTGTCTATTATTCTACTTCTATCAATTTCTGTGTCCCTGGTACTTGCACGTGGTCGGGGCAGCTTATCCATTGGCAATACTTTTGGGAGCCATTTAATTTATCAAGAAACGCATTATAAATATGGCATACCGTTTATTGTAAGAGATGAAGATATCACAGTGAAAGGTGTCAATAATGAAATTATTGAGGCAGTGGTCGTGAATGATTTAGAAGGAAATGGATTGTGTTACATCAAGACTGGTGGAGTTGGACATCATGATGTGACGATACATTTGGAAAGCTCAAGGGGACATGGCTACAAGTTTTTGGTGGAAGTCTATGCCAAAAAATACTATAAATAATTCTTAACTAAGTACCTACTTTGAAGTCAATGTTCAATAAATTGTTTCTTGATTAAAATTACTTGATTGAAATGTTCTTTTAATTTTGTACAGCATTCATATTTTACATACCTCTTAAAACTCTTCAATAAACGAATCATTTCGTACCTATTGATGATATATAAAAGAGCAATGAAACACAGGTAACTATTTCCCATACGTATTTTCCATTTCCAATAAATAAGCAATCAGTGCATATCACGATATGAATGAAACAAGCCACGGATTAATTATTTAGCTCCAACCAATATGACTGTCCACATTCATAAATATTATAGCCTTCGATAATTACAAACTAAATAACATATTGATGTATTTTGAACATGATATCACGCCTTTTATCTCTGAAGAGGTAGACAGAGGTGCACATTGCGGCACTATGCCACTGTACAATATAAAACCCACTTTTCACTATTTATGTTATGAGTCCCATGAAACAGATATTATTACCTCGTTGCCAACGATGTGCTATAAAATCATAGATATTAAATTGAAATTCGATTTATTTTTTTGACCGAGGAAAAATTCAACAGCCCGTGGCCGTTAACAGCTACATAAATTAAGGGGCTCTGGACTAGAACACCGCGCCGGAAAAGCGGGGTAAGTATAATAAGTCGCAGTTAAAAATGACCAGGTTCATCTGAATACGCCGCTGTCCTGTTTCTGTCGAATGTTGTAGTCCTTTAGAGTCGGCTGTAACTAAATGCACGCGAGTGGTGACAAACGTGTTCTATTCTTCTAGGTTTCTACACTGTACAGTATTGTCACGTTTGCGACCATTAGAACAAGCAATCAGAACTAATCATAAGTATCTATCGACCTAAACATAAGTAGCCACTCGTACATTACGATAATGAAATCAAATTAAACGGTAAACAATTAATCTAATTAAAGTATGCTCCGAAACCATAAGTGATTAATATTGGATTGTAATCAAACATTTGCTCAGCACTGGACTCAGGTTAGTCCTAGACTATTCAAGTAGAAATCCATTTCACTAATTAGTTTCAGTGATTTGAACTCTATGTACATGTAGTTTAGGTTGGTATCTATATTTATAACAATCTTCTGTATGGTCGGTTAGGTACATGTGATCCTTTTGATGTTGTAACTGGTACTTAGGCTACGGTACAGACTAGGAAACACAAACAAATAAAGTATAGGATACGGCGACCACTTTTGTTAATCAAGCGATTCGCAAAGTTCATTGCTGACACGACGCGTGATGCACGTGAAGAAATACATACAACCACGATTGTAATTGTATTGTAAGTGATTATGTTGATTTGTAGGTGCAACAGAAACATAGCTTTTTAGCAAAAATATGTACGCAAATGTTGAAGGGAGAGTTAGACTTCAGTGCTTAGTAATTTCTTTTGACCACGGGAACTTATCAAATCAAACCTTCTACATATTATAAGTTAAACACAATTTCCCTATTTATTCACTACAAATTACATGGATTCTCAGAAACATATGTAACTACAGATAAATAGTATCAACCAAACTGTTCACGTATCAAATTATTAGGTTAAAAATTCCCCGAGATGTGCCTATGACCATGTAGCTTAAGTTAAGGTAATAAGGTTGTTTTTCCGTTGGTTGTTTAGTAAGATACGATATAGTGACCTTACAGCCTTGTCGACGATCATTCGCTCATGTTTTAAACAATATTAGGAATGGTTTACATGGAGGCGGAAATGTGTCAAAGAATTTATTATGATTAATTTATGCTTCAAGGTTTTTTAAAGCATAAAGCTATTTAATTGCTTATTGTAAGTAAGTTGTCATTTTGATTTATGTAGGCCGTGTTATTACTTGTAGTATAATATCTTTATTTTTATGATCGTCTAGCGTTTGTCAGCAGTTTCATCCACGTAAAGTTCTATGAAGTCCAGTTAGTCACTTCATTCAAATCTACATTATATGATGTGCGCTACTTTTACTCGTGTAAATCTTCAGCTTTCTTTAGAAGAAATGCGTATTTCTTGTACGTATTTACAAGACAAGTGTGGGAGAGCCTCCGGAGTGATGACACGGCCTCACAGAAAACCGACGTGAAGCAACGCTTGCGTTGTGTTTCGTCGTGTGAGTGAGGTTACCGGAGGCCCAATTACCTTCCCCTTCCCCAATCTCTCCAATCCCTGAATCCCCAACGATCCTCAAACTCCTAATCCCCAAAAAGCCGGTGACGCACGTGTAACGCCTCTGATGTTCCAGGTGTCCATGGGCGACGCCGATTGCTTACCATCAAGTGATCCGTCTGCTCGTTTACCGGTAATGGCATAAAAAAAACAAATCTCATTCATTCATTATATTTCGTACTACAGGCGCGAACTTATTTTAAATGTCAGCTTAAAAAGCTTTAGCTGTATTGATTTTTATGCGGTTAACACACTTCATACGAACACTAAACAAATTATGAATCATCACTCATGTAAACACAGTCTTAAATAAATGAACAACTGACCTTTGCACTAAATATCGTTCAGTAACGATTTACCCACGACGCGAGACGGACAAACAATCATGTTTAAACATTTACTAATATTGTGCGCTATTGTAGTCGCGGTGCACTGCAAAAGCGTCATCGTTGGTCAAACTTGGGAACAAAATGGCGTGAGAAAAGTCTATGAAACTACTGTATCAGCAAATTCTATACCATTATTCAAAAGAACGAAATATGTGAACTTTGAATTCCCAGACCAAATCTCGAAAATTAAAGGCATCGCCATCAAAGACCAAGACAATGGTTTAGCGGAGCCATCTATCACCATGGGAGGCCTGGGATTCAACTTTGCCAACCTCAAACTGAAGAGTGAAAGAGGATCGGGATTTAACTTCCTCATAGAAATCTACGGATGAACCTCCTTTCTCCTTTTTAAGAACACTATCGCGTAACGTGTTTATTATTTTGTTAAAATGTGGCACATCATAATGGTGTTTTGTAAATAGAACTGTGACAAAAGTGGCAGGTACTTATTTGTACTTACTTATAATATTTTGATTGTAAATCCTTCCTGAATTGTTAACGCGTCATTAATTACAGTTTACAACAGTACAATGGATGTTTTTCTTTTGACACATGTGCATACAGAATACACAAACAGAATTAAGGTAAAATTCCCACGTAACTCCATGTAAACGCACTCTAACGGCCGGTGAGCTAAATTGCTAGCCATTTGACCTTTCCCTCTTGCATATCAATCCGTCTCATTCCCACACTGGCATTAAACAAACACATTACAAGTACACAAGTCGTGGAGGTTACTCCTGTCCAAGAACAAAAATGTTTAAAGAAATCGTAATTTTGTTTTGTGTGGTAGTGTTGGTCCAATCGAACAGTGTGTTCGTGGGTCATGTGTACGACCAAACTGGTTTGGTTCGGAAGGTGTATGATAAAATGGTTGAAGCTACAGGCATTCCGTTGATAAAGAGGGAAGAAGAAATATATTACGAGTACCCTGCTGGTGACCAGAAGATTAAGGGCATTGCTATCAAGGATCTGACTGATAGTAAAGCGCAGGCTTCCATCACTCGTGGAGGCTTGGGCTTTGGATTCGTGAATATCAAGTTGAAAAGCGAGAGAGGGTCCGGATACAAGTATTTGATTGAAGTATTCGCGTAACTTTGTGCTGTGGCCAGTCAAAATACTCATCTCCGAAAGTAAATATAGTGCGTTCGTTGTAACTGTGCTCTCTGTAATTAAAGTGTTCGTTACATATTGTTGTTGTCTGTATTATTTTACTGTTTGTTTCTTAACCTTCCTAAATATTTATCTCTTCACACTTTACCTCTCTTTTGGTTCTCCTAACTGAATTATTTATAGTGATGTACTCGAAGCACTTTTTTTGTAATGTCTTATTATGACTTCTTATCAACATGAAATATGTATTTGGTTATTTCATACTTATTCAGGTTATATTATCTTGTAACTTGATATACTTTGACCTGTAATACCAACGTATTGCTTAAATATTTGCCTGTTAAATCTTTAAGAGGTATTAAGAAGTGTACCTCCCTAAATACGGTTTCTCTTTTCTTTTTTAGCACCCAGCACAAGCTATAAATACAGAATATTAGAAATTATACTTTAATTACTAGGTCAATAGGAACCTAAATAAAATAACTTTTCCCCTCGATAGGAATTTAATACCTACCTACGTTAGCATTGCAACCTTGTTTGTTCATTTATAATTCTTTTGCCGTATGCCTAAGGCATTTTTACCAGTGTACCTTGAGTGATGAGTCATACATTAACACTGGGACTACTTACCTATATCACCTAGTTATATTATACGTGACATTTTGTGCTTCATATGCAACGATCTAGATCCATAATTGCACTTCATCAACAGCCTATAAATGCATACTCCTAAGCAAAGCCTCTTCTCACACGGAGAAGGTTTGAGCATTAATCACTAAGCTTACTCAATGCGGGTTGGCGATTTCAAACTTCTAATTAGAAATTATAAGCCCAGGTTTCCTCACGATGTTTTCCTTCACCATTTGTCAGTCGTGTATAAATAATCTTAGGAAGTATACGTAACTCGCAAAAAGTCACATTGGTCCTTGCTGTTAGTAGGTTACGAACCCGCACTGTCATGAAAAGCGGGCGTCGTAAACCTCCGGGCCAACACGATGTTTCAAAATGCACTTACGTGTTATCCTTACTAATATTATAAATCGGAAAGTGAGTTTGTTTGTTTGTTTGTTCCGCTTTCACGCCGTAACTACTTAACCGATTGCTTTGAATTTTTGCAGAAGTAAAGTTAGAAGTCCGGATTAAATAATAGTACTAAAAGGGTACTTTTTATCCCGGAAAAATTGATATTCCCGAGGGAAAACAAAAGTATTAGTATAGATGGCGCTGTGTGTACTGGTATATGTCACATAGGCCACTTCTTATCTTTTTGTGACGCGAGCGAAGCCGCGGGTAAAAGCTAGTATAAAATAATGCTTAACTGAATACTTTTAGGAATGTACTACTTATAGATGTCCAAATCCGTGCTGTACTAGGAATTCGAAAATCTTAAGAGGTTACTTAAGACTAATTAAGGAGCTCGATGCCGGTTACTTCCAACCGGCCGATCTGAAAGTCTGGCCTATGTTCAACGGTGGACGTCTTGTGGCTGATATTACCTATGATAATGAGGTTTCTATGTCAGAGTTGTATTAATCTCTTATCTATCGATATATGAGACACAATAGAAAACACATTGTGCCTCGCGTAGATCTGCGATCTGACATGCAAGAGGTTAAATGACTTTATTTATAACTTACTTTTTTGCCAGCGGCTTCGCCCACGTTCCTGTGGTATAAAAAGTAGCCTGTGTTATTCCAGACCATATTCTATCCCTGTTCCAAATTTCACCCTGATCCCTTCAGCCGTTTTCACGTGAAAGAGGTACAAACACACACACTTACATACATTTTCACAAACTTTTGCATTCATAATATTAGTAACCAGGTATGATTAGTAAGATATTATTTACATCAATGTGAGGCAAAACTTACGTAACATACGAAGTACTATTATAGCATTTAAACTGTTGATCGATAAAATTTACTGTTGTCACTTACGGTTTAAGATTTACGGAAGATCCTTCAAGAATATTCCACTCAATGTTTATTTGTACAAATTAGAATCTATGTTACGATGACAACAAAGAATGTTAGTACTAATCTCCTTCACGTAAACACGTTTGTTAGGTCTTGAACGAAGGACCAAAGTGGTCCTGACTTTCACATACCAATTACATACTGACCTACATTCTACTTACTTCTTTTTTTATGTAATAAGCCGGTAAACGAGCAGATGGATCACCTGATGGTAAGCCACCGGCGCCGCCTACGGACACATGAAACACCAGTGCCGCTACCGGCCTTTTGGGGATTAGGAATTGGGGAGATTAGGGAGGGGTACAATTGGGCCTTCGGTAACTTCACTCACACGACGAATCACAACGCAAGTGTTGTTTCAAGTCAATTTTCTGCTCGGCCGTGGTATCACAGCCGGCCCATTAGTGCCGAAGCATGGCTCTCCCGCACTTGATATTATATTATGATAACCTCGTATAAAATAGTAAAATACAGACATGATAGAATAAACTTACGCTTTTCTCCCATACTGGTTAACAGAACTACGGTGTCGCGTTGATCCTCGCATTATTATTTAGTTTCCAACACGGCTACGCTGTAAACCAACGGAAATCACTGATTGGTATGAGGGACCCTACTTGTAGGTACCTTTGACATATTGTTACAAGGACATTAAACTAGTTTTAATCTAAAACAACAAGATACAAAAGTCAAACATATTATTATAAATAAATGTATTGTATAAATGTATGGTGGAGTCTGTCATGGATTATGCTCTTGATTGCTATGGGCTTACATTCAACACCTACATGGAAAAATTAGAAAATTTACAAATAAGGTTCCTAAAATTACTGGTTGATAAAAAAACTAAAAATAAATATAAAAATGACTACTATAAATTATTTAAAATCTGTAAAGTATTACCGGCCAGACTTAAACATAAATACATTCTCGCAACCAATAACCACAGCAAGCAGGAACATAATCCACCATTGATAACAGTTTGTAATAAACACAACACCCGATCGATGTCGTCTGGTAAATATGAGGTACCAAGGGTTAATAATGTTTATGGTGATCGAACAATGAAAAAGCGTATCCCGTACTTACTCAACCATTTGCCCAACCGAAGTCAGGGAAGAGAAAAATAAAAATAAATTTAAGACTAAATTAAAAAAATATCTGTTTCGCACACTACCATAACCACATGTCTTTAAAATTAATCATAACCATAACCATTATCATAGTAAACTACAATTACCTACTAAATAGTAATTTAAATATAGAAGATCCAACAGTCAAACTATTTACATATAGTTTTGTTGGACATGGCGTTAGATTATAAGGCATACCATGTACCTTTATTATTAATAAAAATAAATAAATAAATAATAAATAAAAAAGTCAAAATTGTCCGGAAAATATCAATTCAGTATTCATTACCGTTTGCTCCATTTACGAAGTCATTTGGCGTACTCTGAATGTTAGAAGAAAATCGTTGAAGGTGATTCTTTTCAACGTAGGGCACCTAACCTTGTCAAAAGGCTCTGCCTATATATATGACACTTTTTAATATTAGATATGCTTTTCAGTTCTTTTTGTACAAAACTGAAAGTAGCCGTGAAAAAATATTTAAATGAAATATAACAAATTTCACTAAACACATTTAATTTTTACATTCAAATAATTTTGTCTATCACAAATTCACAAACAACTTTAACCACAACGTTTATCTGAGACAATAACAACCGATATGTCAACTAGTTAGATTAATAAGGAAGGAAACATTTAAGCTATCCATTCTACACATTCCCTAAAGAACAAACAATCCTAAACCATAAATAAAATACCAAAGTTCATAAACAACACTAATAAAAAAACATCAATCCATTATCTTGATACACCTCAATGAAGTAAGCACATTAGATCAACGTTAAATATTCTAGGTATCGTAAATTAAAGTGTAAAATATTGATTCCGTGAATAGAACAGTGTGACCAGAGCGAAACAATCGGAACAATCGACTATTATAGACGCATGGATAATATTTCCTTACTTATTTATTAATTTTTAGCATATCTGGCTAAGGTATTGTTCACAATTACAGAGATACAGTAATGTAGGGCATCATTCAAATTCTGCATGGTCTGCAACGCCCTCGTGATTCATCTAGTGTTAAACCAGAGACGTTGCAAAAACAGGCGGACATAATGACACTTAGAAATGATTGAAGCACCAAAATGTCAGTGATTTTTATGTGTGCGTGTGTAATGGGTTACCACGTTACAAGACTTAAAAAAATAACAGATGTCCTTCGTGTCAATGTGTATATGTTCTGCGTGTAAGTCTATAGTAGCCAGGTGCCACAGTCGTTGTTTCAAGAGACTGTATTGTATCCGCCTTTTTTCAACGTCATTGTTTTACTTACGACTGAAATTAATTTCCGATCCCAAAATCCGTGGATCAATCTACAGATTTTTGACAGCTCCATACAAGTGATGTCAAAAATTGATCTTAATTCATTCACATCAATTTTGGATTGAGATCGAGATTCATTTCATCCTTTTCCATTTCCAACGTCAGGCAAATCCTACATTGTTTCTGAATGATGTTATTTATTGGATAGCAAACAACTTTCCAGACCCTAATTGTTTGACCATTACTTATTCTTTCAAGACATTCACTCATTCAAAAGAAACGTTGACGTCTTTGTATCATTGAAGTAGAGAAAAAAACTACAGAAAGCCTTCAAATCACTCTACCTATATTATATTTATTCTTCGGTTAGCCTTTACCTTCCATCTGTCATCGTTTAATTTGTAAATGTCTTATAATATCTTCAATTCCTTGATTATTTATTAGGCATGAAGTAAAAACTTCATTTTTATGCACAGTCACGACTTGATACCTCGATATGAACCATACCTAACTCGCCATCTATGTCATTTGTCCATATAAAACGCCATAAATATTATATTAGTTTTGTCATTTACAAGTTAGTGTAAATTGTCCAATGCTGGGGAAGTATTATGATCTCATTTGAGTACATGTATCAGATGTATATAAGCGGCGGTGGCCCTGAGTCTTCATTCACTAGTTTAGTTTAAATCTAAAAATGTACGCTAAGGTATTGTTAACTTTGTTCGTACTGTACTTAAGTACAGTTCAGTGTAACGATATCCGCATTGGATATACAAATTTGAGATCAATAAAAATCTACAGTGAATTGAAAGAGGCTGATCCTGCGTTATGGAAGAGGACAGAAGAGGTTACGATCAAAGCACCTCCTCATGAGTTCATAGATTCTATACACGTGTCAGATTTGAGGGAGGATAAGGATGGAGAAGCGTACATCACGAGTGGTGGCATCGGTATGCCGTATGTGACCATTTCTCTGAAAAGTCCCACAATATTGCGTGGATACAAGTTCCAGATCGAAGTGTACGCCAGCCCTCTTGTGTCCAATGAGGGGTTGTTCAGCAAAGGCAGCTTTAACTACGGTGAAGCCCAGCAGGTGCAGCAGTACCCTCGTAAGTTTTAGGAGTTGATTAAAACGTGAGACGTTGTCATTGTGATGATTTTATTTATTCAATAAATTTTGTGTTTTTTATTTGTTTTTTTATTTTTCTGTTTCTTATTAGAAGATCATGGAGATTAGAATTGATCGTACTGTAAATAGATCAAACTTTTTGTTGTTGAAAAATGCCCGTGGACACCTGGAACACCAGAGGCGTTACAAGTGCGTAACCGGCTTTTTGGCGATTAGGAGTTTAAGGATTGTTGGGGATTCAGGGATTGGGAAGATTGGGGAAGGGGAGGGTAATTGGGCCTCCGGTAATCTCAGTCACACGACGAAACACAACGCAAGCGTTGCTTCACGTCGGTTTTCTGTGAGGCCGTGGTATCACTCCAATCGAGCCGGCATTCGTGCCGAAGCATGGCCCTCCCACGCTTAAAAAAACTTAGGTAATTAAATTAAAAATCATAAATACACAATTATGAATTTGTAAGTAAACTATAAAATTCTTAAATTACGAAGAAAGTCTACGATACAGACGGTAAAAAAGATATAATATGTAAGTACATACATAGTCTTCCAACTCTGCTAAAAAAATTCATCGGAATGGTAGGGAACACCCAGAGACGGGTATCCAATCGAGCTGAATTACAACACATCAGATCTTGAATGGAACAAAGTAACTAATGGTCTATTATTAAAAAAGAGATTGCAATGATGCTGGACAAAGGAAAAACAAGATTTGGTATCAAAATTCGTCAAGCAGTAATAAATCACAACATGAATGTTAAGACCATTATAAATATCATAATATTGGAATAACACAGCATTTCTTTACACAAGTCATATCATTATCGCATCAATCAACGCGATAACTTCAAAATAAACAAACACATTATAGGTATTACTTACCTACTACGTTCTTAGAAGTGAATGAGTCAATGTCACTTTTCATGTGGCAATCGTCATTCAGTTTGTTTGCTATGATGACGATAACTGATCAATTAACTAAGCTATTCCTGGAATATTCATTCTTAAAATAAACACATACTTTGATATATTTATCATATTTCTTTTGGGCCCAAAGAGGTGCAGAGGTGCATGTTACACAATGTAACATCCACTTTTTGCAAGGAATGTTATGATACTTGTGTTATAGGGGGCTGCTATATATATATTGACATATATCAGATGCAATTCCATGCTTCATGCAATTTTAGAAAAGTAAAAACTCTGTGTCGTGGAATTCACATAAAATCGACTTTATTGCTAGACATTGAAGCGGTGTTCGAAAATTGAAAATATAATTAGCCAGGTTATAAAAATTTAAAATCTGATTAGTCCGTCAGTTAGATAATGAAAATATTAGGCACGTATTTTTTTTATTTTCTCGTATAATAATAAAAAAGTTAATATACTATGATAAAATGGCGTTAAGTTTACGTGTTACCACACTATAGCGCTGTAACGTCACATAATATTTCAAATTAATATATCATGGAAAGTATTTAATTTTGTGAGAAAAAAAAATGTGTCTAATGTTTTAAAATAAGCTACCAAACGGACATTAAAACAAAATTTAGGACACTAGCCTATAGTAAAACTCAAAAATTCATTCGGCTATGATGAATTTCGTCAATGAAATATCCGACCAGACAGTTATCCTCTTAATATACGTAAGCAGTACGTCAACCAAATTCCCTCTGCAGGCATAAAGTACACCCACGTCAAGAATGACACAAACCACGACTATGACAATTCTCGTGTTGTTCAACACCGACAATTACTTCATCTTCTCAAATAGAGTCCACAAAATGGGCATGAAAACTAATTAAAATAAATACAATTGAATGGTGAATGTACAAGGAAATTAAAACAAAAGGATCGGAGGAAAACACCTGTTTACACGAACCGTGACATCATCGTGAACAAATATAATAACCTCGACGTGTATTGTATGTTTTCCTATAAATACTCAAAAGTAAAGTACCGATGATATAAAGGATAGGTTTATGCAATTTCAGCACATCAGATAACTAATTTATCTGTGCCTAACTGCTCCTTTGAACACCGTGGCGACCTTATAGTAATTAAGTAATTTGTTTGAGCTTCATACTCCAAATTGTTTTGGAGATAAACATTTTTTTCGGCGTCTTTATACTACACTAGTCATTATACTACAATAATAAACTATGTTTTATAATAACTATCGTGAGACATACTACATTAACTAAAAATTGCGGGTTACTCACGTGAAAAAACTGAGAAAAGCTCTACTAGTTTCGAACCACAGAGAGGTTCTTCCTTACGAGCAGCGGTCGCGGCGATGTCGACCAGACTGTAGGCTGCAGACAGTATCCCGAGATATTTAGTTAAGAATAAACTACAATAAAATATTAATAGTTTGCTAAAACAAACATAATCAATTTTTAATTGGGAAATCTGCAATAAACGAATACATTAGTTGTGTAACTTAAAACCTAGTACCGCAAGACCGCATTAGTATCAAAGGACCAAACTGGAAACAGTTTATGCAGACATTAAAACTGTTTAAGACTGTTAGGAACTATTGAACGTAGAACGTAGAGATATATTGAGACACACAAACCCAAACACTATTATGACATCAAATGACGAAGTTAAACTCACAATAAACATCACAATTATGTACTTACAACTAATTTGCACAATTCATTCACACGTTTCGAGTTCTCAGTAAAATATTCAGTTTATTTGCCAATGGTCTTCATTGAAATGATTCTAAGCTATAAATAAATACCTACATTCTTCTTTTTATTACATATCGTCATATTTTAAATATTCTTAAGTCTTTTATTTGAATAATAAAGTATTTCCCCTTTCGAAAATTTTTATAGGAAAATATATCTAATTCCTTATTTTTAACACGAATTGCTGCCTAATTGTTGTTGAGATACTTGGATATTTTTAATAGCCCAGTACAGTAATAGGTAAATGACCAGAATCCACACTTACCTACCATTTGGATTTGAATGGCATATATCTTAGTAGTAGCACGCAATTTGGAATCAGCTACCAAGAGATGTTACTGGAGGTGTCCATTTCCAAGAGTCGACCGAAATGGACTCTTAATGATGAAGACATCAAAAGATTTCAATTTAAAAGTAGTTGCTTACTCTTAAGTAGAGGCTTGATTGCAATGTTGATTAATATCATGTGAGAACTAAACAAAACAAAATGGCAATCAAATCTCATAATTAAACTGTCAAACACCAAGCGGTCACCGGTGACCGCAACCTATTGTTCTATAATTGTATCTACAAAGACGGTACTCGACGAGTTAAAGCATATTAGACTATATTGTTTCCCAGTGACATAATATTATCTAGAATTTACCATCAATCTCATAGCCCAAGCAAACATCTGCATCACCAGAGGTACCATAAGTGCATTTATGATCATGTTGTCAAAAAACTGTTTAATTGTGTTGTGTCATAATTTTTGGATTCCCCACCAACGTTATTTTAACGTAAAATAAAACCAAAAATAAAATTTTCCCAGCACAACGGAAGTCGTTGTTGTCGTATTGTAAACTTGTTGATCCATGATCCATGACATTGAGCAAACCCGCGTCACATCACATGTCTCACTTGATGGATACATCTCTATATGAGAGGCTGTTTGGTCTGAGGATCGCTTTATACAGAAGTGAAGCAAGAAATTAAAACAAGGAATGTTAGATGCGCCTCGTTTAGTAGTCATAGTGTGAGTCGGGAGTAAGATTACTATTTTTATTCAAAGGTCAGAAAAAGTTTATTGGATTTTTTACGCAGTGGAGCACACGTAATTAGGTAATTAAGGTATATTAGGATGTTAGATAACTGGCTCATCTCCTATTACAGTGGACCACTAACTGGAAAATAGGGCACTGTAAATTTTTCCCTGCTTGTACCTTGAGGAGAAAAAATCGCGGTCTTTATGTTTTTATTTGAATTTTAAGCATAAAACGTGTACAGAAATTATACATTTAAATAAATAATAGATATTAATTAATAAACACTCTGCACACATCTCACATAACACCGCCCGCCTCTATATAAAACATCTTCAACTAATTATCACTTCAGTGCTAAACGAACGAACATAATGAGAACATCAAGTATCGCGATCCTACTCTGCCTACTGGCTGCTGCAGCCAGCCAGAGCCACGACCTGATCCTCGGCCAGGCAACCTACGGTGACGTCATCGTTTTCAAAGCCGACGAGGTCAAATATGGCTTCCCCTTATTTGTACGAACGAGCATCGTAGAGTACCCTGAACAGGGACAGAAGAACTACGCCTACATCAAAGCTATATACGTCAAGGACAATGAACGAGATGGCTCTGGAGGCTATCCCTCTATCTCAGCTGGTGGCATCGGCCAACGATTCGTGAAGATCAAGCTGAAGAGCCAAAGAGGATCAGGATTGAACTTCACAGTCACAATTTATGGAAGATACGTATAAACACCGGAGGTTCAAGAAAGAGGCTGAATGTAAAAAAGTGATATTATAAAAAATAAACGTCATTCCCATTCGAGGTGATCACTTTCAAATATTCTTTTTTTAAAGATTGAGTGTTCGTCTTGACTGACACCATTTTGTTTTTTATTTATTCAAAAATCGTGTTACTTAATTTAATTCTTTTTTTTATTTTTCATTTACACTTTTTTAGAATAATTCTACTTTAAAATAAATCTGAAAAGTTTTGGCGTAAACTTTTTTACTAGTCGATATTTTAAACGATAAATTAATAATTACGCGGGAAAGTTAGCATTGTACAATAACGAATGAAATTATATTTTACTTATCTTTCTTAGCCATTATTTTGTATTAAATTACTGATCAGTATTATAATGTAAATGTTACTATTATTATAATTTGTTAAATTATTAAAGTGCACCTTAATAAGTACGATTTTGTTTCATTATCAAATTGTACCGCCTTCGCACACTATTTTAAAAGTCTCTCTGTTTTTTCAGATGAAATGAAATCTTTGATTGCGAAATTTGTACCTACTAATCTCGATTTATAAATGGCGTAACTAAAACCACAATACAGTACAATTTATTAATGCTTCATCGTATACCATATCAAAGTACTCATAAACTATAAAACATCATCATCATCGGTAGCCCGCTTCCACTGCTGGACATAGGTCTCTCCAATAGCCCACCATGTGCCACTAAGGTCGATCTTCCTTCATTATCATGAGGCCTTAGTACGAGTTTGGTTTACATTTAAAATAATCGAAACGACTACGATTCGGTACGAGTATCGAATACGTATAATATATACGCGCTGAACATTGGCGCCAATCAGAGCGCCAATGTTCGGCGCACTGATTGGTTGGTTCATTCGAGCCGGCCAATGAGAGCGCCCTCTGTAATCTGTGACTGTTCACTACACTACAACCTAGCGGATATCGTCACTTAACCTAGCTGGAGTGCGTCTTATAAAGTAGATCCTTACTGAAAATTCTGAACATCCAATAATACTTTAACCAACCGTTCTTCTTCTTAATGTACGTAACATAACGAGGTAGTTACAACATAATAGCAATAAAGTGTAGAGTATCTTAACTTGTAAGACAACCTCTCTAACATTTACCTGAATTTTGGCATCCATTAGAAATGTGATCATAATCTGCTCTGTTAGGATGAAAGTAAAATATTTAATAAGCATCAGATCATGTTTATAGGTACCACCCCTGCGGTGTATTAAATACCGACTAAGGGATAAATTGACTGCACATTTGATAGAGACTGGATAGCAACGCTCTCTGACAAATTCCTACCTCCAAGATGCCAGACGTGGAGATAATGGCAGACCTTCGTGTGTGAAGGTAGCCCATACCAGTAGATTAATATGGGCTGTTAAATAAAAATATTCTTAACCTCGAGACAGGACGTATGAGTAGGTATGCGTCTCCTCCTTCTGCGAAGCAGTCATGCTAGCGAAGGAAGAGGCGGGGTGCGTGAGGGAACCAACCTCTTTACGCCCCAGCCGTCGCGGTAGACATTCCGGGCATCGGAGATAGCGGGACGATCTCCGGCCACCGTAAGTGCGGGTCGGCGGACGCTGAGCAAAGGTAGCTTGCCGCCCGACCAGAACCAGACCCGTGAAAACGGCGCATCGCGTTCCGTGCGCGCCTCAAAGAGCCATCAGACCACCACAGATGGGGCCCAATAGCGCTGATGCCCGAAGCGGAGCCGCGAAAGGAGGAACGGGGTGGTTTTTAGTCAGTAAGAGTCTGACACTCCCTCCCGCCTAACCCAAGGCGGGAGAAGTCATTGGATGACTTTCCCCCTCAAAAAAAAAACCAAAAAAATACGGGCTATTTAAATAAAAATGTTCTTAACCTCGAGACATGAAGTATGACTAAACTTGTCACTTGTACAAACACGTATTATAATTTACTGTAGGAAGTAAAGTTGCCTTATAATTTGCTTATCTGTACCATTTTCTGAATTCAAACATACGTAGGTACTTCCCGGTTCAAACATTTAGTACGTTGGTCGTTGCATACAAAAAATATTTAATTAGTTTCGTAATGCTGTGGCAGTAGTATATTATTGGGCATTCTATACCACTATCGGCAAGTCGCTCGGCGAGTGCGCCTCGCTGCCGATAGTGGTATAGAACGCCCAATAATCGATATGGTCCAGAATGCCCAATCGTCAACGATCGATTCGGTTAATGCTAGTAACGCAAAATACATAGTCGTACGGTAGTACGGTTTATAAATATTAACATACAAAAAATATTTGTCATTGTTATTCGAACTGTTTCACACAGTAAGCATGAAATTTGTAAAACAACCACAATCGTTAAATATTAACATAATATGTGATGAATTTTGTAAAACTGATTTCCGTCACAGTAAATTATTACCTAATTCAGTACGCTGTATAATTTGCGGACCGTCAAATTGTGGAAAAACAAATTTACTCATTAGTCTACTTATACACGAAAATGGTTTAAGATTTCGAAATGTTTATATTTATTCAAAAACCTTATACCAACCCAAGTATGTGCTATTAGTTTTAATGTATTCAATATTATCTTTGGGGTTCTTATTGTGTATTTCGTTTTTTATAACAGTCCATGTGGCTTTACACTTATTGTCATTCTTGTCAATATACTTCATATTAGCATTACGCTTGGCATTGTAGATACATTTCTGTAGCAGATTAGAGTATGTGTTATATTTGGTCTTGTTACCTTGATTTTTATTTTTATAATATTGGTATCGTAGACCACGCTTTGTTTTAGTACTCTGTTTAAGACCTTTACTTATCCATGATTGTTTAGTTTTTTTGTTTAAGTCTATTTTAACCCTTACTTTTGGGAAGCAGAGATTGTGAAACAGACATATCAATTCATGGAAGCAGTCGAATGCCCTATTTGCATCGTTCTCCATGTATATGTTTGCCCAAGATAAGTTTTGTAAGCATTCTTTAAACTTACGTGTATTATGCAGATTGTAATCTCTCTTAAAGATATAATATATTGCTGCTTTTGATGTCTGAAGCTTTAGAGGGAAGCTTAGCATTTGAGCCGTTTCATGGTCAGAGAGGTGAAGTGGTAATACTCTTGCGATAGCATCAGGTATATTACTTAAAATATGGTCGATACAGGACAATTTACGTGTGGCTTCATTAATATGAATTTCAATATTATGACTACGGGCTATGTCTTGAAATACTTGCGTGATTTTCCCTTTTTTGAAAGTATTTATATTAAAATCACCTGTTAAAACTATACGTGTTTTTGTTTTGTATTTTTTGTAAATATCATATAAGATATTATCTAACTTACTTAAAAATTGGTTAGGATCGGACTGAGGTGTTCTGTATATGCAGATTATGATTAGTTTATCATTTGTTAGTTCAATTCCACATGCCTCAAATGTATTTACAGAGGCATGTGTTTCAACAAACGGCAGTTCTTTGTAAATAAGGCCCTTTTTAATTAAAATGCAAGTGCCACCTCGCTGTTTATCCCTACAGAAATTAGCTACGGCATTAGGTATTGCCAGCTTCGTCCTTTACTCTGGCAGGCATCGACCCTAGTGGATCCCGTATAATATAGTAAGAATAAGTACGTTCTGGTCTAGTTATGACTGCGCGACGAGCTGACTTATAGGTTTATCAAATAATTGCGTTTTGAGTTAATAACAACTTTTGAGATTAAGATAAGCCAGCAGATCAACCTACTGCAATCTGTCAAATTATTTATTGGATTTTCGACTTTATATCAATAGTATAAAGGATAGGTTGACTTGCTGGCTACCGTACTCTATTTTAATCTTATTTCTTTCAAAGAAAGCGTGATGTTTTACTTCATACACAATCTGTACACGTGAGCTATCACACTCTGATGAATCATTTAACAACAAAAGATAAGCGAAACAATATATCGTTATCTGTTAAGAAAATATATAACGTAACGTCACAATTCTGTACAACGTAGAATTTGTGCTGATGACGAATAGAATAGTTTTATAAAAATTACAACATCTTTTGTTAGATTTTTGTTTGATAGCAGCGCTTTCTCATAATCCTGGATTTTTAAGGTGCCATCTCTAGATGAGAAATATTTGGAGATTGCGTCAAAGTCGCTATGTAGTGAAAGCATATCACCCATAGTCCAATAAACAGACACAGCCTGTTAACTATACGATGTTATCGAAAGAATCGAAGAATTTCAATTCAATATTGAGCAAAACAAACGAATGGATACTATGACATAATTATTCCATTGTTATTATCTATATCTATACTAATATTATAAAGAGGAAAGATTTGTACCTATTTTTGTATGTTTGTATGTTTGTAATGAATATGCTCAAAAAGTACTGGGCCGATTTAAAAAATTCTTTCACCAATAGAATGCTACATTCTTCCAATTTGACATAGGCTACATTTCATTTTGAAAAAATTAGGGATCCTTGGTAAAATTTGATCAATGTAACCGAAGGTGTAGAAAAATGACTCTTAAAATGTCTTTCGTCGAATGCGCTGCCGAAACTATTAGCGATAGAACAAAATAATGTACAACAATATTGAAGAACATCATAATATCTACAAAAAACTCCAGGGTAGCATATGTCCAACTATTGTAGTTATGTCACTACAACAATCCAAATTTCCAAAAATAAATAATTGTCTACCACGTGCGAAGCCGGGACGGGCTGCTAGTACAGCTATAAAATCCGAATACTTTTAAATAATTAGGCTAAGAACTCACGGTGCGATTTTCTCCCGCCCGCCGCGGTTGCGGACCCGGAGCCTTTGTACAATACAGATATGTATGTAAAAATTCAAAGCAATTTTCACGGCGCGTTTTACGTCCGCAGCGGTTGCGATTGTCTTGCGGCTTCCGCTACACCGGTCGCATCGCGATCGCAATGGGACGGCCGGTCTGGAACTCAACTGATTGTTGCGACGACTGACGCGAATTTCAAAAGCCACCTGGGGTCTCTCTTTTTTTACGCTCAGGATCATATACGGAGCAACCTACATGGGATGCGTGTGCTACGGGGCACCTGTCTGGGCTGATAGGGCCACAAATGTTCCGGTGTTTTCATGGTTGTATCTACTGTAGATCCTGGCTTATAGGAGTTGCAGCGGTTCTGGGAGGTTGTGGCGCGCTTGTCCCATTAAAAAATGCCAAGTTTGCAAGCAATAATGGCAACCGCGGCGGTTGATGGAAATCGCAGTTAATTGCGGCCTCTTTAGTTTTGAAAATTGCACCTCCATACACGCGGGAGAAGATCGCGCCGTGATTCCTTAGCCTGACAATAATAAACAAACAAATACACATCTATAGTAGGTACAAGATAACAATTCTGTTTGACGTATTTTCCTCATATTGTTATGGAAATGTCAAATGATACCATTATTTTGTACCAAGTACCACATTTGTGAGATGTATAATTATTACATAGGTATTTATTTAGAACAATGATAATATTAAATTATATATTTACGTATTTCATGTATGCTTTTATTAATTTGGATAGTTACCACTAAGTATCTCTTATAACATTTTTGCAGCTTACCACCTACCACATACATTTCTGCACTACCTAAAGGATGACTGGCAGAGAATGCTGTTAGCATTAAGTCTTCGTTATGCAATTGTATAGAACTTAAATAAATAAATAAATTAAATTAGAATAGTTTCCAGTAACTGTTATTGATTCATGCCATTATTTGTTATTGCTTTACTTGAATCTATATTTGACAATTTAAAACAAGAACTAACTTCACACCAAATGCCCATCGCAATATGGGCTTCGTTAGAATGAAATGGATTTGAATTTGCCATTGATTCCGCGTTTGCCAAGTGTGTTGCAGATCGAAGTTTAAAGAGTTCAGTTTTATCAGAGAGCAGTGCTATGCATTCTTTGTCAATGTTCAGTCCCTTAGATTGGTAGGTAATGATGATAAATGTATTTTACGCCGCCGTCGCCGTCGTAAAGTGTCTGGTTGGAATTCATAGATAGTAAATCAATAAATGTTATTAATTGTAACTGTAATTAGAAGGTTCTAATAGATGATGGACATAGTGAAGGTCAAATAACAGGCAGTAGATTGTTTCAAGGACATTAAAATGTATACTTATTCAGCCATAGAGGGTTGATATACCAATGACAGTTCGCAGTACTTTGAAGTTGAATATTTGACTGTTGATGAAGCGAAAGAGGTATGTAAGAATCGTAGCAATTGACGTCCCATAGTCTCGGCCTATGAGACAGGCTTGAAATTATGTATGTTATATAATTATTTACTACTTTCCTTAACCAAAATAATAACAATTGACAGTCACATGAACGAGACAGTTAGTACGATTTAAACTTAGCAATTAAAGTGACCATACAATTTCTTCTCATTACAGCAACATGGGTCTCCTAGAATTCGAGAAATGGTCGAACCAGCCATTCCTCTTTAAAGAAAAGTCCCGGTTTTGCGCCAGGCTCCGTGGACTCACGCCAGGCCAACGTCGAGTGTGTCGACGTCACAAGGACCATATGCCAGTTGTCAGTTCTGGAGTGAAGCAGGGAATCTCTGAATGCCAGTATCAGTTCCAAGGTAGAAGGTGGAACTGCACTGTGACGGGGGACGAAACTGTATTCGGACCATTGACTTTGATTGGTGAGTGACAAATAAAGATCATGTCTTATTATTAACTTGTCATTAAAATTTGAACTTTAAATCGTATGTCGTATGATATTTCGTAAAGACGTAAATACAAAAAGCCAACGGTAGGTTCTCAGCCCGCGATCAGAGTTCGTTGTATTTTCTAAAGCCAGAAACGCCGTGCCGCAGCTGTGCCGTGGTCGTACCATTACAGTGTTCCACGACCTTAATTATTATTTAGTATCCGTTGTCCTAGAACCTTTTTCCATCCCTTTGAAGTACTTAAAAGTTACATAAATAGTAAATACGTTAGTTTGGAAATTAATTTCACAAAATTCTTCCTTCACACTCATTTTACGAAGATAATCGCAATATTATTTTTCTTTAGAAACTTATTGTGTATCTATTTCCAATAAAACTTGGCAACAAGGTCACAGAGCCAGACCAGTCTATGTATCAAGATAAACATAGAAATAAATTCTCTTTTATACAGAACAAAAGAAATTGACATAGGACGTAATAAAAATATCGTAAAAACAATTTTGAGGCTCCGCGAGCGTCGGTCGCCGACATAGAATATTGTTTTAGCCAACGTTATATTCATTGTATTATATTGCCATAGTTCTCTATATATTCTGCTATAAAGGCCAACAACTATTATTTCCTTTTATGCTTACATTTATTTCATTTCAATATCAAAACATTGTGATTTATTTTCTCTAAGGGATCCAACATGTAGATCTTTATTCACGACGCTTAAATGCCTCTTTTCCCCAGTATATTTATTGATGAAAAGCTCAACTTTACTTTTCCCGACTTTACTGGAAAAAAAACTGCCAGTGAACAGATATTCAAGGATCAAAAGTTATGGACACTCCTATTTCAAAGTATGTACAACACTGCATAAAGTTTTCATACCTCTATTTTCCTAGTACACACGACTATAATATCGAGCTATGCAAAACCAGTATAAACTCGCCGTTGAATGTGCAGAAAAATCATACAAAACAAGACAATGATAAACTGGCTTTGTATTGCTTGATGTGTAGCCGTCCGTGTACATAGTACCTACTTGTTTTGTTCTAAAGAGCTGTTCTCTAAATGTTCGAACTGTACCAGTGCTGTAATGTAGTTGAGCTCTAAATCTTTTCTGGAAGACGTGTAGGACAGTTAGTGATTTATAGCGACATGGCTACTGTTCCCACCGTCCTAACTGTGCTAGATAGAAAATATATTCTAGTCTAGGGAAAATTCGAACACTATCGAAGGCCGTCTAAAGGATGTGTTTTCTGTTGGAATTTACGTGGAAGAGAGCTATGAGATAGGTGTTTATTGGTATTATACATACCTACTTAATTTGAAGATTTTTATTGTGACAATAAACTAGTATTTATATTTTATTTGATCGTAACTGTAAATGGTGTCCAACAAGTAAAATAAATAAATTTTAAACTATAGTTTGTACCTGAAAAATATTTTATAACAAATATTTATTAATTCCCGTAATAATTCCAGCTATTTATTAAATTGCTTTGATTGATTATCCTTAACTTTGTCATGGGAAAATATAGCACAAACAAATAAAAACAACAGAATAACCGCATCGAAAACCGTGGACGTCACAGTTGTCATTTGATTCGTATGTACCAGTACTCCATAAAAAGTAATGGGTAACATTAAATATTTTCCTCAGCATCAAGAGAAACGGCATTCACACACGCGATTACATCGGCCGGGGTGTCGCTCTCTGTGTCTCGGGCTTGCCGCGACGGGCGTCTGTCGAGCTGTAGTTGTAGCCGCGCCGCCAGACCACGGAACCTACACTCCGACTGGGTGTGGGGAGGATGTGGCGACAATCTCGAATATGGCTACAAGTAAGTATGCGTTCCTGGTACTTGTGCGGTGACAAAGTTAGTCAACCACCTGCGTGTGCTGTGTTTACAATGATAATTACAAATGTGTGCGAGGATGTTAATTAACTATCTCATGCATGGAAGAAATCCCTTACGGGATTTGCAATACCTATATACCTCATGCAATTTTAACGTGTTGTCGTCAGTAATATTGTCTGCTGTATGTTATACATGAAATGATAAACACTTAAAAATAAATAAGTAATCTTTAATAATAACTTTAAAAACACAACAAATTTATTTATATTTATTACGTGTATTATTTTGATAATATGGGCAGTTAATAAGAAAACTTTTAGGCAAATAAATCAAAAGAGAGTGTAACAGTTATTTATAATCCTAGCAAAAAAGGAATCACAAGAACAATAGAAAATTATTAGCATCCACTCCAACTATAAATCCTACAATATTAACATCTACTATCCTATGTTATCCTTGTACTTACTACTATATTCTACTACAACTAGAACCTTGAATTCTAGTTGTAAAATCCTATACGATACCACTTGTACGCTCATGATACCCTGTGCGAAAATTATTATTTTATTTAAATATCCTGAGTTCGTCCCCTAATCCCTGACCTACAGCAATGTCACTAAACCTCTTCTCGTTGCATGATCGCCTGGTACTTTTCCCCCACTTTATCGAAAATTTTCCCCGCGGAAAATTAACGGGTCGAACGAATGGTAAGATCGATGTGGTTTTAGGTTGGACCTCTACGTCTACCTGGCTGAAAAACAAAAGAAAGTACGTATTAACTTTTAAATATTGATTTTTGTACAAGGTAAAATATAAAATAACTTTAACTAAAAATTTATTTAAATGCAGCAAGAAACAAGCGTCAAGAAACCAAATCGATAACTTTCCACCTGAAATCTTTACATCTGTAATTCATTAAAAACCTTCATTCAATGTCTACCTTTTCAGTCTCTTCTTACCTGAAACCTTCAGGTAGAACTCACCTGTTTCACGACACACCTGAGTACTAGGAGAGCAACACTGAAGCGAAGGTACCTTTACCTGAATTGCCCTCGTACAATAGGGAGCGAAGCGAGAATTTTCACCTGTAGTGACGTGGGGTAGGAAAATAAATGGGTGTATTTCACACAGAGACATAATTTCGTTGTGTGAGTGACTGTTCATTAGTGTTCATTTTCCCTACTTTCCCCTTTGTATCAGAAAAGGACCGGGTATTTAATAGCTCCATCTCTCTCCTCCACGTTTTCGGGTGAGCTATAAAGGTGAACGAGATTTGTGATGGTGTGTGTGTACCTGAAATTCACGTGAAAAGGTGTGTGTTTTACTCCTGTGACGTTCTTATGTCCTAGTATCAAGGTGAGAGGTAAGACAGGTGAAAAATTTACCTGTTCTTTCAGCCGTGAGTTTTTCTTACCTGAATGCCGTGATCGTTCGCGACAATATTTAAATTACGATGTTTTTAATTATTTTAGAAAAGTAAAATTGAATTCTAAACAATAATATTGACATTCATATTATGTACTCATGAAAAAATATCAGTCAGTAAACGGTACCTTTTTAATTAATTTGAACTAAAATTAATTAATTGTCTTAATTAGGCGATTCTTAAAAAAAATTAAATTAAAAAACAATTGTTTCTAAAGTTAATATTACGAACAAAACATGCATTATCTAAACGGGAACCGTAATTAACGTTTAGGTTACAAAGTATCTAATGTGTAGGAGGAGGAAGGAAAAAAGGTAACGTTTGTTAATCAGCTGTCAGCCGGGCTTCACGGGTGTCAAACCATGGCTAAAGACAGGTCGGATACTAGGCGCACATAACCCTACTGGAGGTCGGTCGCAGCACGAACGACGGCAACGTAGCGTAGCTGCGTAGCCCGTAGTACGTAGCCCGCCCCGTAACGCCATTCATGCTACGACTACTACTACGTTCTACGGGCTACGATTACTACGCGGTTCGCAAAAAATGTATTTGGTTTAGCTTGATGTATACTGACTAAATTAAGATGATATTTATTAAGATGTATCATTATCCAATTAAACTTTTCTAAGTTTGATGCGAGGCACTTTGATGTTTGTAAAATGATTATTAAACATAAAATCTATTTAGTACTTTATCCAACTTAGATCAGGGCTTTCTAAAAATCTTTTGATAGTAAATGATAATTATGCGTACATATGTACCTAAACTAAATGAGGACAGAAAGAAATGCTCAAGGCGGTTCTTCTACTTGTGAAACGAATAATATTTGACGTAGCAACACGTAGCGCCGTAGACAACCTCCTACGTGGGCGTGCAATCCTGGCAAGCTTTCACGTGCTGAAAGGGTTAACCGCCACTGAAAACGAAAGGGTTAGAGCCTGAAAAACTTCGTTTTCTTTTATCAATAGAATCCGTGAAAATATTTTTACACGAAAGATGTGAAATTAATTAATAGGAAGGAGTTAACAATTTTGATAAATTAACAGGTAGGAAAAATATTAAAAAGAAAATACGAACAAAATCTAAACTGTTGAGCCAATGAACTGCGGTGCGGCGGTTTAGAACGATTGTTTTTTTTTTTCAATTCAAACGGTTTCAAACACCAGGGCGAAATAAAATAAAAAAGATGGATGAATCAACCCAAGTTACTGCCGGCTTGCAAGATTATTTCAATGAAATAAATATTAACAAAAACCAATATTGTTGTGTTTGTGTCTCTTTATTGTTTTTTAAACCACATTTTCCTAAAAACATGGAATTTTCTGCATATTTCGAGGTAAAGTTACCAGGGACCCACAGATTAACAGAATGCTCTGGTGAAACTGTTACTTCGTTCAGTCACATTTTTTTCGACGCTGAAACGTCACGGTTAGAGGCTGTTTGACTAGGACCACAGATAAATAAGGGGATGTTTGGAATTTGGTAGATGAGAAAACCGAAGGCTTATTTTTTGACAGTTCATTGTTTACATATTACAACGTTTAGTTGTTGACAATTTTAACCACATTTAAGAAAACTATCTCGTGCTAATATTGTTTTTTTCCCAGTCCAAACGTAAATTTTTGTAGACAAAAAATATGTGTGCTCAATGTGAAATTGTGTTGAATCATTCAATGAAATAAATAAGAAATTGGATGATTTTTGATGAAAGCCCCACCCACATAATAATTGATTACGATATCTATCTATCTATATGTATATATAAAAGAAAGACGGGTTTGTTCCAACACTTATAACTCTAGATCGGCTAGACCAAATTTTATGGTTTTTGGTTCGTTGAATTTGTCCCGGCCCGAATAGCAGAATACATTAAAAATAATGAAAACTCGACGAGAACGTAATTATAAAAGATAAATCATTTTCCCTTAATGTTACTTGCTTCTGCCCATAGTTTAGCTCGCGCTCTTTTAAAGTATTGAGGGCAGGTTTACACAAGATAAAAAAATTGGTGACCGATGATTAATTTGTTGGTCACAAATGTGATACCAATTTTAGGTTTCTAGATAATTACGAAATTATTTTAGGAAAGTGATTTAGGGTTAGAAAGAAAGAAAATGTAATATGCGACTTTCAATCCCTTCAACTATCTCCACTCAGTAAAAAAAGTCACGTTAACTTCTAACAAAACACACAGACACGCACTAATTTATAATATTGAGTACACAGTTCTATGTTATCTGACATTTTGACAAGTAAGTTTCATGCCAATGGATGATACCGTTTTGAGACGCGGTTGCCAAAGAAGAAAAAAAAAGTTGACAATTCATTTTTTTATTGTCATGATAAAACATTTAGGTATGCAAAGAGGCTGAATACTAATATTATTAATCTATTTGATTGAAATACGGTTCAACGAGAGTTTGAGACACTTGCACAGGAAAGGACTTATGATCGTTCTATACCGGAAATCCCACGTGACAGGAACTGCGTTAATCTTCTGGATCTCCTTATTTTTTAAACCATTGAACTTATTTGAGTGGAATTCGGTACAACGACGTGACGATAGTTTGAGACTCGGAAAATGACGCCTGAGAATTTTCAACCGTTGTACCTATTTGATTGGAATTCAAATGGAGTTTTAATCACTGAAACCTCCGTGAATGGATACTATACGAGTAAAATACAGGTGGGATTGGTTATTTTTTGATATCATTAAAATGAACAATATTTCACAATAAATACAATGAATCGATGCTGATGAGATTTGTTCCATACCATTGGAATTAACCTTGGAAAAGACTAATTTAAAAATCCAAAATTTGCCAGAAGTCGTTATTATAACCGATCAAAGTCGCGAGGAACAGATAGTATATGAATAAAAAATTGTCTAATGTAGAAGTTAATAATGCCTTTCACCAAATGATTATTATATTTGCCAGTATAGTCGGTCTGCTACTCTCCATAATCTTAGTTTTGCTTCTAATATAGTAATATTGTATAATATCTTTTTAACGGTCAAAATAAATAAAAGTTTATAAAAAGCTTTTCTCTTATTTGAACTTATTTACTACATCTTCGCGATTATGTGTTTTGCGTGAATAAAAATGTAAAACTTTACGTAGTACAAAGGCCTTCAAACAACGGCCTTCGAAAAAAAACACGAGGTCCATCTACTAGGAACTCATAAACGCAGCCCCATTCTAAACTGTGTCTGTATTAGTGTGGAAACTCCCGGGAAATGCTACACATACGCATAGTGGGCGGGGTTTCTAACCCCACACGTAGACACGAGTTTGCAGAGGTGGAGCTTTTTTTAACTTTTTTTATAAAGAACACTTTAAAAAAGCTTTTCCGATTTGTCTGTTTGAATTTTCTCTACCAAGGTAACATGGACTGAAGTAGCTGAAGAATGTTCGGCATGTAGCCAGCCACGAAGAAATGTGTGCTATGTACGGGGTCTTGGCTTCATAAAGGAGATTTTCCCGCATTCGAGTATTTTTCTGACTAGGCGAGCAGAAGGGGGCGGACGTCGCGAAGAATTCGTGGAACGCGTGGCATGCTTGAAAATCTGACGAAGACTACGTCATGGATTTCGGCAATATTACAATTTTCGCAGTATTAAATATTTGAGGTTAGGAAAAATGTCTGTCATGTGTGATGTATGATCTAAGAAAGAGTAAAATATCTCCATGAAAATCATATTTAAATTGCCTTTGATTAAATGTGTGGTTAAAATTCTGTAGAAAAATTAATACAATTTTCAAAATCATTTCCGATATTAGGTATGTAATACTGTACTTTTCAGTCACGGAATCCAAACCTACCGGATAAACTCGGATATAACCCGGGTTTAGCGGGTTACGGGCGCTTAAGTCCGATAACTTGTACTAGGAGAGCATAGGCTTGAGAAAGAGTTAATCCAGACCCCTCTACAATCCCGAAATGAGCGAAAAATCTTACGAACTTATGGAAATAATCCGTTGATATATTGTTTTACTGCTAAAATCATGGGTACAGTAGAGTAGTATAAAATTATATTAATTGTCAAATAATCAATTTCGACTGTAGGTACGTTAAAATATTTCTTAGAAAATTTCAAAACTAAACAACTACATCATAAAACATTGCTTCTTCTGAATAGCTACGAAACTAAATCGTATAATGAAATGCGCAATGTACTGCATATTGTTAACCAAATTCTGATACCAGGAGCACAAATCTAACCCTCCGAAACATTTCCACCCCTAAGCATTAATAACATTCAACAATACACCCTATGCACATTACACATGATTCACTGTCTAAAAAACAAGCGAAATGATCAATATAAAATCTTTCCCGTAGCGGTGGGCGTGGCGAAGGGATGTTAACCTGAAATATACCTATCTCTTTTCTTCATTAATATCCCTTTCACGCATTTTCCGAAGCTTTTCATAGTACCAGGGGCCTAGAAAAGTTTGGTCTTACTTTAACTTTGTGCGATGTATAAAGTTGATTTGACATTTGATTTATGTAACGTCACATGTATGGCATCAGGGTTTGATAAACGCATATTTTAAGGAAGTTTCCACAATTTTATGAGTGTATTGTTATGTATGTATGCATTCCTTGTGAAAATGTTTGTCAGATACATACATAGCAGATGAATGGCTTTTAACGTTGTTTATGAGTTACGTTGTTATCCATACGAATTTGCATTTTAGAACAACCGTGTAGCTTCACTGACGAACAATTATATTTTATATTATGACGAACAATTAAATTATATTTTTGATAGTAACTTTGACCGTCAATAGAAAACTACTGAAAACAAATCTTCCGCTAATTTCGGTCACGTGTGACCCCATAGCATTTAACGTATAACAAATTAACTTTGAACGTAATTTCGACAGGTTTACAGAAGTATTCGTAGATATCAGAGAGCGAGAGCGCAAAGTAAAGCGAGGCAGTCGGGAGCAAGGCAGGCAGCTTATGAACAGGCATAACAATGAGGCTGGAAGACGGGTAAGTACACTACACATTCCTATTTACCTATCTTACCGATTTAAAAAAGGAAGGAGGTTCTATATGCGGATGATTGTATTTTTTTTTCTATGCATCCTATGTCCAGCGATTACTACGGCAATCAATAGGGGCTTTCATATTTTTGGTCTCCAGATGACGGTCGCAAGACGTGTTTTTTGAAGACCTTTTAATCGGTAGCTTTGCGCTGAGAGTCAATCAGCTAGTCAATAGATGTAAACTGCTGAATCGATCGATTATCGATCGATTCAGCAGTTTACATCTAAAAGTTTAACAAATAACCAAACAACGTCAACTCCGCATTTATAAGTTACGATTAAGTTGAACACACAAAGGATTAGGTTGTGAAGTATGTCGCATAGCTGTAAGTTCCAGTAGAAACTCGTATTTGTATTAAAATATTTAAGTTGACAGTAATACCGTATGTAATATTTCCATACGTCTGACGCCATTCTATTACTGCTAAACATTTTATGGCGTTTAACTACTAAACTACTGGGCGGATTTAAATGTTGCTTTGCATGAAGATAGATTATATTATGGCGAGAGTTAAAAATGTTGTTATCTAGCGGCAACAAGTACATTATCTGTGAATTTCAACTGTATATATATAACTGTTTGTTAGAGACAGACAGACGAACAACAGAGGTATTGAAGTCCTATTTTCAAGAAAACTGAAAATTCAGTTTTTAAGCAAAATTGCTATGGAAAAAAATTGTATGCAGACTATCGTAGCGATGCATGAGAAACCGGACAACGAAACGAGTTGGTCCAATAAAGTGTATTCGACATAAAGTCGCGATTACACCGCCTCGGGTTGTATAGACAGCTTTATGTCAACCCATAATTGCACAGTTTACTGCCATTTTACTGTCTAACAATATTCAACCGACAATAAGGTTCTATGGCATTTTTATTCATATCTCTCTTCCTTCTAAGCAATACTCGTAAACTTGCAGTGGGTATTAGGAGCACAGAAACGAATTGTAGGTGCTTGTTTGTTATGATACAAGGAATCGCGGGCTCACGTGTTATTGCCGACATAAACGGATATTATTGAATGCTTTCATTTTAGTGTTTTTATCTGATTTTTCTTGCTTTATAGCAGAGTATTATATGTTTTGACGTGACAACGTCTTAAATTAGGTTGCGGCTGGGAGTCACTTATGAAAAAGTGTAACGCTCGGTAACGTTACGATGAGTCACCGAACGAGAGAGAGGCCCGCCGAATGCCTTGCGTCTCTCTCCCACTCAACTATGATCGGTCTGCCGCGCGCGCAGCACTAGTTCATTCAATTCCTTGTTCCTATTGTGCAATTTAATTATATTCATATCAATAAATATTCTACCGAGAAAAAGACGTTGTCACGTAAAATCTTCGCCCGTAAAAACGACTTTACAGGCAACCATTTTTTTTTTTCATCATCCGCACTCTTCCTATGGGTGTCGGATGAACCAATTAAGGGATATTTGACAGAGACTAGGCAACAGGGCTCTGTGATAAACCAGAACTTTGCTCGCGATCTTCAAGTTCAACCTGCCCGCCAAGCTCGGTGATTATGGTACACCCTCTTATGTAGAGACAAATAATACAACAGAGTAGATACTGTCACACGTTCACGGGCTATTGATACCCGCGGGAAGAGTAGCGATGGTGATTTTTTTTTGACGTTTGAGTCCTATCTCGCCTGATGGTAAGCGATGATGTGGTCTACGATGGAGTACATTGTCCCATATGGAATCTATTCAGTCGGGCCTTGAAGACACCCCAGGTTATCCTTTCTGTATTCGGGCGATACGTTGATGTATCGTATCGAAAATCCCCAAAAAATTTTCATACAAAAGTAGTCTTTAACCATCGTAAATAAGGTCTATACTGGTATTAGTGGAGTCTGGTCACCGGTAACCGTTCGGGGATTGAGTAGTTATAAACAAGGAAGCTTGTGTTTAGCATAGCATCATAGAACTCCTAATATTTTCTGTTTGTTACCAGGCGGTGATAGCGAAGTCCCGTGTGACGTGCAAGTGTCACGGCGTGTCGGGCTCCTGCAGCCTTATTACATGCTGGCAACAACTGCCCACCTTTAGGGAGATTGGTGAGTTATACCTTCTGATACTGTACCTATATATTTTAGCATGAGAATTATTTACGTTATTAGTTACTGCTATTTATTAAAAACTAATCTCAATAAATTAATTTACGACATGGCAGAGCACACTACACTGCTTCCTAATGGAAATTATACACCTACTTTTTTTATTATATTCGTGGGGACCAGGGTATTATAGAAAGGAAATGATATCATCACAATTACAGTTGTAATATTTTCGTTATTCTAAAGTAGCATTAAACCCATAGTTGACTGTATTGTATACTTAATTTTTTGTGTATAGGTTATCCCACCAAAAATATTCTGTAAAAAGCTAGCCAAGTCTCGATGGAGCTGCTAGTTTATCTCTAAAAAGTAATGAAATATTACAAAGTCGCGCCAAGTCTAAGGTTCCTTATTGCGATTTCGTTATTATTATAGTTAATGTTGTGTGACTTTGTCGTTGAGGGGTACAAAACCAGGTGCTTCATGGCACCATAGATGTAAAGGTTTAGACACATAGCTTTCATCTATTCTCATTAGATGCAACTAATAGTGGTCATATACAAACGTTTCCGCCATTAAACGAGAAACCAAAAGTTCCTTAACACTCTATTAAGCAAATCCTCGTCTTAACGAACCGGTATTGTTCCGACGTCCGAACGTTAATAGTTAATGAGTGACGATTACTTCCTTTGTGATCCTGTCGTCCTGGTACCTCACGAATTAATACTCCCGATTATTTGATAGTTTTAATTGTTCTACCGGGGTTTTGTGGTAATGGATTCCATTAATTTTCTGTTCAAATGTCGTCTGATTAATTTTGTGGATCGTGTGAACTCTCTCACGTATGTAAAAAAGGGTTTGGTTTTTGTTTTGTCCTTTACAATAGTTTAGTTGATTGTGGGAACAAATGAGCGGTTGATTTTCGACTTCCGCCATTGTAATGATTTCAATTCTGTCTACAGAATTCCCAAAAACGTTAATGTCTCTACATTGGCGTATGTAAGGAGATTCGCTTGTGTCTTTAGAAGACTTAATTTTCAATCGATTAGTAATCGAATTTGTGGGAATATCGAGACAAAAATAACCTTGTGTTACTCCCTGAAGAGACACTTATTTCTAACAAAAAGTAATGGAACTCCATCCACGAATTGCGAAGCCCATTTAGGAATGGCTAATTTTTTGGCAGAAACATAACTTCAGTTTCTAAACTTCTTATTTAGATAACATGGTGTCTACGATTAGACACCTAGGTAGGTACATACATTCCTATCATAAACAATTGTATTTGTGACATTAACTACGCAAGTAATCTATTGTAATTAGAACACCCAAAACTATAACAAGTTTATCGAAAACAATAAATTATCGCGGCGTAATAAAAATTAAAACCCTACAATAAATATAAAATATCACTACCATCACAAAAAATAGTACAGAAGTCCCAGTTTTACAAGAATAGGATAAATTTCTTATTTTAATTTATATACAAAGTATAGTTTCTGTCCTGAGATCCTAGATACCTACTTTAAACTGGCCATAAATACCTAGTTAAGAAGGTACTCCTTCTCAGCCTAAGCCGCAAGTAGGGCCATATCTAGACCTAGGTTTGGCCTTAGCCTAACGCACATGACTGTGTCTAGAAATGTGCCGTAACTGGCGCCGCACAGTGGAGATCTCAGCGAAGGTCTATTTAGAGAACCCATACATAAAACGTACTTACCTACAATCTTTCGTACATATTCTTTGTATGTATGTATACCTATTTTACTTATTGTTACTTCTGATACGTTTCCTCTTTTGTGGTTTGAACTGAACGAGGTTATAGCTTTGGTAGCTCATAAACATGGAATTGGATCTCTTTAGTTCTTAATAAGCCGTTTAAGCGCTCGTAAAATATAAATACTTTTATTTTTTAACAAAGCTTATTCAACATTGTTTTGGACACAAATGGGTAGGAAATTTGAATAAACAAAAGTTTGGTAAGTAGATAAATATGAAGATGTACCAAACGTCCAACAGTTGATACTGTAAATATCATCTAGCAGCCAGCTACCTATTTGAAACCATTTTGAAACTTAATAAATTGATATTTCTTCCGGTCGAAAATGTTGAATAGGCGCTTAATAACAATTTGAATCAATAGAGACGTAATTAAATTGTACATGACACAAAAACCACGTTATAATACACCAAATTGTAGGCTGTATTGTCATAATGTCTGTAATTAGTGACAACAAAATGAATGGCGCGCCATCTTGCGGGTGGCTGCGTAAATCAAACGCCCACGCGCCAAAGAATAAGTTTAGTTTAGAACAACCACACTTTATTTATTGTCCAAAAATGCTAACGAACCTTTATTATAGATTTTAAAAGCCATTAAATTAATTTATTATTGTTAAATACTGCGCATTAATTTCATTACTGTTATTTTAGTTCTTTTTTCAAATAAAAGACACCTTATCTGTAATGACCAGGGACGGATTATGAAATATATAAATAACTAGCAGCCCGTCGCGGCTTCGCACGGGGTAAACAATTAGGTATTTTTGGAAATTTGGATTGTTGTAGTGACATAACTACAATAGTTGGACATATGCTACAGTGGAGTTTTTTTTAGACATTATGATGTTCTTCAATATTGTTGTACAATATTTTGTTCTATCGCTAATAGTTTCGGCAGCGCATTCAACGAAAGACATTTTAAGACTCATTTTTCTATACCTTCGGTTAATTGTTCAAATTCTACCATAAATCCCTATTTTTTTCAAAATGAAATGTAGCCTATGTCAAATTGGAAGAATGTAGCATTCTATTGGTGAAAGAATTTTTTAAATCGGCCCTGTACTTTTTGAGCCTATTCATTACAAACATACAAAAATAGGCACAAATCTTTCCTCTTTATAATATTAGTATAGAAATACTTCTATACAGATTAAATGGTTATATAACCTACATTACTATGTATTTAAAGGCTTAATATTTTTATAGTATCATGTTTAGCGTATATAGACAGCGTACGTAATACTATTTTACAATTGTTTGGTACGCTTTTCCTTGATGATTTTCCTTGCACTAATAACGTTACGTATACCTGAAAATTAATACAAAGACTAAATACTAACCACACTAAAAGAACTTAAGTAGTCATTGTGATAAGAAACCTCTGAAATACAAATTTATTATTATTTTTCCCAGGTGACTTCTTAAAGGACAAATACGAAGGGGCGACAGAAGTGAAAGTGTCTAGGAGAGGAAAACTGAGGCTCAGCAACCCACACTACACGCTGCCCACTGCACAGGACCTGGTCTATCTCGAGGAGTCACCCAACTACTGCGTCAAGAACGAAACACTGGTAATAATAATCATTTCAAATTCTCAATAGTTACCCCCGTCATTAAAGGCTGGCAACGCACTTGTAACTTCTTTGTTGCAGTTTTATGGGCGGCGCCGATTACTTGCCATCAAAAGTATGACATAAAAATACCTCGCACTCTTTTTCATTCTAGAAGGACTAAGCAAGGGCACATTAGACTATCTAGCAACCATTTTTCATTTTTCACCAGATATAATGCTACGAGTACGTAGCAATTGGCGTGCCATAGTATCTGCCTACCCCCTTGGGAGACAGGCGTGAGTTTATGTTTACTAAGGGTCCTTCTCCGTGCGAGAAGAAGCCTTATAAATATAAATAAGCAATAAATAAGCCTAAGACATATCGGTTAAAATTCATTATTCATTTATCCCTAACAATCTTTTGATTGGACGATGTACGACAAAAAAGCTTGGAAGACAGTATAAATTCTCAGTGTATCATGGAAATAAATAAACGATCGAATCATAACAACATTGTATGATTGATTAATTAATAAGCAAGCAATTGAATCCAGTAACTGTATTACCCGTTTATCGACTATATTAATTAGTGTTTTTTTTTTTTTTTTTAAGGGGGGAAAATCATCGAATGACTGCCCCCGCCTGGGTGAGGCGGGAGGGAGTGTCAGACTCTTACTAACTAAAAACCACCCCGTTCCTTCTCCTGCACGTCGAGCCGGAGCCCCGGTTACCCGTTAGGTTCTCCGCGACTCCGAATCGGCATCGGCCCTATTGGGCCCCATCTGTGGTGGTCTGATGGCTCTTTGAGGCGCGCGCGGAACGCGACGCGCCGTACGCTCGGGTCTGTTTCTGGTCGGACGGGGAGCCACCCATGCTCGCCGTCCGCAGGCCCGCGCTTACGGTGGCCGGAGATCGTCCCGCGATCCCCGACGCCCGGTGTGTCCTTCGCGATGGCTGGGTTGCGAGGAGGCAGCGCTTCGCTGCCTCACGCGTCCCGCCTCCTCCTTAGCTAGCATGACTGCTTCGCAAAAGGAGGAGACGGCATCCCAATCCCCCTCGCTCCGCATCATGGCCTGCACTAGGCCCGGACGCGAGAGGTCGCCATCGCCGATCACTTCCCTGAGGACACGGCGGTGCTCAGCCCACGAAGGGCATTCTCCCACCGTGTGTTCCACCGTGTCCTCAGGGCGGTCCTCGCAGTGATGACACCCGGGCGTTTCCTCCCGCCCCATCAGACACAGGTACCTCCCGAAACTTCCATGTCCGGTGAGGACCTGCGTCAGGCGGTAGGTGAGGACGCCGTAGCGTCTCTCAAGCCACTCCTCAAAGAGGGGACTTACCGCTGCGATGGCAGCGAGCCCAGCCCTCGGTTGCGACAGTCGTTGCTGCCATTCCGCCATGAGATCGCGCCGGAGCTCATCCCGCCACGCACTTATCTGGCGCGGCAGCGGAGTTTCGCCCCGGCGACGTGCCTCCGCGCGCATGCTGTGCACGCGCGCGAGCACCTTCGCCTCCAGATCCCACGGCGGTAATCCGGCAATATTAATTAGTGTAATTTTCATTCATTCACGTATACTGGTTTGTATCCCCATATAAGTTAAGGAGTAATGTGGACATAATTAAATAAATACTGCATTAAACATACATCTGTATCAGAGCAATTATCCTTAATGTGGAAAACGGGATTGTTGAGAATGAAGTATAGTTTTTTTAGGTCTACTTATCATAATGTCATTAATACATAACATAATGATTTGACGAGTACAAGTAAAAGTCATGCAAACTATATAGTATTTGACTACAGTCTAAAAGTTTCAAATGTGGGAGAGCCATGCTTCGGCACGAATGGGCCGGCTCGACCGGAGTGATACCACGGCCTCACAGTAAACCGACGTGAAGCAACGCTTGCGTTGTGTTTCGTCGTGTGAGTGAGGTTACCGGAGCCCCAATTACCTTCCCCTTCCCCAATCTCCCCAATCCCTGAATCCCCAACGATCCTCAAACTCCTAATCCCCAAAAAGCCGGTGACGCACTTGTAACGCCTCGGTGTTCCAGGTGTCCATGGGCGACGCTGATTGCTTACCATCAGGTGATCCGTCTGCTCGTTTACCGGGTTATGTATTCCATAAAAAAAAAAAAAAAAAAATTCACATTCAAAACTCACTAAAATTATTAAATTCAATCACTGAGGAGGACTCATTAAAGAGGACAGAACTAATAGGAGCTAAAAACCAAAATTTCACAAGGTCAATTTCATATAAATAATTTGTTTCTTACTATCCAGGGATCATATGGCACGACAGGCCGGCAGTGTAACAGAACGTCATCAGGCATGGATGGCTGTGCCCTCATGTGCTGCGGTAGAGGCTACAACACACGGCGAGTCACCGTCAAAGAGCGATGCGGATGCAAATTCCATTGGTGCTGCCGCGTAGAATGTAACACCTGTGTCAAAACCACCGAGTTATACACTTGTAAATAGTTTTATCTGCAAGCTACACATGCTTCTCCAATCGAATCAACAAGTCTATAAATTGAAATTGGTTAAAATATGAGGCTTACTCACATAAACTTTCAATATACTTATAAACCGTCTGCAGTTCATGATTATAAGCCCCTATGTTGTTTGAAACTGGTCGAGCGTCAGCAAACAGTTCACAGCAAGTCGTATATTTTAATCAATCTAATACGCCTCACGATAGTAAATTCTTATAAATGAAAATATTTCTTTTATCTAATTTTTATTTCATACTTATTATACAGAAATAAATAGATGTTTGAGAAACAAATGTCTTGACGTGTCAACATCTCGATCTATTGATGATACATGTTAATATGTATTATAATGGCTTTCCTAATTTAATCAGAATCTCAATTTTATATATTAAATTATTTCTTGCATAATAATTATTTCTTAATGTACTGCTCATTATTTATTCTGTAGTTCTTTATTCTACCTATTTTTAATATCAGGTAGATCATAGACATAATTGTGATAAAGCTTGAAGAGTACTTAAACTAGGTGTAAGTTTTGAAGTTTATAATAATGGAGCGACTGTTGTTGTTTTAAAGTAGTTACGTTATGTTACTGTAACTCGTAGGTAATTAATGTAAACCGTTAAATACTCATTAGCTAATAATTATATTATCTATTTCTACCAACTATTTGTAAATAGAATATTTTTAGTCCCTAAGTACATCTCTGTTAAATTATTGCCATTAATTTGTAGATCCACAAATAAAAAATAAAATTGTAAAATGTTTTTTTGACTGTTTTGTTTCATCACCTCTACTTACATAAAGTTAAGAGACCATAGACATCGACATTACATTAAATTTCATCCCAATAAAAAATAAAAATAAATAACATGTCAAGAATGAAGTCATCGCAAAATGACAAGGATAGAAACCAAATAATAAATAATCGTGATTTTTTTTAACGTCCTTGCGTGAAAATAATGCTACTATTAGAAAACTTTTACAAGCTTCATAGATTTCCTTACTTTTGATATTAGAAACTTAAACCACATCGAATTTTAGAAACTCAGAAGACAGGGAAATTAAACTGACATTTTAACAGATTGAATGCCTTGTGGCATTACCCTTTAACAGTTTTTATCGGCAGCTAAAGGCTTAAAATTGAAATCAATTTATAAAAAACTAACAAATAAAAACTCAAAACTAAAATGCTATTATTATTTATTATTAGTAGGTACCTACTGATAGGTTACCCACTCACTGATAGGTTAGAAGTTGGCGCCGTATTTTGATTTTGGAATAGGAATAATCGGCGAACATACAAAAAAAACAATCAGCCGAACATTGTAGGTACCTCCTCCTTTTTTTTGAAGTCGGTAAAAATCAGAATTAGCTAAACTGTAACTACTCTTCTGGACACAAATCTATTGGCCTACCTTGTATTTTCAGTTTCGTTTGGTCCTAGCTAAAATTTTATATTAGGTCGAGCAAAAATTTGCAGATTTAAACCTGGCACATTCACAATTTCATTCAATAGTCTTTTTTTGAATTTCGAATACAGAATTTAAAGAAACAAAAGACAATTTGGAGCCTATGCCTGTTTGTTGATATCAAACAATCGAATACTAAGAAAACTTGGTTTTATTGGCTTACTTAGATTTGATTCTTCAAAAAGTGATTGATATCTTTGGTTTTGCAACAAACATTACTAATTCTTAACATTAAGGTTAGGTTCTATCAATAATCTATGGATACTTCACCTGAAGTCGACGACCAAGCTATGGCACTTATTCAGGCCGGACACAGCCAAAGAAACGTGAGTGCTCAACTTAATTAAAGTCGATCTGCGGTCCGAAATGTTTATCGGAGGTACCTAGAGACTGGCGGCTTTGTTCGTCGCCAAGGAAGTCCACGATCTCGGGTCACAACTGAAAGGCAGGATCGATTCATCGTGACGACCAGCTTGAGAAATCGTCACCTTACCTCCATTGAGATACAAAACCAACTTCACGACTTCCACGGAGTATCTGTGAGCGCTCGAACTGTTCGGAGAAGGTTAAAAGAATGCGATATGGTACCACACAAGCCAGCTATTGGGCCCAAACTAACGCGAGCCCACCGAACAGCGCGCCTTCATTTCGCACGCAGTCATTTAAATTTATCACAGCAAAATTGGAGCCGTGTACTCTTTTCTGATGAGTCTAAAATTGTGTTAAATGGCAATGATGGAAGGAAGAAGGTCTACCGACGTAAGTGAGAGCGCTTCGCACAATGCTGCTTTGAAGAGAGGGTTGCTTATGGCGGTGGCTCATGGACTGTTTGGGGCGGTATATCCGCGAGCGGCAAAACTCAACTTGAGGTTTTTACAGGACCACGGCTGCCAACATTAAATGCTGAAAGGTACATTCGAGAGTGCTTAGAAGCTCACGTGACACCATACGCGGACTATGTGGGCCCAAATTTCCTTTTTATGCATGATAATGCAAGAGCCCATGCCGCCGGCTTCGTCAGGGAATATCTTCGGGATATGAACATCCCAGTTATGAACTGGCTACCCAGAAGCCCAAACATGAACCCCATTGAGCACATATGGGACGAGCTAAAAAGACTTGTTAGGGCTCGTCAGCCAGTTGCCCAGACGATGCAGGAGTTGAAAAGTGCCATAGAAGAGGAATGGGAGATCACCCGTCAAAATTTCATAGAGCGGTTGATAAACTCTATGCCTAATCGTATGAGAGCTGTGGTAGATGCCCATGGAGGCAACAAGTGTTATTAAATTAAATCTTTATTTGATAAAACATGTTTTTTATCCAAAAATCAGTTGCCTTTAACAAAGCGCATATCCGATTTGTTAGGCGTAGCTCCATGTCGTATGATATTCTGAATTCAAATTTAAAACAATACGATCGAAAAAGATGGCAAAATGTATCAGGTTTAAAACTGCATTAACAGATTTTTGTTCAATCTGGCAATCATTTTCGGTAGGGGCTATCGAAATCTAAACTCTTAGGTGGGCCAATAGATGTATCCAGAAGTGTATTAAATGGAAATAAAAACAACAACAATACACAAACATGATTAAAATTCCATAAACACAAAATAAGCCATTTCAATAACAAACTCCCGAGTTCCCGCCATTTTAAAGATTAAATTTTTCCGCTGCCTTTCTTTTTTTTATCTATGCCTCCAACACTACCATCTTCTCTGTCATAACTCATCAATTTCAAATGAGGATGAGGGAGTCCCTCATTTTACCTCACGAGTACCTCGCGCGCATTTGAGGTGAGGATTCGTTCAAAAGCGAGCGCAGGTAAGCCGAACTCAGCCGACTGTTTGAATGAGCGAGCCGAGCGGGCGCGATTGACACCACTCTCACACAGATAATTTTCTTTCGGTCATAAATATTATGCCGCCAAAATAACGTTAGAGTTCATATTTGAATTTTTTTTTTCTATATTTGTTTAATTTGATTTTAAATCGTTTTTATGTAGTTTACCTAAACATTTGAATGTGATTATTCGACTGGCGACTGATCAAGTTGCGGTACGATTTCATAATTTTGTCAAATCAAAACCATAGATTTAGTATTATATAGATGCGTCGTAATGATCTATAGCTTATTTGCTTATACAAATATATATCAAATTGATATAGAAATATGAAATCACACTTTGTCTCTTTTTAATCAATGAGTAAACTCATTTGAAGAAAGAGACATCATGTCATTGTTGTTTGTTTATTCTCTGCCTGGCAACATTTCTACATTTCTGACAAGGTACCTACCTCGCGTGCCAGCCGCCATCTTTAGGCCGTATAGTTTTGTAGTACATCAGGTGTCAAGCGAACAACAAAATTGGATTTGGATTGCGATTTTTAACTATAAAAACGCTCCCAACTAAATTGTTTTGTGCTGTGAGTGTCTAGTGGTGCATATTCAATATGTCTACTTGTTCAATAATTCAGTGTGGGGCAAGGAAAGGCTTGACTTTAGTTTAGTGCCGCAAGATATGGGGACTACAAAGGGTCAAAACTGGTAGGGCTTGACTCCCCGATTATAACAATACCACTCTTATTACAAGGTAATGCATATTTTCCGAGATATTTACAAATTAAGTTTCTAACCTCAAATTCGATAAAAGAGAAAACGGAACGCGAAAACGGCTGATTGACAACCAAAGCTGTCACTTTATTGCTTGAGATGTAAAATATCGTTCTACATCAGTAAAATGGAACGTAAAAAAAGCCGCCATTTTGTCTGTGTCACTGTCATTCGTTTCGGTCTTTCATTCCGTTTCTCTTCAAGTTGCGTGAATGTGCTCTGTTGTGTGTTGTGTGGTATTCCTGTGGCTTTTTTCGACGACCTTTGCTTCTCCCCTGGACTTGATTTGTTTGCCATTACGATTGACCCACGCCTACACACTGGACACCGATTTCCTGCTTACTCGATCGACTTTTGCGCGAAATATCCCGGACGAAACACTTCGATCGGCCTGTACGATGGAAGAATCACACTCAGCGACGAGTCGCTCTGCGGTTGAGGACGAGCCTCAACCATCCACGAGTCGCTCTGCGGTTGAGGTCGAGCCTCAACCATCCACGAGTCGCTCTGCGGTAGATGACGTACCCCAGTCGCCAAGCAGTTCTTCGGAGGAGGACGAACCACCTGCGAAACGGCATCTTTCGGCAGAGGAAGTCCGCGGAATGTGGAATTTAGTAAAAGTTTATCGACAATTAGGCACGCGCGAACAAGCTGTGTCGTTTGCTGAAGAAAGGGGCATGATAAGCCGTACAAAAATGTGCAATTACCATAAAAAACCAATGTCAGTAGACTTTACTTGTAATAAAACGGTGGGCTCGTTCATATGCCACAGAGGGGCATGCAGAAACAAATCGCGCGTCAGCCGGGGCTAAGGCACATGGTTTGAAAACATTAATAAATTAATAAATATGCAGCAAGTATTTTATTTAATGTATGCTTTTGCTCAAAAGTATTCCTATGAAAGGACTATGATAGAAGATTTCTCCGAAACAGAACACTGTCTCTCTACAGCAACAATAAGCGACTAGTTTCATTATTGTAGAGAGGCAGTTGTCAAATTTCAACAGAACAATCAAGAAAGATTAGGAAAGATAGGAGGCCCTGGCAAAGTGGTCCAAATAGACGAAAGCAAGTTCGGTAAGCGTAAATATAATAAAGGACGTCGCATAGAGGGACACTGGGTCCTTGGCATGATAGAAGATGGGAGTGAAGATCTTAGGCTCGAAATCTGCCCAGATAACGTCCGGACGGCAGAGGTTTTGGTGCCCTTAATTAAAAAACATGTGGCGGAGGGCACCACCGGATCATACGGACTACGCTTTTTGAGTAATTTTTGAGTGTTTTGAGGTTAGGTTACAAAAGGTAACTTTTCTTAGAAACGGTGAGTTACCTTTTCATGAGAGTGGTACTAGGGGGGAGGGGTACCCCCCCCTCCCCCCTCTACCGCCCTCCCTCTTGCGGCACTATTCTAAAGTTTTACCCAAGGAAAAACCCCAATCAACCTCATTTGACTATGTACAGGTTAGTAGCCGTATTTTAAGAAAAACTTTATCATACTATTAGTTTTCTTGTTTATCTAGCCTTGTTTTATATATAGAATAAAAGCCCCCAAAAGTACATTCAATTTGTTTCTGATAACTAACTTCATTTGCTAAATTTGTTTTTTTGTTTTGTCTACAATCCAAATGACGATATACATTAGTGATGTATTTTATTTAATAACATATCGATAAGAAACTAACATATTTTTAGTTTGTATGTTATAGAGTCCAGTTGAGTAAGGTATCAAAATAAAGGGTCTGAAGAGACGATTTTGAAAATAAATCTTACAGAATAGAAATAAAAATAGGGATAGAACCAAAACATAATAATATCAATTCTTCATACAGAGGTGCTGTCATTTAGTTCAGTCTATGATTTGTTCCACTAAATGCACAAAACTGAAATAATTTTTGTTTTTTTTTTGCACAGATTCCTTAAAAATTAAGTGCTGCGTCAGTAGTGGCTTGAAGTCATTGGGACGGAAAATATCAAACCTGGACTTAAAGCGCCACGTATTTGTTCATTACACTTTGCAGTATCATCCTTCAATAAACAATTACAACACATACTGGTATTTTTTTAAACCATTTATTTTTACGAGCACACAAGCGCTAAAGTTCCTGTATCGGATTCAGGCGGAAAAAACGCCCCGGTTCCACCATTGTGTGGACTATGCACCGCCCGGAGACCGGTACAGCTGTCCCCGTTTGAGCAGTGTCCTCGTGAAAGCAATAGATGACAATGACCTTTCACGCCGGGCCATGGTTCAGGCTAGTGAACGTCGAACAATGGGATGCTCGCCATCTGGTAATTAACCGGACCGAGCTCAATCGTCAACAACATGTGATCCATGCGCTTCAATTTTTAAATGTCCTCAAACCGTAGGGGCCCGGCACGGGCGATGCCCGCTTACTAGGGCTGTGGGTAATTTTTGAAAAGGAGGGTGTTGTCCTAAAACACAAAGGGCAACTGTCACTGAAGAACACACGTATGGTTTTAGCCAGTAAAAGTGTGAAATGCTCCCCCGCTCTACCCAGAGCGCAAGAAGTCATTCGATGATTTGTACCTTAAAAAAAACATCCAAAGTACATGATTTTTAATGTATAAAACTCGGCTATCGATATCGATAATTTTTGGTTTTGTCTACAGTACTTCCCTAGCAATGGTAGCCATTTTTAGGCCTCGGTTTCTAGTAGGTATGCACGCCTATTTTGTAGGTATTTCTGGTCCATATTATAGTAGGTCTGCGATCAAAACTCACTCAATGACAGATAAATTAAATGTCAATGAAGACGAGGTAACGAATGAAGTGATGAGGTGGTTCAATGTTGAAATTCGAGTAGCTCTTTCAACTTGCGAATATGAGGCCCTCAAATGAGGAAACTCGTGAGTGAGAGGCGCATCTCATTAATAAGTACATTTTCAAAGAGACTTGACTTTTAAATAATTACGCAACCAAATTACGACAAATTACTTAAACTCAAAATTATTTATTAGCTGAAAGCTCCATGAGGAGTGTCGAAGTAATTATAATTATATCAATTTTTATTTGATCAGATAAATAAAATTAAAATTATCTATTTTTATAAAATATCAGATTTTCTGCTTCTTTTGAAATCCGTGTGTATCCGATCGTGTCGCTATAAAAAAAGTCTGTGGTCTAATAAAAAAAAAATATCGTGTGCGCCATCTTTCTATTGGCAAATTTTAAAAATTGATCTGTTCTATATTTTCCTTGCTCACTCATTATCGATAAGTGTTTTAAATTTGTAATTAAAAGTTTTATAAATTGTGAATTTGACGTGTATTTACAAGGCATTGTAATGGGCAAGCCGTCATCTACATCACTCTCTGTTAGTTGAAAAATTCGATTCTGTGTTCTGTGTACATTTTTATTGTTTATTTACAAATCTACAAGTATGTAATTTTGATATTATTGTAAGCATGTGGAGCTTTGGGAAATGAAGAACCTGCTTTAATTGTGTGAAGCTTATTACTGGAACGGTTAACCATAAAAATCTTTTGTTTTATAACCTTATCATGGGAAACATTGGCTATTGCTTGTTTGGTTTTCTAACAAAAGCATCAAAAAACGTTAATATACACATCGTATTTGTTGTATTTACTTCTCTATTTTTAAGTCATTCGTACAGATAGCCAGTAGCCTTCATACATGTCTAATCATAAGTGCTAAGCAATCATTTCTACCTACATTTGTCAATATAAATGCTGTGTTGTACAAAACTCGTTCACTAGTTTCTTGATGTGTTACATTTTTCATACATTGTGCGCAATTAAAAGACATATTTACGTAAAATATAAAACTTCAGTAAATACTCTTTCAGGAACTGATGACTGATATTACAGTATGAATATTATTTCATTCCTTTTGTTATTCACTACAAATATGGATTTCGATGTGTACCTATCACTTGCCTGATATGCCATTTCCATTATATTGTGCATGTGTGTCAAACTGTAAAAAATTTGAATATGTTATTTACTTATTTGTTAAATTTGCTATTGCATTTGCTAGCTTTTTAACTGCTCTGCAACAAGCGATAAAATTTAGCTTTAATTTGTTTTATATCAATTAAAATGTACATTTGTATATTTTAGAGATGTTCTGAATGCTCACTGTATTCGAATAAGCAAAGGAACAAAGTGGCAATGAGTGCCTATAAAATGGAACAAATGAGAAGACAAAAACAAAACCATGTGCAGAAGAATATAAGTAAAGTGTTCAACAAGTTAAAAAGAGACTCCATAGGTTCTAGAAGTTGTTTGTCACCATCTGATACAACTGATGAGAGTCCTCAGAACCTCACAATTGTAGTAACGAACGATTCATTCCTTCCTGAACGTAAACGGAAAAGCCCTATTACTGTCAACGCGCTATCAAACTTGCCAATGAAAACGAAAAGAAAAAGCGACAGCTTGATTGTGATCAATGATGATGACCTAGAAACGAATAATGATTCATGTATTCTCCTGTCCCCCAGGAGAGACAGCAACTCCCACGTAAACTGTTCCACTCCTATCGCCAAGCAGGATAGCCAGACATTAAAGAATCATATTATCAGTAATTTCTATCCAGTACCGGCACTTCATGAAATTCCTCGTCCAGACGAGACTAAAGAAGATGATAAAACAAAAATTATCAATAAGGATTCATATGTTACAATAGATTTAACAGCTGATAGTGAGAATAGAACTTCTGATAATCCTAATGTGATAGATGTAGATAAATGTGCGGATAAAAATGATAGCCAAGATTGTACTCTAGTGTCAGTATCTAATGAGAGCCTCTCTATGAGTGGAGATTCTGATGTCACGGTCATAAGGAATAAGAAAAATGCAAACAATACTCAAGCGAAGACTCTGGCACGAGGTCTGGCACAGCTGAACATGTCCCAAAAGGAAAAGCTACTGAATATTATTGCTCAACAAATATTCAGTGGTTGTGATATGAAGAATGGTGCTCAAACTGGCTTTACTTTACAACATAAGGTAACACTTATTTTGTGGTTTGACATACACAACTTGAATCCAAATGACCATTTGCTTTAATTTTATGACATAAAATCTATCTATCAATATAAAATTGACAGGAAAATCGTGGAACGGAGACAGATGAAGATGCATACATAAAAGAAGTGATTCTAGGAGAAACAAAGTCGAAAGAAGCAGTACTGTGTGTTTCTAGAAACAGTATAGGCAGCAATGTGTACAATCCTCGCAATGATCCTAAGAATACTACAGGGCTGCGGATGATTGTCATTGATGGTAGCAATGTAGCCATGGAGTGAGTATGAACTGATTGTATACTGTTTTACAAAACATTACTATTATACCATTAATATATATGTATTACTAAAGTGTATTCTATGTACTATACTTTGTATTCTTGTTGAAGTACCAATGCGAATGTTTTACCTTGCAAAATGTTTCCAGTACTGCATTCAGCTTGCATGAATTTCTATCTTATTAAATTGAATTGATGGCAAGTTTTTATAGATACCTGATTTATAACAAAAAAAAAACCATATACTTAGATGCAATCTTTCGATATAGAGCAAATTTTGCTCCAAATCAAAATTCGTAGATCAACTAGTATTTAAAAATGATGTAATCTTTCCTCACACTTTTCTTAGTTTAATTTTTTGTTATTGTAATTATTACAGGCATACACAAGGCAGACAGTTTTCAGTAGAAGGGTTAAAGATATGCATTGACTACTTTGTGAGGCGAGGGCACTCGGTGAAAGCGTTCGTGCCACGATTTCGGTAAGTTCACTATCCACATAGCAGTTTGTTAAAGAATAGTTAGGTCGGCAAACTAGCAGACTTATGGTAACCAAACGGTGCCGTTCATGGGCACTCACAACAGAGGATGTCAAGTGCGTTGCCGGCCTTCTGGTGATCGAGATGATAGGATTGGACTTCCAGAAGTAATATGTCATCGTCGTCAACAGCATGTGACAATTTTGTACTTGCCAACTAGTCAAATTCAATCCTTTTTTTAGTTTTCGTAGTTTTTAGTTTTCTATGAATTTTGTATGAGATTGTGTATTGTGACGTCACGTTTTTTTTAGCGTCAAACAGCATACTTTTCTCTTAAAAATTTTCTGGAAAAATACTATACTATTAGATTGATAACAGACTGATCCGTGACTTTATCGTGGATTAGTGACTTAGCCTTATTTTTTTTTTGCCATGTTACATTTAGTCTGTGGTCAAGTAAAGATGCAACTTTCTATTATTGAATGAAATTTTGATATCGGTCCAGTAGTTTTTATGTGAATAAAATAGGTCTCAGGCAGATGTGTGGTTTACCATAAAAATGAAGTACAATATATTTTTCGTTTAATTATTGTCGTTTTTTTAAATAGTGCCCCACGCTTTGATTTTCTCCTGTGTCGTGGGTGCGTTTACAAATATACAAGTTCACATACACATGACACACAGACCCGGAACAATCTGTGGATAACACAAAGAGAGTTGTTCCGTGTGGGAATCGAACCCGCGACACGTTGAGCGGCAGCCAGCGCCCAGCCACCGCGCCAACCGAGCAGTCATTTATTCAAGTTCTTTGCTTATTTTTGTGGTAATAAAGTGTATTTTTACTTGCAGGGTCAAATACGGCAAGAGTTCGGACCCTAACTTGCTGCACTACCTGGAGCGGCAGGGACTGGTCGTGTTCACTCCCTCCCGGGAGATCAAGGGCAGGAACTGCGTGCCTTATGATGACAGGTCACTATTGCATACTATTTTATTGTAACGCCGATGTTTTACCCACCGTGGGGTAGGCAGAGTCGCACATAATGTCACATATTCAATGAAATACCCACTTTTCAATGAGTTTTATCAGTTATGAGTAGTGCAAGAAGAGCGAGCCTTTAACTATACACCGGACACAATTACAGACTCCATGCTATTACTTAAAATTTTCGGAAATTTTGAAATCTAATTGTATTTGGACACATGACTCGAACCTGGAGGTCTGCTCCGGTTCTCGAATGCGAAGTTTCGTTTGATTTGCGGCCGCAAACAACGTTTTCGGAACCATAGACAACTTTCGTGAACTACAATGAACGAATGAAGTGAAGATAAATAAATGCCATAGCTTAGCACACATAATCATCAAGAAAATCATGAATAAGCTTTTAATATTGATGTTTAAGATGGAAAATCTTAAACAGGATAAAATTAAAAAACTGCGTTTAAAAAAACCGACTTCAAAAACTAATGACAAACCAAGAGTAAAAACTAAAAAGGAAAAAATAACTATTTGTGGTCATACGTACTTATAGCTTACACACCCACTGATAGGTTAGAAGTCGTCATACTTCATCATCAGACCCTTATTGATAATTACAACCCACCTAGGTGTAAAGTTCTCATCAATACAAATTAATCAAACCCAAACACGAGATACCTACTGTTAACCGTTAAGGAGATCCCTCAACTATCGTACTACTTCATCATCAGACCCTTATTGACAATTACACCCCACCCAAGTATAAAGTCCTTATCAATACAAATTAATCAAACCCAAACACAAGGTAGCTACTGGTAACGGTTGAGGAGTTCCCTCAACTGGCTCTCGGCTCCATCATCAGATCGGCTCCAGACTTTTACCAAATTGTAGTGGTTTTCAATACTTAATGAAAAAATTACCAAATGCCCTAGTCGCTCCTATAATTTTTAAAAGTTCCCCTCGGTTTCCCTGGTCTTCCATCATCAGATCCTGATTTCCTTATCATGGGACCATTCTGGAACTATCTCCTTTCCAAAAAAAAAAGAATTTTTAAAATCGGTTCATAAACGACGGAGATATCGGCAAACAAACATAAAAAAAAAAAAAACAAAAAAAAAAAGCATATATACGGTCGAATTGAGAACCTCCTCCTTTTTTTGAAGTCGGTTAAAAATAATGACAACCAAATTTATTCGTATTATTAGTACAGTCAGTTAAAAAATTTAAATGTCTACATGAGAATTTGAAGAGACTAAATTATTTCGTGTTATGATGATTAACAATATGTTTTTGAAAGAATTTATCTTATCTATAAATCTATATAAATAAAAATGAATTTCTGTTCGTTAGTCTCATTAAAACTCGAGAACGGCTGAACCGATTTGGCTAATTTTGGTTTTGAAATGTTCGTGGAAGTCCAGGGAAGGTTTAAAAGGTGAGAAAATCTTTTCTTTGGCGGTACGAAGTTTGCCGGGTCAGCTAGTTTTGTTATATTAATAGATGTGAAAGAATAGCGAAAATATGATGATATACACTTGAGTTTATTTTTCTAGCGATAATATTCGTTTTAAAATAAAACATAATACATGAAACATTTATGTACAATACATAAGGTATTCAAATAAGTATTTGATTACCCTAAATGTTACTAACTCTCATAGACATATAAAATATATAGGTTCGTGTTAACAAACTATTTGAGCTGACTGTACATTAATTTTATATCGTTATCTAAGTGGTTTCTTTGGTGGCCTACGTGTTGCTCACACGAAGAAACCGTGATAAAACGAAGACTTGCAATTACTTTCATTGATTTTTTAATAAAATTTAACCCAAACGAAAATCAAACGATAACTATTTTGGTTTCGTCGAAATGACATTAAACGTCCGAATAATAATTTGTGAAACTCGAATTTTCGTTCGTGCGGATTGTTCAATTAGAGTAGGGTTTCGAAAATATCGACGTCAAACAGTACATCTCATACTAATTTCTGGCTTGTTTCATTCCTTTTTCGTTCAATAATATGTCATTGTGGTAGGTAATCTTTGAAGTTTCGTCCGAAACTTAGTTTTTCGTCGAATCAGAGTAGACCTACTGAGATCCATTGCTTGGCAGTGGCATGTGTCACATGAGAATACGTTTTTTATGGGCTAAGCCCTTCGATCAACAATAACAACTAGATACAGGGTTACGTACAAAATCAAGCTTCAGTTCTGTCCGTGTGAATAATAATAGTAAAAAAATAACAAACAGAGAAAAATGTTTTAGAATAGTTTTAAGTTCAACCTAATAACAACCATGGCACCTAATAATATAGTCATAAATCGTCAAAATATTATCTAATACTTACGACCATTCGTCACATAAGACAAGAAAAGTGTTTTCTTACTCCTGTCATGTAGAAATTAAAAGACATAAGTTATACAATATTTAGTTTGAATTCAACCTTAAACTCGAACAAATAAAGATAATTTTTCCATTATTGTCTTGCGATCTATATCGTTTTGTTTTGTTACGTTTTGCTTCTTCAAATTTCGAATTTCGCTACAGGAGGTATGTATGGAGTCGCGTTGGACACTAAAATAATTTTATAATATGAAAATTAAGATTTCGGGATCTTAGTATACATCACTAATTTTTATTAGCGGTACGTTTTTGTGTATGATATGTTTATTTACTTTATCATTAAAAGTCTAAGTCTAAGTCAAAATCATTTATTTCAGTTAGACCAGGAAGGCACTTTTGAACGTCAACAATATAAATTTAAAAGTGAAGCTATTTGCTCATTCCAAGGTGTAGATTCCTATGGAGAAGAACGAGCAAGAAACAATACAATTTTATTTTTCAATACAAATCGACTCGATGCATCCACTGTTCTGTTTAAACAAATGTTGGCGAGGCTTGGCCAAGGAATCGCCAACACACGCACAAACATTGGTGGCGTTGGTTTATAATTGATAATTTTGTCTAATTTGATATTATTTACTAGTTTAAAAGCTTAAAATATAACTTATACTTTATGTACTTATCAAAAGTAAGACACTCCAGCCGTTATACTGCTTTTTCGGTTGTTATTTTTGCAACTTGCAATTATGCACTGCGGCATCGTGAGACGTGAGTACGTTGGCCGTGTTTGGAGCATACTAAACAAAATAAGAGCTCACTTCTCAAGTGAGCTCTTATTTGTCGAGACGATTTTCTTGCGCTGACCCGATATCTAGTTGTTATTGTTGATCGAAGGCTAAGCCGGTAAACGAGTAAACGGATCAGGTAAGCAATCGGCCTCGCCCATGGACACCTCAAACACCAGAGGCGATACAAGCGCGGTACCGGCCTTTTTGGGATTAGGAATTTGAGAATTGTTGGGGAATACTTGACCAATTTGAGAGTCTTATTTCTTTCTTTAAGCAAATCTATGGAGAGTATAAAAACATTTTGAAATATTTACATTACAGATACATTCTCCAGTGTGCAGCAGAATTCGACGGCGTGGTGGTGTCTGGCGATAATTACAGGGATCTTATAAACGAGAACAAGCGGTGGAGGTATGTCATCGAGAACAGGGTGCTACCCTTCACGTGGGTCAACAATATGATCATGTTCCCCAAGGATCCCTTCGGACGGGCAGGTCCCACACTCGAGATGTTACTCCGGCATCCAACACCCGTCACACCGCAAAATACCACAAGTCTATTCAACTCATTATGAACAATTTGTGAGTGTGCGAACAATATGTCTACAATGGCGCAACTACCGTAGGACGAGAGCCCGCGAAGATTAAACCTCCAATTAAAATATACGTATTATAAAAAAATTCTGTGTCTAATACAGGTATGAATTACCTAAGACGATGAAGTATGGATTATGAACACGTGAATAAGTGACAAAATTTTTAAATTTCTCATCTGTATGTATGGAAGTACCATCCGACCATGCCATCACCAATAGAAAACCGGGATTGACTTTTATACATAAGAAGATAAAAGTGTAATCTTCGCAGGCTCTTGGCCTATAGCTGTGATTGCAAGCCTTGTGTCTGAACATATTGAACGCTTTGTTATCATTTTGTACTGTAATTTTATATTTATTCATATGTGGAAATTGTCACAGTTACGTGACGTGTTATAATTGTGATGGCGATGTCTCTTGCGGCCAATTTCAGTAACCTTACCTTACTATCTTTAGATTTGTCAGCCATGATAACAGGCACTACTGAACATTAGCCTCTACCAATGACTTCCAGATATGCCGGTTGGAAGCGACCTGTATCTAACGGCTTCCTGTGGCCTTCATCAGGTTGTCAATCAATGTTTTGACATCGATGCTAAAGATCATTACACATTTAACAAGCACGACTCCGGTAGGTTTTTTGCTTCGGAAACAATACAAAAAGGCAGTAAGTGCGCGGACTGCGCACGGGCGGAGCGCATACAGGTTTTTATATTGACCTTATGAAATACGATTTAAAGTTCATATTTAAATGACAAGTTAATTCGTGGGTTGGAGCCGTGCCTTTTAAGTGTACCTTAATATTATAAATGCGAAAGTGTGTGTGTCTATTTGTCCGTCTTTTATGGAAAAAGAGAGCTTTTTATCTCTTTCTAACCCTCCACTTCTTTAAAATGGCGGGGAAAAGTTGGTATGAAGCATTCAGCAATTTTCATGGTTAAAAACTATGAATTAGAATGCGGTGTATTTGTGACTAACAAAATGTTGTGCATCACTTTTTCTAAATCACAAAATATGTCAAAATTATGCCAATAAGCAAACGTACATATAAATAGGTTATTGAAGATGGCCCGTGGACTCTGTAAGCCGTAATATTTATATATTTTTATATCGTCTAGTTATTATATATTGTCTTCTCCATGTGGATGAATTTACGTTACATTTTAACCTACTTAAATATGAAAATGTAATGCCTAAGTACAGAGATAAAATTTTGTAAGTTAAATTTACCAAACTTATTATCATTACTATTTTAGGTGAGGTTTTCGTAGGAGTTTGTGCAATAAATTCGGGCTTGATAAAATGTATGATTCTGGTGCCAGTTTTCAATAAGATCTCATTCACTTGGAACTTTATACAACGTCAAACGCTTCAGTGCTGGTTCAGACCACGAAACTGGACTAAGTTATGTTTTAACACGTATAAATTCAAGGAATACTAGTTGGGCAGCTCGCGGACAAATTCCATTTTTGAAAACTAAAAATGTTACAGGTTTTTTAGCTTGAATTTTTCTGTTACACAATGTAACATTTGTTAATTAGAAATCCACCGTTTTAACGTATTAATAGGTATTATAATCACAATTTACTAGTTAAACTTTACATAGAAATATCGAGTAGAAAACAATATGTCAAGGCAATGCCGAATATTCTGCGAAACCCTAAACATTGAACACATTTTTAAATTTGTAAATGTATCGTTCTACATAGTGTATGATAGTGTATGTGTCGCAAGCGAATTGTATAATTCCGCCGCTTAAATATGGCGTCTTCGAGAGACCCGCCCAGCGGGGCTTCGTGTCAACCTGTTTACGATTTGTCTCCAAAATTGTATGCTTTTTTATTTTTGACTGACTTCAAAAAGGAGGAGGTTCTCTTTTCGGATGATTGTTTTTAAGTCTATACAGCCGTACGAAAGCGGTGCAATTCTATTCTTTGCTTATGACATATGCATGGTTGTTTAAACTCCTTTATCACCAAAGATTACAGAATAATACATTATACTTACAGCCAGTTGAGAGATCAGAGGCTGAGGGGTGATAGTAGATTTATATCTAGTTTTTATATACATAGTATATATATATATATAGATTTTATTCATAGATGTATATAATAAGAATTCCATTTAAACTTTCCACTTTTATCCATGTACACATTTGTCTAACCATTCGTAGCGTGTTTGTACGAACTGATTTAAATGATTCTGATTTTGGCAGGGGTGTCATTTTAATCATTTTTATGTTATTTTATACAAGCCACAGATTTTAAGAAATTGAGAAAAAATATCTTCAATCTTTATTTTAACGGGCAACCCTAATGCATTGGGAGTGTTACAAGCTTGACGTGTCTGTGTACCTGTGTGTATGTCTGAGGCATCGTAACACCGAAACAGATGAACCAATTTCGATTACTTGAATTAGTTGATTGTTTTGATTAGTTGAAAAAGAATTTTTGCGAAGAATATTTTGTTCTTACGCATGAATTTTGACAATAATGAACACAGCTGATCATCTGTCTCATTAGTAAAACATTGTGAGATTACACCCCTACCACCATTTTTTTTATTTTTAAAGATATGCCGCTAAATAGTCACATGTACTAGTATTTTAGATTGTTACTGTATTGTCAACTATTAGTCCTATAAATCTGTCGACCGCGTATTAAGGTTAATTTATTTTAGTGATTTTAAATTATAAAAAGTTGTACTTCTTTACGGGAGCTATAAATATTGTTTTAGTTGCCATAGTTACATGCCTACATTTTAATGAATGAGTACGGGTTTGTAATGTAGGATGTAATGGAAAAAATTAAAGATGAATATTTCCTTTTGATAAATATCAAAATTTGTAAATAAAAGTTTTTTTTATTAATGCTGTATTTTTATTCGTATACTAGCTTTCCTTCAGGTCTATAGCTCAACTTTTAAACCTCTTTCCTGATCTTATCTAGATTCTAGACCACTTACAATATCTCGAATTCTAGAGGTCCTAGCTCAAAAATAACGATATTTTTGTACCCCCCTATAGATACATCCCGGATAAAGTAAATTTGCTGATTGAGGAATGGAGCAGAAAATGCAAAATAGAAGTCGGCGCCATAACTTCTATACAAAATTATTCATTAAAACCTTCAGAGATACCTTATTTACAATTTTAAGTTATATCATTATAATGTGAGCTTATGGCACTGACTTCTAACCTCAGTGGGTAGGTAACATATCAGTACTAATGGTACTTATTTTTTTCTTTTTAGTTTAGACTTTTTGTTTGTTATTACTTTTTGGATTTTCGAAGTCGGTTTTTTAAACACAGTTTTTATTTTATTATTTTATCATTTTCAGTGTAAAGCTACATAGATCCGTTTTCCTTAATCTGCATAGGTGCAAAGTTCTAATCAATACAAATTAATCAAGCCCAAACACAAGGTAGTTACTATAAACCGTTGAAGAGTTCCCTTAACAATTACACTTCTTCATTATCAGATCCTTAATGTCAGTCCACCATTAATAATACAGTACATACAGAAAAGAAAATGACAAACAAATAAAAATAATAATGGGCACAAAGGCGGTCTTATCACTTATAGTGATTTCTACCAGACAACCTTTGGGTGGACATAATGAAGAGAAATATTTAGACGGGTTGTGTACTAAGAAAATAAATAAATAACGTAGTTATTCACTTAATGACAGTCCCACTCTATCTAGGTGTAAAGTCCTCATCGATAGAAATTAATCAAGCCCAAACACAAGGTAGTTACTGTATACCGTTGAGGACTTCTCTTAACAATTACACTTCTTCATCATCAGACATTTAATGACAGTCTCACTCTATCTAGGTGTAAATTCCTCATCAATACAAATTTATCAAGCCCAAACACAAGGTATGTAATATAAACCGCTGAGGAGTTCTCTCGACTGTCTGTCGGCTCCATCATCAGGTCGACTCCAGACCCTTATCAAATTGTAGTGTTTAAAAATCCTTATTGAAAAACATAATAGACGTATTACCCGCCCCTACAATTTTTGAAAGTTCCCCTCGGTTTCCCTAGGATCCCATCATCAGATCCTGACCTCATGGAAATGGAACTATCTCGGGAGTATACCCTTTCAAACAAAACAAGAATTTTGAAAATCGGTTCACAAATGGCGGAGTACTGCGCGAAAAAACAAAAACAAATAACAATCAGCCGAACATAGTGCTTCCTCCTTTCTTTGAAGTCGGTAAAAACCTACTCTACCTAGCATTGAATAGATAGAATCGGCCTTACAATATCCCGTTGGAAAATGCTGCTCGTCTCGATATGTCATACAATCTAAATTTGTAAAGGTGAAGAGCTTAGATTTGGCCTGGAGGCCTAACTTGTAATAATTATCCAACCAAAAATATTACATTCTGTAAAAAACTAAAAAACCAATTCCAAACAAAAAGTAATGAAATCTAGACAAAGTCGTACCAAGTCTAAGGTTCCTTACTGCGATCTCTTTATTATTATAGTTAATGTTGTATGACTTGCCCGTTGAAGGGTAGACAAGGGTGCAAAAACAGATGCAAATGTAAGATACCATTGCACCAATCTGTAATTTATTCAATCAACTTTTTCTATCTTTTTTATATTTTGTGTCTTCAATGAGTAGCGATCATAGATTTATAACTGCGATACAACGGCCAAGTCACACAACACTGTGATAGCTAGTTTTTTTTAAATGGTTTTGGTTGGATTTCCCTCCTTATTGTAGAAACTTGAGCATATTGATTTATTGTATTATTTTTCGATATTCTTATTTCATTATTTGACACATTTTTTTTCTTTTCACTCGTAGTTTTGTTACTATTACAAATCTTTCTTTTCTTTTTACCGACTTCAAAAAAGGAGGATGTACAATATTCGGCTTTTTTTTGTTTGTTCACCGATTACTCCGCCATATGTGAACCGATTCCCAAAAACCTCGTTTTGTCTGAAAGGGTATACTCCCGAGATAGCCTCATTTCCATGTCAGTCCAAGTCAGGATCTGATGATGGAATCCTAGGGAAACCGAGGGGAACTTTCGAAAATTGTAGGGGCGATTTTTAAACATTACAATTTGATAAGGGTCTGGAGTCGACCTGATGATGGAGCCGACAGACAGTCAAGAGAACTCCTCACCGGTTCATATTAACTACCTTGTGTTTAAGCTTGATTAATTTGTATTGATGAGAACTTTACACATGGATGGAGCTGGACTGTCATTAAGGGTCTGATGATGATGAAGTGTAATATGTAGCCATTGAACCCTAACTCTATACCCAGCTCTCTGAGTTTATGGGAAGTACCAGTTCTATTTTGATGATCATGAGTGTCATAAATGCGAAACTGCTTTCGCATAACTTTGGAACTACATTAATGACCTAGGTACAGATTTTGGATATTAAGATGTGATTATAGCTTACTGGATGATGAAAATTTCTGCGTGGTCTTATCCAGTGGTTCAATAGAAATTCTGTAATGGGGGCCTGAAAATGCCGCGAAATGGTTCCTTTATTCCAGTATTTCATTTCAGTAAAGATTGGGACGGCAGTTTTTGCTTCGCGCTCGACTTAGCATTGCCGTGACCCCAGACAACATACATTCTGTGTATTGTGCCCGTTTGTTTTAGGTATATATTTCTTGGTACTAACCTTGATTTAAGAATGCACGATCTCATATTAAATTAATAAAAATCTATTGTTTTAAATGGGTTTTAACCAGCCAATCCGGACCTGTCTTGTCCTAAATTAGAAAAAGATGCATGAAATGAAACAAACAAATGTATAAATTGGAACATTTTATTAAAATTACATTTACACAACTGACGCGTGTAGAGCGAAGTGATTTCATTTAATGACTTCGAGCTAACTATCCACAACAACTGAATATAACATTTAGATGTTTCGCGACACAAATCGGATGCTAGCTAAATCAGAAGTTATTATAAAAGATTTTCAAACCTAGTTAAAAACAGATAAGGTTGAAAATCTATTAAGGAAATTCACAACTCTGCAAACGAATTTATCGTTATTCTCAGTTTTAGTTATACAGAAATGGAATAGATGAGATTGTTTAACATTTTACAAAACATTGAAGTCACCAACGTTGCGCTTATTTTGAACTATGATAGGCCACCGGATGCTCCCGACTATTGACTCGCAATAAACTATGATTAACGTGCAAACAATAAAACTTGCTTAGAAAGTCACTAAACGAAATGTTTTAACGTAGGCGAGACTAAGATACTTGCATTATTTCTTTGCTTAGAAATTTTTTAGATGGAAATAATTTTACATTGATCGTGAAAAACAAAATCGGCTGAAGTATGAAAACATATAATTAGAATACTATAATGTTTACATATTAAAGAAATTCCTTTTTCTCTTCTATCTGTAATAGATGACTACCAGAATGTTATTGTACGGTTTTCATAAAGAGTTAGTTTAGTTTCGAGACAAGTTCAGGTGTATAATTTATGACCAAACGGACAGCACTGTTATAGTAGCAGTTTTGGTCCATTCATCGATGCTAGAAACTTTTGGACCAAGATTTTGTTATGGACAATCGACTGTATTTCTAATGACATTTCCAGCCGATTTTCGTCATGTTAACGATATTACAAAAAATCTTTCCAAGTTGACAGCATTAGGTCTACTTCTTTCATTATCAAAGATCTACAATAAAATGAAATAAATGATCACCACAAGAAAACATTCGATCAGCGACATCCGCAAAACATTTACTAAGCGATAAACACGTAAAAATATATTTAGCTATTATAAAAATTATATATTATATATATCTTACTTTTAATCTCACTTTCCTTAGCCAAGCTCTGATCCTTACACTACCATGCAGTCTTTCGATACCTTATAAATACAAAATTTGTGCGAATAACAAACTTAAATTAACATCGCTTCGTATTGGACAAGCTTGCCTACATCTATTATATACATCTCTTTCTAATATTTACTGAAAATGAATTGTGTGAAAGAGATAGGTATAAATAGTTAATGACTGACTATAGAATGCTATTCTCGTGTCTATTACTAAGAGTATAGATGTGATTTTAGAGTAATATGTCGTGTATAATTCCTAATGCGATAAATTCAGTTCATATTTACAAAAATCATTTAACCTCTTGTCTGTCGCTATACAAGACAATAGAAAACATCAACACTTCAGAGGTTAAAGGTAAAATATTTTTTATGATTACTATGAGTTCGTAAGTATGAACGGAGTTTCAATGGAGGCTATCGTCTCTTTGCTCACTAGGTGGCGCTAATCTAAAAGTGTTTTAGTCCAATAACTGCAGCTGTCAAAAACTGAACGTCCAATGGTGTGACACTGGCTAATTGGGTACTTTCCTTAATTAAAAATAAATTACTTCGACTATTCAATACAATAAAATATAAAAAATAATAACATTTAATGAATAATTGATTTTATGACCAAATTAATTTTAGTATTTACCCAGCAAATTTTTAAGAAATAGGTACGCTGTTTAACTCGTCGAATACCGTTATTATAGACACAATTATAGAACAATAGGTTGCGGTCACCGGTGACCGCTTGGTGTTTGACAGTTTAAAGCTAAAAAAACGTGACGTCACAATTTCAAGTCTCGTACAAAATTCATAGAAAACTGTCGTTTTTGACAGTTCGAAAAAAGTATTGAATTTCACTAGTTGTCCAATACCGTATTCCCTATTGGACGAAAAGGGGGATGTCAACAGTAGCGCTATCTGTGGTGAGCAAATATACAATAGCCCCCATTTAAGCTAGCACTGAACTGTTTATTAAAAGACAAAGAGATACAGAATATTTGGCACTACTTACAACAAAACCAATTGCACGTACTTGGAGTAAAATATGAAATTGAATAATATTCATTGATTGTTATATTGTAAGATTATAATTACGAATATATTTTTGTTTTAATTATTTCTTAGTATATTCACGCCCGAATACTGAAAAGCTACTCAATTTGAAGTCGTACTTAAATATCGCGCTATCTATGTCATTTTATAAAGAACTAGCTTCTGCCTGCGACTTCGTACGCGCAATCCCGTTTCTCCCATTCACGTAGGATTTTCAGAACTTTTTTCTGTCATAAGAACCTCCTGACAATAACAAACACATCGAAAAAAAATCTATCAAATTGGTCTAGCCATTCTCAAGTTATGGCGTGACAACGGAAAACGGGTTTCATTTTTATATATAGACTAGCGGACCCAACAGACGTTGTCCTGCATATCCACTTGAATAAATAAACAAAAATTCATTCAAATTAGTTCAGCTGTTTATAAATAACCTAAACTTCGACTGCAGCGCCATCTGCCGGGCTGATTTGTGAATCTAAACCATTCCCAGATCCTCTTGAACACACACCAAAAATGTCATCAAAATCGGTCCAGTCGTCTGAGAGAGGTTCAGTGACATTCACACTCACAGAAGAATTATATATATAAAGATTGACAGAAGTATACTTAAGCGCGACTTAAAATAGGTGGCGATTGAGTATTTGGACTTAAGATTATTATTTATTAGCAATAGTAGCAAGAAAGGGATTACTAAATACTCGATTTCTCTTCAAAATAGTTTGTATCACCTTTCTTACTGAAAATAAATTGAGATTATAATATTGGAGATAGATTAACATTAGCGTCGAAATAGGGATAAAATTATTACAATTATTAATGAGAATAATTAGATAAGAAATACATCCATCAAAACTGCTAAAAATAAAACGGAATCAATTAATATTACAGAAATAAAAACAGTTTGCCATTTCGACATTATTAAACAATAATAATAATTAAAAATATAAAATAAAAACAAACACAATAATATAAATATCAAATATTTAACACAGTTCAAAATAAAATATAATTATTATGAACAAATACGAATGGACTGAATATGAACATTTTATTGATGGCAACACTACGAATGTCGGTTTTATAAAATTATTAAAAGAAAACCGCCTAAAAATATTGTATTGCGTCGCCTAAAAAAATAGTAATTGTTTTACTAGAATTTTGAGTAAAGTCTAAGGAACCAATACTAGAGAAATCCATATAAAAAGATATTAAGTTATGTTCATACGATAAAAAAATGATAGGAATAACCAATATATTAGATTAGAAGCCAAGTTAATCTAATAAATACAAAGGGATCTACTAAGAAATGAACACTTTGTGCGTAAAAAACTAAAATATTGATATCAATACATAGTATAAAACAAAGTCGCTTTCGCTGTATGTCCGTATGTATGCTTAGATCTTTAAAACTACGCAACGGATTTTGATGCGGTTTTTTTTATTAGATAGAGTGATTCTTAAGGAAGGTTTGTATGTATATACATATTGCACCCGTGCGAAGCCGGGGCGGGTCGCTAGTTTCATTATAATATAATGTATTGCGATTTTTAACACTACATACGTCATTAGGTCGATTTTCTATTGTAGATGTAAGCTAGGAACATATTTGTATTCTTTGGGCTCATATTACTTTTAATTTGATCTTTAAATTAAACTTAAACGTTAACTGTTATCATAAGGAATGATGGCTAAATATGTGCCATTACAAACATGCGAACTGTCACTGTAAAGGAATGTGACAATGTCGCACAACCCTCAAAGTGTGAGCGAGAGACCCGATGTAAATCACTTTCGACAGTTTGTATTGGCCCAACTATACCAGGTGAATGTAAAATATTGGACTCGTAGCTATTTCATTTTCTTCTGTAATTATTTACAAACAGTATTAGAAATTAACTAAAAATCGCGGGTTACTCACGTGAATATGCAATGCAGCCTAGGCTGTAGGCTGCGCGACATCGCCGCGACCCCGCACGCTGCTCATAAGGAAGAACCCCTCTGTGGTTCGAAACTAGTAGAGCTTTTCGCAGTATATTCACGTAAGCAACACGCAGGTTTTAGTTAGTTTAGTATGTCTCACGATAGTTATTCTCACGATAATATCTCATTAGTACATTTCATATCAAGCAGACGTTGTGAGCTCTTACAAACTCGTTTTAACTAAGCATTACGCCAAAAAAATACATGTCCAATATTATTTCATTATCTGTAACAAGACTATGATTTTCAAGTTATACCACTTTATCATTCCTTGCTGCCATTCAGTACTTTCTTATTTCCTCCGGTCTACCTCTTAAGGTTCTTGACTCGATCAGTTTCCACGCAATGACCAACACACGGCTACCCATCGAGCTATACAAAACCAATTTATCGTGAACTCGTTTTGTATGATCTCTCCACACATTCATGGTGAGTTTATATTGGTTGTTGCATAACTTGACATGCAGTCGTATGTACATTTCAAACATCATCATTAGTGATCATTTTGTCTAGTTTTAACTGTTCTAGTTGTAATTGCCGCCTTATGGAACCGAGTTGAGTTAAAATATTAACGCTTTTCCCTTCTTCATTAGGTAAAGCTTTCAATATATTCTTCTGTACAGCAGGCACTTTCCACTTGTCATCAACTTTCTTCATAGCTTCACTCATTTTTGACGTTTCATCGATACTTTCGGGTATTTTAGGCGAATGCCGCAACACTGGTATGGGTAAACTATCTATATTATTCTCTATACTGTTAAAGGACGGCGTTACTTCAGGACGGTCTCGTTCTTCTGGATGGTGAACTAAAGCCTTTTCGATAAGCTTGTTATGATCGTGTTTCTCTGAGATTTCGTCGTACTTTTTATTGAAGTTTAAGTTCTTTCTTAAGTATGAATCTACGTCGTAGTTAGCTGAGAATATTGACGTGTCTGGTATGTTCATTGAGTATGGTTTCTTGTCACATATTTCGTTAGTTCTCTCCTGTACGCGTGGGTAGTAGAATGGTAGCTTCGATGGGCTTGTGTCTGTTGTAGGAGTGTTCCGTTGTTGAGTGTTGCGTGGTTGCGCGACGCGAACGTTGCGCTGTTCGATGTCGATCTCTTTTTGTAGTTCTGTGCGCTTACTGTGGTATTCTGTTGCATTTTCTTTCATCTGTAATTTAGAATTTGTTGTTAATAGGGTACAGAGTGTGAAAATCGAGAAGTAAAATATTAGACACATATTTTTTTTAATTTGTCGTATAAGAAAACAATACTTAGATAAAACGGGGTTAAATTGAGGAGGGGGAGGTCGCAACGTCACGCTACCCTATACAATTTAGTAAATCGTGACGTCACGCGATATTTCAAATCAATCTATTGTCAAAAGTATTTAATTTTGTAAGAAAAAATACGTGTCTAATGTTGTAAAACACTCTACCAGACATTAAAGTAAAATTTAGGATAGTATCCTTCCTATTTATGATAGCTACTAACAACAGTTAAGAAAATATTGATATTTTTAATGTTATATTGTAAAGAATACTAGAGTTTTGGTTTTACAGTGGAAATGGAAATCAGTTACTCCAGATACAGATGCACACATTGTTTAATAGTTTTCTACCTTATTACAAACAAACTTCAATTCGACGACAATTTTAAATGTGATTATTTTTTATTATCATTGAGCATTTTATTTCCTCGGTAGACGTAAAAGCGTGGGCTTCGCAGGAAAAGACTGAAAAAATACTCAGCAAGAAAGAAATTTAATACCTAAGGTGTTAACTCAAGGAGTACAGCACAGCGAGTGAAATATTTAGCGTTTACATACAAAAAAATAATAACAATAACTACTTAATATTTAGATATTAAGTAGTTATTGTTATTATTTTTTTTTTTATTAAACCAGTAGAAAAGTGCTTAATTAAATATTTTAGCTACAAAATATTATACTCACGGCGGCAGTGATATCGTGTTGCTTGTTCAGTTCCCGGTCCTGTGCCACGCGGAGCATCCTAAGTTGTTCCTCCAGACGACGCATCTCCGCTTGTTCTAGCATCCTGAAAATTGTGCGGCTCATAATAATCCAGTAATGGACTTGCATTATAATGAAAGAAAGAAAAACGATTTATTTTGCTACGACACAACAAGAATTTAGGAACACACAAAGAGTCTTTTTTTTAAGGGGGGGAAATCATCGAATGACTACTCCCGCCTGGGTGAGGCGGGAGGGAGTGTCAGACTCTTACTGACTAAAAACCACCCCGTTCCTTCTCCTGCACGTCGAGCCGGAGCCCCGGTTACCCGTTAGGTTCTCCGCGACACATAGAGAGTCTATGGTGCGTCGCAGCGCAAAAGGCTGGAGCTGAGCTTAATACCGTGGACCGGGCACAGAGGCTCGAGCCCACGGCGTTATAAAGTTCTATATATTATGAGCTGACACGGCAAAAATGTTTTTCTCACCTTTTAAACCCTCCTTGGACTTCCACAAACATTTCAAGATAAAAATTACTTAAATCGGTTCAGTCGTTCTCGAGTATTAGCGAGACTAACGAACGAAAATTAATTATTGTTTATATAGATAAACGCAAGCGTGTATTTGTCTCTCTTACACGGCACAACAAAGCGATATTATGGCATGTTTTTCTAGAGATAGAAATTATTACATTTGGATACAAATAAATAAATAAATAAACAAACAGTCTTACTTCTCCCTCGTCTTCCTCTCCTCTCTAATTCTCTGTTGTTCTAGAATTTGGTTCCTCAGTTCCTGTTGGTAGAACTGGCGACGTTCTGCTGCTTCCTGTAATGTATCCAAATTTCATCTTTAAATTGTAAGTAATAAGGATTAAGTTAAATTTTTCCAGCCAAAAAAAATGTTAGTCTGAAATGATGATTGTATTTACTTATACTAATATTATAAAGAGGTCTTATAAAGAATCTCAGTAGTAGCACGGAGTCTGAAAATGTGCCCGGTATGTGGCAATAGGCTCACCCCCTATTACATGGGACTCATAACAACTAGTGAAAAGTGGGTGTTACATTGTACTGTGGTAGAATGTGCACCTCTGCTTACCCCTTCGGGGATAAAAGGCGTGATGTTATGTATGTATGTATGTATGTATAAAGAGGAAAGATTTGTACCTATTTTTGTATGTTTGTAATGAATAGACTCAAAAAGTACTGGGCCGATTTAAAAAATTCTTTCACCAATAGAATGCTACATTCTTCCAATTTGACATAGGCTACATTCAATTTTGAAAAAAATTAGGGATACTTGGTAAAATTTGAACAATGTAACCAAAGGTGTAGAAAAATGAGTCTTAAAATGTCTTTCGTCGAATGCGCTGCCGAAACTATTAGCGATAGAACAAAAACCTCCGCGGTAGCATAATAATTATGTCCAACTATTGTAGTTATGTCACTACAACAATCCAAATTTCCAAAAATAAATAATTGTGTACCCCGTGCGAAGCCGGGACGGGCTGCTAGTTTACTATATAAAAGAAGTCGGGTTTTCCTTCTTGGCGCTATAATTCCAGAACCCACGAACCGATTTTCACCGTTTTGCATTCGTTGGAACGTTCTTGGGCTCCGCGAGGTTTATAAAATATAAAACAAAAAACATTTTTCATCATCTTTTTATCACCAAACAAAATGTTACATAAAACGAAGCCATCTGGTGGCGAAACGGAGTTCGCCGGGTTTGCTAGTCGATGATAAAAACGGTTTTACATAAAACTTTTGATGAAATAGAAGGAGTGATGTATTAATACCTTCTCAGCCTGCATATTGCGCAGTTGTATGGCGTCGGCGTCGAATATAGAGCGCGAGTACCGCGGCTCCGACTGCAACTTGTCGCGTGTACACTGCTTCACTAGCGACGATGTACGCTCTACAAGTACAACAAATATTTATGCAGACACTAATATACACAACTTTGACATCACTGACAGACAGTGAAGGAAAATATCGAAAACCTGACCATAGTTTGAAATCGTCAATCCGCCTAGTGAGCAACCGTAGAGTTGTAATCAATGGTGACTCTTTTTTCTTTTGATGGAGGAGGCATTTTCCATATGATTTGATTATGAAATATAATGGCTGAAAGCACTGATAGTGATCGCAGGAAGACGTTGCTAGATGCATACTTTCAACATCAACCAGCCGATCTCGAAGTCATTGGGGTTTTAAGAAAGAGACTGCAGATTATGGGCGCTGCCACCGCCGCCGTCGAGCGCCCAGTAGCAGCGACTGTCGTCGCGTCGCGGGCCAAGGAATGGTACTCATGAACATGAGCCTCTAACATAGCATGAAACTAGTCGAGTTTCTCGTCAAACAGTTACGGGAGTAAGCCGAAAACAGAATAATTAAGATATGTTATTACCGTCATAGTCCCCATAGCTCCGCCGTCTCTCGTGTATCCAGCCAGTATGCGGGCCGGCAGTGCGCGGGGACAGCTCGCGCTCTGCTTCAGTTAGCTGGGACTTACCGGAGCCTGGCAACTGTAATAGAACGATAGGTATTAACATACATAATTATAGGTACACTGTGAAATCTTCCTCGTTTTCGTCCCGAAGTAAAATTGTTCTGTTTTGGTAATACAACAGTTTTACAAATAAATAAAATGTTTAAAACAAAATTACTGGTGGACCATCGAAAAAACCTTTGAAAGCGCATATGAACTATCATAATCTAACAGTCAGTTTTTACTTTTTAAATATCTGTGTGAATTGGAAACTGTCTGTTTTATTTCTCTCTAATTATTGATATCTTTTGATCTTATTGCATTTTATATTGTAATCTACTTCTAATTATATATTCCTTTATTTTATTGCGAGATCTGAGACAATTTATTAATGTCCCTGGGACACTAAACGTTAGTGTTTAGGAGTTTTCATAGTTCAATATTCTGACAACAGCGATAGTTCAACCTGGTTCATTCGTTCAAAAGTTGAAACATTTAGGTTTAATGATTATTTATTCACTCATTAAGAACATGGTTTACTTACAATGAGCTTAAATGATAAATTGTAACTAGGTATACAGAGTTATGACAATGATCAAACGGTATCAATAACTATTTTCAGATACATATTTCGAGGACTTTATTGCATTTTGGCAGCACTATCGCTTTTGATCTCAAAAGCCTTTGTGACCATATTTAACGTTTACTTATAGTAAATTAATATAAAAAAACAATAAATAAAAGTATGTTACCCGGAACATCTCGTTGTCATCAGTTTGTACGGCGACGGAGAGCGGACACGTGAACCCGTCCACCTGCACGCCCATATCCACTTTACTGAAACAAACATAGTTCATTTATAAAACCAAGCATTGATATTCAAAGTCAGTCAAAGCATTTATTTCAATTAAACTATAGTTTGGTACTTTTGAAACGTCAACAAATACAAAATAAATAATAGTCTGTCAGTCAGTCCGTCAGTAAAATTAGGTGAAGCTAGGTGCTCATTCCAAAAACGTAGATTCGAATGGAGAAGAACGAGCAAGAAACTCCATTCGTTTTAGTAACTAAGGCTACCGTTTTTGTGCTCACTAGATGCCGTTAATGAAATATGAGGTGCTATTTGTTCAATCATCACAGCTGTTGACAAGTTGACTGTCCATGTCCAATAGTCAGATACTAGGAAATTCTCTATTGGACTAATTAGGATTGTCTCCTGTGTCACGGATGCGTCTACAATACATGGGTGTTTCTTCAAAAAACTTTAACTTTTATTTAACAAATCATTATCCTCCCGCGTTGTTAAGCATCGTATAATAAGTTAGGACTTATTAGCATCTGTATTTTATTGCATTGGGTGAGAGCAGTGACATGGCACAATTTATTGAAACTAAACTTTGTATTTTAATCAGTAGAATTGTTAACTGTGGCTTAAGGATAATGACGCCGTTAATTTTTTGGTTTTTTTTTTTCGGAGAATCACCCACATACTAATTCATATACCCAGACTCGGACTCGAAACACCGTTTGTGGATGTGGACAAAAAGATTTTCCGTGTGGGAATTAACACCGCAAAAAGTTACACAACAGCCCGTTACCTACCGCCCCCTGTGCCAAACGTATAGAATAGAATCAAAGCTGTAGGAATTTGATACATATGTATTTGTATTCTACTATAATTTAGGTATAGGCGATAGGCTCACCCCCTATTACATGGGACTCATAACATAAATAGTGAAAAGTGGGTGTTACATTGTACAGTGGCATAATGTGCACCTCTGCCTACCCCTTCGGGGATAAAAGGCGTGATGTTATGTTATGATTTAGGTTTGTACATAATATAACATCATGCCTTTTATCCCCGAAGGGATAGGCAAAGGTGCACATTATGGCACTTAATGCCACTGTACAATGTAACATCCACATCTTATGAGTCCCATGTAATAGGTGGTGAGCCTATTGCTATATACCGGGCACATTTCCAGACTCCGTGCTGACTGAAAGACTGACTGTTCCAGACTGTTATTTTAAAAAACCCAGTAATACTTTACCCGACCCGGGAATCGAACCCGAAGCCCCCTTGCAGTCGCACTTGTGACCACTCGGCCAACGAGGCAGTTTTAGGTTTGTATGTACATACTTATTATTATTGTACACGGTCGAGTCCGGTATACACTGCACGCTCCGTCGTCGCTCGGCGCTATATCTCTCTCGCTCCTGCAGTAGCTCCCTCTCCCTCTCCTCTCGCTCTCTCTCCTTCTGCTCTCTCTCGCGACGCTCCCTCTCTGCTTGCTCTTTGGCTTCTTGCTTCTTTTTGGCTTGCTGTAGTAAACAAATGTTAATTTGTGATTATGTCGAGGACATATGAAAGTAGTCACTATCAGTTGGAAGACGTTGAAAATGAATAAATTGAGACGGGCCCATCATAATCTCTTGGCTTGCGGAATGCAGTTACGTCACAGAAAATTTAGAGAATTCTGCTGTACGTTTCTCAGTGGTTGATCACAGTTTTAAGACATAACCTAGTCCACTGTCTAAATTCTTAAATATGTATACTTAGCGGAAATTTGATTATTTTGTTTCTAAATTAATATTGAAACTAAATCGGCACCACCTATGGACAACGCAGCCCGAAAGAAGTTTTACGAAGATTGTCGACCTTTTAGGGACTGGGGATTTGAGAACCGATGATCGGGGATGAGGAGGAATAGAGCTAGTAGTAAATAAATAAAATATGTTAGACAGTAACACCCACTTTTCACTATTTAAGTTATGAGTCCCCTGTAATGGGGGTGAGCCTATTGCCATATACCGGGCACAATTCCAGACTCCGCGCTACTACAGAGTTTTATTTCTAAAAACCCAGTTTTATTTTGCTCGACCCGGGAATCGAACCCTTTGCTCGCAGTCGCACATGCGACCACTCGGCCAACGAGATAGTTTGTACAGTGCCGTAATGTGCACTTCTGCCTGCAGGGATAAAAGGCGTGATGTTACGTTGTGTTAGATAGTAGGTACCTGATCAAGATACTCTCTATACTGTTGCTGTCGAATCTTCCGCAGCGTGTTCCTCCGTCGCTCGTACTCGCCGAGTCCGAGCAGCGCGTCCCCCGCCGCGCGCTCGCCCCGCACCAGCGGGTTGTTGGGGGAGTACTCGCCCGCCTTCAGCATCACTGGCAGACCTACGTAGCGCTGAAACGAACCGTATAATATCTATGTAATTAACATAACATTAAGCGCCTGTTTGGATGCACCACCCTTATATAAGTACCTGACGTGCCAAATAGTTCGTAATTACGTTTTATATTATTGACTAGCTTCTGCCAGCGGCTTCGCCCGCGATCCCAGGGGGAAAATGCCAATGTATTACATTTACATCACACCATACTCTACCTCTGTTCCGAATTTTTATTATAAAATGGAGTAACTTCTCCCGTTTTCCCAATATTTCCCTTCATTGCTCTGCTCCTATTGATCGTAGCGTAATGAAAAGTATACTATAACCTGCCCAAGAGTATGAAGAATAATTGTGCCAAATTTCGTTAAAATCCGTCGAGTAGTTTTTGTTTCCATAACGAACATACAGACAGACAGACAGACAGACAAAAATTTTACTGATTGCATTTTTGGCATCAGTAGCGATCCCTAACCACCCCTTGATAGTTATTTTTTAAATATATTTTATGTACAGAATTGACCTCCCTACAGATTTATTATAAGTATAGATTTGGTACATTGTGGCTACCCAGATGTTATGAAACAGTCCCTAAATACTCGCACACGCGTACGTGAAATGTGCACGTTCTTAAGATCCTGACTTACACATACAGTGGCCATAGTAGTTTGATTTTGATTTACGTTTAAAGTATTTGAAACGAGTATACGTTCGGCACTCTGATTGGACGGCGCCAATGAAGCAACCAATCAGAGTGCCGAACGCGAACTCGTTACGAATACTTTAAACGTAAAACAAACTCGTACTAAAGCCTCTGAACTGACTTTTCAGCGAGAGATGGGAGACTACTACACTAGCACTACATGATTAGTATGATTAAATGTATTTCGTTCTATCCTATTGGTCACTCATGGAGTATCCTATAAGATGGTTACTGTCATTATAACAGCCGAACATTGCGTTGTCGCGTTAATAAAACGTCGTATCTATAGGCCCTTACACTGTTTCAATTATAGCACCTGTACCTTGAAAGTTGGGTAACACGGTAGCGTTCTAACCGAGTAGCCAGTGAGTAAACAAAACCTCCAAAAAGGTTTCATATTACGTTACAATGAATGGAAACATGTTGGAAATCAGTGGAGTGCTACAAAACAGGTTAAGTAATTCCAACATACGACCTTTGTTGCTTTTCTGGTGTGACTGGGAGTTCACCTTTCCTTTATGAAAACTTCGCTTTGAACATCCTACAATTGTATATTAGGTAATTTTATTTTATAAAAGTCACCGTTAATGGGTTAACGCAGCGTGCTTGTAGATGCATCTCGAATGTGATGGAAGGTAAAGAAGTATGTATGGAAGGGACGACATAGGCCTTAAGGCATCAAAAGCATTTATTTAATCACTGAAGCGCTAGCTATTACAGAATCTTGTTTAACTTTACCAAAGACAAAGTGGTGGCCTTCGAGACGATTCTATACTCATAATGTCATACGCGACTTTGAAACCAGCTCTACCAACATCGCCAGATACTAATAAACGGACAAGTCATCCGACCGTCAGAAATCTAAGGATATAAATAAGGATACAATAAAGGTTCAAATCAAACGCCTCATTGAAACGAAACTATACAAGTTCTTCACAAAAACGAAACGTGCAATGTCAACAGCATGTAAATACCAGTTGTGCTATGAGTGATTGAGGCGTGAGCATCGAGAATTAATCGTAGCGAGACTAACAGCTCAATTAATTGACCGACACATTATGTGCATACTGTATATGCAAGCAAAAACAGGCACGCGACCGCATGGCCGGAGATGGCGCGACAATAACGCGATTGTTCCAAGAACACACGATATTCTTGGGAAATTGTAATCTTGGTGTGTTCGAATGTTTCTTTTAATTTTAAGTGTTACATAACATAACATCACGCCTTTTATCCCCGAAGGGATAGGCAGAGGTATACATTATGCCACTGTACAATGTAACACCCACTTTTCACTATTTTTATGTCATGAGTCTCATGTAATAGGGGGTGAGCCTACTGCCATATACCGGGCACGATTCCAGACTCCGTGCTACTACTGAGATTTTTTTAAAAACCCAGTAATACTTTGCCCAACCCCCCGAGACCCCCAGCCCGGCAGTCGCACTTGCGACCACTCGGCCAAGGAAGCAGTCAATTAAAACTTGTATTTGTTTCATTGTACTTAAAACGGTAAGGACTGATATGTCATAGATATTTTTATGCTGGCTATCCGTCACCAAATATTGCGTTTATCTTTATCATTATATTATTTCTGTGTAAACTAGCGCAACTATATCATTATCATTAAAGACTCATCCACTGATGATCTATGGGCCTCCTCTTCAAGGAAAGGTTTATAATCTTGGCAGGCGGAGCTTGGATATCCCAGTTTAAAAATATCAGGCTTATCAAAGAGTGCTGCTCATCAACAGTCGAAAGACGTCCACTGCCGGAAAAAGGCCTCTCCCTTAGTCCTCCACATCGAACGATAACTCGCCTCTTGCATCCACTGGCTGCCCGCAACTCTGGCGATGTCGTCAGTCCACCCAGTGGGCAGCCTGCCCACGCTTCGTCTCATTCGTGGTCTCCACTCACGAACTGTCGTCAGTCCGTCGACTGCCATTTGCCACTTCAGTCTGTAGATTTTGCGAGCTATGTCGGTAACTCTAGTTCTTTGGCGAATTCTATATTTCGGATTTTGTCGCGCAAAAAAACCCGAGTATAGCTCTCTCCATCGCACGCTGAGCGACTTTGAGCTGAAAGCTGAGTGCTACTCAGTAGCTATCTGTCTAAACTGTAATCTACCTTTTTAATATACCCTAGTTTACTTCACCACATGCCAAAAGCGCACCTAATACAGTAGCACACGAGGAATCCGTAGTTCGACGGCTCACCGTTGCTATTAAGCTGTACTGTGAAGTGTAGTAAATTGGTACTTGGATACGTTAGTGAAAGTTTAACGATGTGTTGCATCGATTACTGTAATCGTGTGCGTCATTGATAACATAATGTTATCGTTTGTAAAGTGTAAACTGCATACCCTTGTTGTGGAAACTCGCGGTGTATTATGTTATTAGATCAAGCGAGCTGCTTGTTATGGTTTGTTCTATGATGATTGAGAAGGCAGAGAGTTCTACCTGTATTTAATATAGCAGTGGAACATTCGAGTAGTGAATACGTAGAATTCTAAAATTTAAGATCATAATGTTATGATCTTAAATTTTAGACTTAAGTCTTCATTCATCTCGTCACTTGTCACGTCACGTCGACGAGATGAATCAATTGATAAGTAGGAGTCTAGTACCAAAGTTATAAATCACTCTTATAGCAAGCGTTCATCACTTAAACTTACCCACAGACTTCAAAACTTCCAGGACGAGGCCTGCACTTAGGTACATCCAAAACAAAACGAAAAAGCAAAAATAATCCCACTAAACCATTGAATTTAGCACGATATTCTCACAGAAACTTTACAGTTACTTATTACGGAATGCCTTGAAACCGTCCTTGGATTTTGAGGCACATCGGAACCGAACTAGCTCCACCAAAGTCGACCGCGAAACTGAAACGGGGCGGGACACGCAAGAGCGCGGAGCCACCGACCCATTTCGATGGCTCAGGGCGGACTTATAACTTCATCGTATTCGTACCAACTAGGGATGTGAAACATACCACACATACTAGGTTACGAAGAATTTATTTACCCTTTCTAAATAACAACTTTTCAAGGTTTTAGTTTCATTTTAAATTCGGATTTGATACTATAAACGGAAAGCGAGAAAGATAAAAGCTTGACGATATTGAGATAATGCAAATTCAGCACTAAAAGGAAAAGTTCTAAATATTGAAATACCGCTTCGATTTCATTTAAAGTGTTTTGAGTGAGTTTCAAATGACATAGCAATTTAAAACAAGACGACCCTATTAACAAAGCAACGTAACAATCGATTTTTTTAAACCCGAGACATTCCTGTTTTTATTTTATACGGAACAGCATCACTGTTCCATAGTTTAAAATCAAAGGTGTATATTATTTATCGACAAATGCCAAAAGCGTATTAAACTGTCAAACACCAAGCGGTCACCGGTGACCGCAACCTATTGTTCTATAATTGTGTCTACAAAACCGGTACTCGACGAGTTAAGCTACATTTCGCATGTGTCTTGCTATAAGCAGCTATAGCCATTATGCCGTCAGTTTTTACTTCAGTTACATTACACACTTAACCTAATAGACGTTAGGATCTTATATATTTGTTATTTACTTGTCCGCATCAATTTGTCAGTCTCATACAAACCCGTCTCAAGGTCATACTGCGTTGAGTTTGACTTTGTTGTCAAGAATTAATGGCTTGGAATTTAATCGCAATGGATTTAAAGAATTTGTGTCTTCCGATCATTATGACAGAATTCAAAATAGATGATTTTAGATAAATCTGAAACAAATTCTTTTGTTGAAGGTAGAAGGAATATGACTTTTCAAATGTTGTTTTCACTCTGAACCTTACGCAATGAACACACAATTTATTTTACGTAGACAACGCAAAAATACTCATCTATCTATCATCTATCTAGTTACAATAGCAACACTTTCTTCAGAACAGTTATTGCAGCAAGATTTACAGATTAAATATAACATGTCACAACATGAAATATTTGCTCGAAGCAGTGCTAGCTACAAGACCAATTAGTCGGCTAGTCTTAGCTGAAAGATTACGTTGTAGACAACAAAAACACAGTTTACTCACATATAAAACTAACTGTGAGAGAATCTGACTGTTACGCTTCAGTGTACAGGCTACCCATAAAACTACGTACAACTCTGCATTCAGTATAACTATTGGTTTTAAAACTATGACTGCACAAATAATTTTATAAATGCCGATTTTGAAGTTGTAGGCATTTTCTACCAATTCACCAATCAAGATGTTTTTACCATTACCTAACATAACCATAAAATATGTCGACGAAACTAAACGCTTAGCAGGTGGG